GATAAATTTGTTAAATCCCATCAGTACACTAATAAAAGGAAGCGTGTAAATGTGTTTGGAGGTAAAAGCTATAGTTGGCCTGTGGCTAGAGTTTTTGTCAGATCAAAAGAGATTACCGGATATGTAGATGCTGTGGTTTTTAGGAAAGGCCCATAAGTCCAGAACTTAGAAAACAAAATCAGCATCCTTGAAAAGGAAATAGGAAAACTTGTTAGTAAAGTACATGAGTTGACCAGTATGATAAAGTTTGATGGCTCTGACAAGGTAGATAGTACAAAGGTAAATATAGGAGATAGGAATCAGAATAGAAATAGAAACAGAAAGTGGTGTAAGCAAGATGATACAGAACAAAGTAAGGCACAATGTTTTATGGCTAGTGATGGGGATGGGGAATTGAATGACTTACAGTGTGCTCTGGTGACCTCTGCTGATGGAACTGAGACTATAAGGATTAATGATCCAAATTGTGTTTGGGCTGACATATTTAGAGCAAATTTGCCTGATGCTAGAGATTGAATTTTTTTTTTAAAACTGAGGTAATTGTCAAAGAAAAGACTGTAGTGTAAGGTATGATATATATATAGACATGTTGATATGTTGATGTGCTTGGTTGATAGTACTCTGAGTTTTGGTTGATTAATACATGACGATGTGGGTTGATGAAGCTTTGTTGTTGTTCTAGAGATATTATAATTATGATAATGATAAATAATGATATGATAAGTTTTTTTTTTGTTGTTGCATGATGATTACACTAATGTTATGAACTAATGATGTCTATAGTCACTTTGATGGGGTTTGATTGCTTATGATATGTGTTGATGTGATTATGTTTTATACTTCTCTAGGTTGATGAGAAATTATGTTTACTTCTCTAGGTTGATGAGAATCTTAAGTTACCTGATCTAGGATGTGGAAATTATGTGGTACTATAATGATTTACTGAATTGATTATTTTCTAGGTTGAGAGAAGTTTTTATGCTGAGTTATTTATCTATTTCATGTAATGATAGGATTTTATTACAGGAGCTGGGGGATCCAGTGCCATGTTGATTAAGCTGTATTAGTGATATTGCATGTAAAGATGGGAACAACCACAGATGTTCACTAAATGGTGGCACTGGGGGCTCTGTTCGCCATCACAAGTTGTGTTGGTCTAAACTAATAATATGTTGGGTATAATTTTCTTTTATAGCTACTGGTGTCAAGAGATGGACATTGCTGAGTAGGATGATGAGAAGTGTGTGAAAACCCAAGAATACTTATCTGAGGGAGATATTTCAAGAGAAATTACTAGTTGAATGCGAGTGATTAAAATAAAATTGTGTGGGAGTAAAATTACAATGTAATGTAGTAATTAAGATTGGAAAATATAATGAATGTTCATGTATAGCACCTAGTTGATATTGTTAGGTTAAAAGCATGTTAAAGATGATATGTTGGTAGACATATGTTGAACTTATAGAATTGTATGAAGCTAATGGGATTAGCTTAAATGGAGAGGGGGGTAATGTTATGATGCATGTTTGACTGAGGAAATCGGTGCGCAGGATTGATGGTGCTGCCGTATATTGAACGAGTGAATGTGTGACGAGATACGAAAGATAGTGACGGTTTAGGTTAGAGAGTTGGTTGCTATGAGTTTATGTGTGAGCAGTTGAATCCTTATCGTCGGTGTGGAAGGACGTGTGTTGTTGTAGATACGAGATTAAAAGATCTATACACGGATTACTTGGTTCCTCTTATCTCTGAGCGTTGTAGACTTGTTTGAATGTGACATAACCTAGGGGTTCTCAAGGTATAATACTCTCTCCCTGGTATTGGAGAGGAGTCAAATGGTAGTGGCTGAGTCAAGTAAATCAAACCCTCTCACAGCAACGCATAACCGTAACATACAGAACGTTTAAAATTTGGATAGATCTATTTTAATTGCGTGTTAAATACTGCTTTATTAATCATTTTGTATAACTAGGTATTTTTAAGTGTTTCAGCTAAATATTTCTGCTACTAAACATTGTTTAACAGGGTTCGTATGCAGTCTGGAAAAAGTCTTGAATTTATTTAGGAAAGTGAATTTCAGATAGATTACGGAGCTTAAGGGGGGAGGGGGGGGTCCTTGTTGACACCACCACTAGCGCCGCTTATGTCTACATATCAATCACAAGTTTCGGAGCTTAATGGGCAGATGAAGTGTATAGGTGGGACCGGGAGCCTAAATGCATTTAAGGAAGCCGCTGTGTCATGGGCATTTTAGAGTATTAGAGCCGAACGTCTCAGGGCAGCAGGTTGCAGAAATTAAAAGCACGTGAATTTGTATAGTAGAGGGAGCACAGCATGCCACTGTAATAAATTAAACACCAATATAATTTACCGAACTAAAGTCATTTAGATCTATTCGTCAGGCTATACGTCGCAAAAGTCTCAAGGCCATAGTGCCTGTTTTGATTTTTTTTTAATTACGTGGTATCTCTTTAACATTAGCCTAATGACAAGTGACGTCACGCGCCCCGCGAACTTAGTGACGTTGTGCTTAGTGGGGGATGAAACGGCGGGGTTGAGAAAAATGACGTATTTCTTTTTTTAAACAGACGAATGCGTGATAGATTCTAATTTTCCTACGAACTATAGGTTGATCTAGTTTTTTTTTTCTAGGGGGAGATATCACTATATAGTGGGTGTTTTTTGTTTTTATAATAATGAATGGTGGGGATGGGTAAACATCGACTATTGAAAATATCAAAAACTGATGACAGCAGAAGGCAAAGAAAAAAACCCCTGTGGTATTCAAATGTAACTAATTAAAATTTAAACCTATTTTTGTAAACACAATAACCTTAATTCAGAAAAAAATGTAGGCCTAAGACTAATGTCTACAGACAAAATAAACAACTAGGCTTAAATGGATCATACTTTTCCCAATGAATTCCCTTTCCCCCCAATCGTCACTAAAAGCATGATGATGATTGAATATATCGCAGTTCTACTAGATTCTATACCCTAACCCTTAACTTAATCACAATTTCTAACGAAAACGAATCTATTCTTCATCATTTTTTTAAACAATATTTGCCCCCGTCCCATATTTTGAGTCCAACGTGATTTATGAGGTATATGGACCACCTAAAAATTGACAAGTTCATCAGTTTCTTCCAGGCATCTCTTCCCCCCCCCCCCCCCGAACAAAATGGAATTTATATAGAAAATATGTACTTTTGACAGTGTGTGTGTGTGTCCCCCCCCCCCCCCCCCCGAAATTGTTGTCCGCCCTCCCGAAAATTTCAAGTGCACCCCCGGAGAAAAAAGTCTGGAAGAAAAACTGAAGTTCATCAATGCAAAAGAGTTTAATAAATGTTGGACCTCCCAAAGGTTTGTTGAGATCTTGGATGTACATACACATAGCCTTCATTTCAATTGAAATTAAAGATAAGAAGACGGCCCTCTGTCCTACGTATATAAAACAACACAGCTATGTATATTAAACAACTAAGTCAACGCAATATACATACAAATAGACATTTAAATCAAGGGAAGCTACTCTAAATTTTATTTGGAAAGATGGCCATTGTTTTTATCTAGATCTACTAATATTTATCTCAAACACCTTGTTTGTTTAAAAGTTAGTTTCATGATATTTTATATTGTTTTGGTGGTAATCTATCGTTTTGGGTACGTAAAATCGCCCGCGATTTGTAATGTGAAAAACAGGTGACTCCTTAAATTTTGATAATTATTTCACATTTTGAGGAGGATTTATGTTTTAAAAAATTCAAAAATGTTTCCTTGATTCATTTATGTACCTGTTTTTAAACAATTGAATTAAAACTTTTCCGTAATAAATGAAGACTAGCGATGTTTCCAACAGATGCAACCATGCTCATTTACTATAGCAGCCATCTTGTCTTAAGTTTTATTTTTATAAGCTTTTAGCGCCAGATTCAGGGGGAAGCCACTCTATTTTACAAATGGCTGCTGTTTATATAGCAAATCTTGCTCTCAGACACTGCTGTTTAAAGTTAATTTCTAGCCTATATCGATATATTTAGCCATAGATTTAGGTTTATTATTCATTTATCTATAATATTTGACACAAAAGTATGACAATATACTTCTATTAAAGCCTTGACAATGAGGTAACGTTTTCGTACATAAATAGCCGCGGGCGATTTTACGTACCCAAAACGATAGATTACTGTTTTGGTCACAGCTTGTTATTTTAAATCAATTAGCCTATCTGTTATATTTTGTAAAATTTGACTTAATATTTAAATATTAAATATACTTATTTAAACAAATATATTCATCAGTTACCTCTCCCGAGCATTACTACTGCAGCCGAATTGACGATAGATTACCTCAAAACGATAGATTACCCCTACTTCTACTAACTAAGTGCCCTAAGCGGCTAAGCCTAAGGGTAATCTATCGTTTTGGGTACGTAAAATCGCCCGCGGCTATTAATGTACGAAAAAGTTACCTCATTGTCAAGGCTTTAGTAGAAGTATATTGTGATATATTTGTGTCAAATATTATAGATAAATGAATAATAAACCTAAATCAATGGCTAAATATATCAATATATGCCAGAAATTAACTTTAAACAGCAGTGTTTGCTAGCAAGATTTGCTATATAAACAGCAGCCATTTGTAAAATAGAGTGACTTCCGCCTGTCTCACGCTATATCCGCTATAAAAAAAAACTTAAACAAGATGGCTGCTATAGTAAATGAGCATGGTTGCATCTGTTGGAAACATCGCTAGTCTTCATTTATTACTGAAAAGTTTTAATTCAATTGTTTAAAAACAGGTACATAAATGAATCAAGGAAACATTTTTGTATTTTTCAAAACATAAATCCTCCTCAAAATGTGAAATAATTATTAAAATTTAAGGAGTCACCTGTTTTTCACATTACTAGTCGCGGGCGATTTTACGTACCCAAAACGATAGATTACCACTACCAGCCTAAGCCTCCCTAAGCCCTAAAAAATAAATAATTTCACCTTTGTGCTCTTTTTCTTCCTCGGTGACTGACTGAAATCCGAAATGAGTTTCATGACGTTCTTTTTCTACGTTAGAAGTTTTGTCGACACGACTGGAAGAAGTAACAGATCGTGTAAAATTAGAAGTACGTAAAATTAGAAAATGCTTCACCCCTCTATTAAACTGGGAGACAACTCGTTTATTCAAGGATGCGGCCATTTTAAATAACTCTAAATACCCAAACTTACAGCTCTAGATCTAAAATATTATGGAATTCAAAGGAAAACTAGAATAAATCTCACATTATAAAAAAAATTAAGGCAAAAGGCTTTTATTATATTCACAAATCACAAAAAAAAATCACGAATGAAAAAAGCACTATAAATATAAAGTAAAAAATAAATTTTGTTTGGTGTAGCCTTACTAAAACTAGATCTATGTAGATATTAATATAATTATAGGACTAAAGTTGAAAAGAGCCTCGACGCCCAATGATGATAAATGTCTAAATTGAACATAGAGAGTATAGGCCCTTGCGCGTGTTTTATGAAAGCATTGTGTGTACGCGGGATGCGAGGGACGTGTAACACTACCGTAGGTAGCCAGATGCTACCCCCGGTTCGGTTTAATCATGGAACGTAGAAGCCCACCATAGGGTGCTCCTGTGCTTAGTGTCATCCGTAAGCCAGGGGCGCCGAAGGCCGCCCCTGTTGCAGTTTGATAGGACGCGCAATCAACGGATACTTACACTCAGGTAGCCGTTGGCTATCTCGGGACGCCAAACCTTTATTACAGCTGATGCGCTGGAGGACACTCCTTATTCGATTTAGTAATCGATTTTATTATCGCTCCGTATCCCTAGTGAATGGCGCTCATTTAAAACGAATATAGGCGCCGTAGAGCTCATGTAGAGCCCAAGGCGCGCCGGCTGATGCACCAGTGCAAATTTGACCGCTGCGCCGTACTTTCAATCAACGGACCCAGGTGCTAAACAAGCCGCTGGGCAACCCTGAGTGGCAAACAGCACCGCTTTACTGCTGGGGGCGCTGCGATAAAAAAAATAATGCAAGAACTTTCTCAAAAGCTAGAGTATCCATCAGGGACGTTTTCAGAAAAATGTCTGGGGAAAACACTACCTGAAGTATTCTCAGCGACTTCCCAAAACGTTTCTTAGCGATTGGATGAAAACCAAAAACTTATATGATTAGTAGCGCCATATGGACTCTGTTCGCCTACCCCCCCCCCCCCCCCACACACACTGAATGCCAATGCCTGTGCAGTAAAGAGGGGACTAGGGGCCTTTTTGGAACTTCTAATTATTTCTATAGTAGAAAAGAAACTGGATTTCTTTTTCTTTTTAACGGTTTTTACATAAAACTAAAATTAAAATTCCAAGTTTTAGGGGTTTTTTTAAGAGAAAAATGGCCCCTTTGTGCATTGGGCCCCTGTGACTTACTGTCGCTAGCTTTACGGTAACTACGCCACTGATTCAAACATCGTCACAAGAGTTCAGATCCTTCTAAAATGACCCCTCTCCCCAATTAGTTTGTTAGGTAGGTCTGTATTTCGTTGTTTATTTTCTAAGTATACTATGGGAGTATGATAGTGTAGGCAATATATATATATATATATATATATATATATATATATATATATATATATATATATATATATATATATATATATATATATATATATGCCAATGACATAACGGCCCCGTCAATACAACCCCGACAAATCGGCCCCGACATAAGAGCCCCGTCACATCGACCCCGTCAAAAGGGCCAGCGACATATTGACCCCGTCATATAGGCTGCCGACAAATAGGCTCCCGTCATATAGGCTCTCGACAAAAGGACTCCTGTCAATAAGGCTCCCGACATATAGGCTCCCGTCATTTAGTTTCTCGACACAACGGCCCCCGTCATTACGAATTCCGACTAATAGGCTCCCGCCATTTAGTTTTTCCACAAAACGGCTCCCGTCATTACGACTCCCAACAAATAGGCTCCCGTCAATTATGGCTCACGACAAATAGGCTATTGTCAATTTGGCTCCCGACAAAATTACCACTGACAGTCAAAACAGTCTCATTGAATATGACACCTGCCAGTGGGACCCCTTCATCAATATTCTTTAGAGTTAGCTTATCCAACACTCTTAAGTAATATAACTTATGCATCTCTTGTTCGGCAGGCCTTATATTATTTTATTTAGTATAAGAAATAGTATGTTTTAATTTAAGGGACATCTATCTATGACTTCCATAAGTTAGTCGGTTATAGGCTGTTCCAACTCAGTGTGTGGGGAGAGAGGTCCACGCTGTGCATTCCTACCTGCAGTATGCTTGTAGGTTATGAAAACAAAATGTCGTTATCCTGTAAACATCATGTATATCATACAGTTACACTTCTGTGCTCGGTTTTAAGCAACAGATATTTTCTGTTGTAAATTAAACATCACAATTTTAGAATTGGCGGAATTTAGCTGTTAAGGACTAGATTTGTTTGTGAATTGATGTTGGTTCATGAAAAAAATAATTCATGCAGGCATTTAAAACAGGTTATATATAGTGGTAGTGAATGTAGGACAAACGATTACTTTTATGCCAATAGTGGTAATGCGATTCATTTGTCTGAAGCCAATATGTCGGAGTCATTTTGTCGGAAGCAAATATGTCTGGAGCCCTTTTGTCGGTAGCCAATGTGTTTTGAGCCCTTACGTCGGGAGCTAATATGTCGGGAGCCGCTTTGTCGGGAGCCAATATGTCCTGAGCCTATTTGTCGGGAGCCAAAATGTCGGGAGTCCATTTGTCGGGAGCCTAAATGTCGGGAGTCTATATGTCGCGAGTCAGTGTATGACGGGAGCCCATTTGACGGGAGCCAATAAGTCGGGGCCCTTTTGACGGGGCTATTTTGACGGGGTCATATTAACGGGGCCGATTTGTCCCGGGCCGTTTTGGAGGTGCACCGTATATATATATATATATATATATATATATATATATATATATATATATATATATATATATATATATATATATATATATATATATATATATATATATAATTATATGGAGGCCTACCTCTAGATCTAGATTCTACCTGTTTCTTAGCAGTAACATTTTTTTTTTCTAAGCTTACATTTAAAACTTTAATTAAACAGACATGTGTTACAATTTTTAACACATTAAAAATTAATACAAGTAATAAATATATCAAATTAGTTTTCATAATTATATAGGCTACATCTACTACATGTAGATTACAGTATATAGATCAATTATACTAGATCTAGATCTAGAATATGGGTTTTAAAATAATAATTACTCCCGGTTACCGGCTGTAAACAAGATGGCTTCCACAAGATCCCCTGTCGAAGAAACTGAGGCTAAAAAATTTCGCGACAGTGTATCACGACTAAAAAAATATATATTCAAAGACGATGAAAACTCTAAAATAACACTTAGCCTTCTTTTAGATGAGCTGGTTGCTGCAGAATCTTCCAACTGTTATTTTGAATATGAAAGTGTAGGCATTTTTTAAAATGATTTTTTTTTAAACGAGCTGACACGCGACGTAGCATACGCCGCTATTTAGATCTAGTTTAATTCCTATTTTTCAGTAATTCATAATTTGTGAATTCGACACTACCAATGCTGCGACTGAAAATATTTTGTTTTAAAACACTATCAGTAGCTACTAGCTAGTGAAGGACGATTATCCTCACCCTCACTTTCCACTCCTCCCCCCCCCCCCCACTCTGCCTCCTTGAAAGCAGCCGTCTGTGACGACAGTTTACAGGCGACAATGAAAAAAAGAGCAAGCAGAACATGTAATGTTATTATCTTCCATTAGTTTCAAATTGTTTAAAAACTAAATTATGTGCCACGCCCTAATCGCTATCACTACGATTGTAAACAGCTCACCAGACGGGTGGGGGTGGTAGTGATATAGTCTGTTGAGCTTACGTCTTTGTGTCTCATGAAGAGAATTATATCTCTATAGATATAAATTCTACTTTTCAGAAATTCATATTTTTTTAAATTCAACACTACCAATGCTGCGACTGAAAATATTTTGCTTTAAAACACTATCATTAACTCATTAAGGACGATTATCCTCCTCCCTTGTGAAAGCAGCCGTCCGTGACGACAGTTTACAGACACCAATGAAAAGATCAAGCACAACTTATAATTACCTCCCCTTAGTTTCAAATTGTTTAAAAACTTGTTTATCTGCCCCTAATGTGGTCACTTCTATTCGGGGTGAACCACAGCTCACTTGACAGGTGGGGATGGGGGTGGTAGCGATATGCCTAGAGAAGCGGGGTAGGAACGGCTAAGCTGCGTGGCATCTTGTATGGTCCCCATGAAGAGAATTATATAGATAGATTTACTATTAGTATTAGGCCCCTACTTTTAAAAAAAATTTTAAATAAAAATCTTTCTCTCTCTAGTCAAGTCCTACTCTAACCAATCAGACATTAAAGTGTAAAGTTAATAATTCTAGCTCATTTTTTAGGGCAAAACTCTTTAACTTTAAGACATTCTCAGCAAAAGGTCTGATGGCGTGCCACTATAATATTATATAGATTTTCTCACTAAATCTAAAATTTACAATTTAAACACGATCACTGAATAATAGACATCCATATTTAATCCATTAGGCACTAATTTTGAGGGTTTTACTTTTTAAGTGGCTATGCACAAGAGTTCCTTACTAGTGATCACCAAATAGTGGTCACGTGGGTTTTTAAAAAAAAAAAAAAATTGGTTTTCATATTCTTGGCCAGTCTTTTAAAAAAAACGGCTGACAATATTTGATTTGTTTTTCATAGACTGATTAACCTAATAATGCTTCAGTATGGAAATCAATTTTGTACTATGGAAATTTATATTTAAAAAGTTCTAGTATTTTTAATGAAAACAACTTTTAAATTTAGTCTTCATTCTCAAACGCAAATTTTGAAATGCTTTTCTGGCATATATAGCCCTGCCACTTATAGTTTGTTGTTATAATGTGAAAACCCCGCCATTTTGGTCGTGGTGAACACTGGAATTTGGCAGAAAAATCGTCAGAAGTCATGCGTCCGGTGCGGACGCCATATTGTTGTTAGCAACCGACCACGCCTTCAAGTATGCAAGGAATACTAATATTATATAATAGATTATATATAATAGATTATATATTATTAATATATAATCATTCTATAACAAAACAATGCTCCCAGCATCCGACAATTTTTCTCTTGTTAATGTTTTTTTTCCACCAAAATCTAATTTTTAATCATAAATATTGGTCATGATATTGATAGAGCAGCCAATTATTGCTGTAGATATATATTTACTTCAAGTAGTTTGTTGTTGGGTTGATTTTGTATTTTAGAAAATTTTTTTTGTAAAACCACTCACAAAAAAGCATTTTTTATAACACTCTGAATGCCATTAAGGGGGCCGCGTCTAACCATCTACATAGCCGCATCACAATATAAAGTAAAATTGAAGTATTTATTCTAACACTACACTAATCTGATCATTGATTTTTGTAGAAAAATTGACGTACTTTCATTTTCTATGAAAAAGAACTTCCAGACAGAAGTATATTTTTTCCTGAAAAAATGAATTCTCTTTTTAAACTAAGTCATAATTTTTCTTAAATAAATTAATCATTACTTAAGATTAATATTATTGTGTAGGGCTTCAGTTACAATTAATTTAGAATCTATATCCTAATTTGTGGGTCTCAAATCAGTGGGTATAAAGATATCAATTGTTTTGCGGTAAATAAATTAAAATAAATTGAAATAAATTAAAAATAATTTAGGTGAAAGGTGAAAATAATTTCGGACTTAAAGAGTTAAATACTGCATTTTAATTTTTGGTAACACAACCTATCCAAGAATTTCCATCCCATGACAACCCGTGGTATTGGTGAATATGAGAAGTTTACACGAAATTCCAAATTAAAAAGTTAAACAAATAGGCATATTACTCAAAGTGGGTCAATTTATAATTCAGGCTATTAAAGAAGAAATAGATGATTAATAATATTTTTTTAAAAAACATTCACTAATTGGTCAAGTACAGTATACAGGTTGTAAGTGTGAAAGAGGTGTAGGAGTGAAAATTCCTTGACTGGATTGTCTTACTGTTTTCCACAAGCATCTTTAAAAACTATGCATACTTATTATTTAAAAGTGTAAATTAAGCTTTTTTTTTTACTCAGGAAGGCAGTGAGTTACTTGCCCATTTGGCCATCATTATACCTTTGCAGTATGAAAGAATTGTAGCTAAATTCTGTCAAGTCATCTCAAATTTTTGTACTGAAAAAAATGTAAGTTTTCTTATTTAGTTACTAGAAACATAATATTCAAATTTTTTTGCTGTGTAAAATAATTTACGTGTAATAAATGTGTTTATGAGTACATAATAAGCATACCTTTGTTTTTTTTAAATATGGTTAATACTTTTTCCTAATAATTTCACTTTCATAAAGATGAAATGCATAGGGATATGTGTTTAATCTACAATGAATGTAAAAAATATACTTATATTATAACTCTGCCATTTAGTATATTAATTATAAACCTAACATTTTAATCTTCTCAGGTTTTAATTCCTAAAAGTGACTTGGAACCCGTTGTTCTATTTTTAACAAAAGCATTGCAACAGTGTCAAAGCTTTGTCCACACAGAAATATTAAATGCACTTTGTGTGGTGTGTGAAAACAACACGCATAACATCGAGGTTTGTAAAGTAACTTTATTCAGTTTTTTTCAAAGATTCTTTTTACTTATCATTTATGTCAGCAATACAATACATTTCATTAACACTTTTTTGAACAGCTATTTGTTAATTTTTTTAATAAGCAGTAATGAAAAATAATCTAGTTTGTAATTCATAAGTATGACATAATTATTCCACTACGTATATTGATGTATGTGCAAGTGTTTGTTTTTTTTTTTATAGAAATTTCACGATATTTTAGTGGGGGGCAAAGGTCTGTTATTAAAATTGACTGATGACACAACTTGTGAAGAAGAGGTTGTCGTTGATGCTGTGAAGTGTTTAGCAAACTTAGTAACCATTCGGTAAGACTCTAAACTGTACCACATTTTTTAATCATTGTAATGGTTAACTCTCAGTTCTCAGGGGCATTTTTAGACTTAGTGCTTACTCGCTAGTTTTCTTTTAACCTAAGTAATTACTTGGGTGAAGAAAAGTTCTCTCTTTAAAATTGTTTATTTTAAAGTTGTTTTTTTTTTGGCACAATTAGACTGTTTTAATAAACTGTATTTGTATAGCCTTTTAAAGTGTCCCAAGCTCATATTAATTTTTTTAATATTGCTCCATTGATTTAATAACTTTTTACAAACCACATGACACTATCGTTTATGTTGTCTTATAATGCTTCTTGAAATTGTTTTATATACTTATTATTTATAATGAACCCAATAATGTTTCTAACTTCCAGACCTAATTACGCTGAGCGAATTGAAGTAAGATATCTCTCTGCCAGTTTTGACACATTAATTCATTTGCTACATAGAGCCCCTAACATGAAAATGGGGTTTCATATGCGAAATAAGGTAACACCTTATTAAAACAATATTATGTTATTAATTTAATTATTTCTTTAGTTAATTTTTATTTTTCAAAGATGATTTTTTAAGTGTGCATTTAGAAATCTTGGTTAATAATAATTCAGTTTTAAAAAAAAACATTGAATTTTTATATATTGAATTTTTAAAATAGAAATCTTTCTCATATTTTTATAATTTAAATTATACCTGAATAATTACTATTAATTGTTTATTGTTATATTTTAGTTACTGATGCATTGTTTTAATGGAATACAAAACATTATAATATTGAAACGCTTACCTAATATTGAGTTAGGAATGCTTTTGGCTGCTGTCAGGGTGAGTGAATATGTAAACTTAATTAAGTACCAAAGTTATTTGATTTATATTTTTTAACAATGTTATTGTCTAATGAAAAAAATAATATTACTAAATCTGTGGATGGTGGGTTGTTTAAGTGTGCACTTCAACTGACAAATATTAAGCTTCTATTTTCTGTAAAATAACTAAATTATCAAAATGGTCTTTTCTGTTTTCAACAAATAGTTTACTGAAATGAAAATCCGGATGACCTTTGTTTTCAGGCTTATATGTTCTATGGCTTGATCAGCAGCCAGACTGTGAACATACCTACCCAACTTTACCCAAATGTGGTTACTCCTTATGATCCCTTAGCCTCAAATAAAACTCCAAAACAAACGGTTAACAAAAAGACTAGATTAGATTCAAATGAGGAGGTAAAGCATTACTTTTTATTCACTATTGAAATTATTTTATGAAACTTTATCAACTGAATAAAATAGTACTGAAATTATCAAAATGTGAATGTCAAATAATAATGTGAAAAATGTGCATAAAGAGCCCACTATAATCATACTTATTTTCTATAAATAATTAAGACTACAAGAGGCAGAGCTAGAGATGGAGGAGCAGCCACATCTGATAAAACAAAGAAACCCAGAAAAAAGAAGGGAAAATCCAAGGAAGAAAATGACAGTGGTGTGGAAAACAAAAAAAAGAGTGCAGAAAAGCTTGATTCTTGTAAGTGCTGCTGTTCTCAAGTAGCTATTAAGTAATGATGTAGACTTCTAACAATATGTGTGGAGAAGTGTCACACTAGAATCATAACATTGTTGATGTCTATTATTTTCAGTGTCATACAACAAAGCATGGAGCAGTGTCACACCAGAATCAGAGGCCATCAGCTGGGAGATGACCTGGCTAAAACTAAGCAGCTCAGAATCTGAATTTTCTGACACAGAAGGAGGTAGAGCTAGACAAAACAAATCTGAAGCTGTCCGAGTCAGACAGTCTGCACTCAGCTGTTTCTTAAATATTGTCAGGGTAAGTATTCATACCACTTGAGTTATCAGTCAAAATGTTGGCTGTGTGAAACAGAAAGTCAATGTAGAATGCATTATGTAGATCTGATAAATTCTTGACTGTTTTTTCTACTGAAGGTAATTGACAAAAAAGTCATGTTTGGTTATTGGTCCTCCTTCATCCCTGATACCAGCCTTAGCATAAACTCTCCACAAATGCAGTCTTTATTTACTACTATTTTGAAAGATCCTGCACCAAAGGTAAGTGCCTTTTCCCAGTCATAGATTTCTATTACAGATAATACTAATCATTAATCAGTCTTGATTTGTCAATTTAATTTAATAAATCACATGGTTAGTGTCGCATGGCAGCTGTAGCAAGTCTGACGGCAATGTTAGAGTCAACTCGTCCATATCTAGCAGCTGCTGAGGAAATCTCCACGCACCAGTCCGCATTTACTCCATTCTCAGCTATTCTTGGTTCCATGATTCGAGAGATGCATAGATGTCTGTTACAAGCTCTCGTTGCTGAAAATTTTAAGGCTGTGCTCACTCAGATAATCAAGGTAACAACTAGCTTTTACCTTTTATGGCATGGTTTTTTTTACCATAGTTTATTTTCCTTTTAATGTTTCAAAATCAAATTTGTATTTACACAACCACTGGAAAGATGAATGTATATATTAAATTATAGTTTTTTAAGAAATTTTTCAATACAGTTTTTCTAAAAATATCATTACATAAAAAATACATAATACTTTGGTTAAATTATTATAATTAAATTATTTCAGTGTTTAGCAAATTTAGTGAACAATGTTCCATACCATCGGCTCAATCCTGGTCTTCTGACTCGTGTGTTGAAACAGATCAGACATTTTTTCAATCACAAAGGTGCCTATTCTTAGTTGTTAATTTGTTTTGTAATTTACAAAGAAATAACCTTTTTAGTCAAAATTACTGGATTAATGTTGCCATTATAGTTGAAGAACTGTTTCATTTACCATTGAATGATGGCTTTGTCTTGAAAATAATTTTTTTTTGTGGGTTTAAAACTCGGTACAAGCAGTGATTAAGTTATCCTTAATTAGTGTTCTTAAAACTATATAAATAGTTATATTTTTTAATATAATTGATTTTTGAAGAAAATAAACATTATTTTAAATTTGATTTCTGTTTAACAAATGTTAAAGAATAGTAAATTGCATTGGATTTATATTTAAAAAAAATTTCTTGTAGTCAATAGATTTTCTGGGTTGTTTTTTTCTGATTTTAGATCCAAATGTCCGCACAGCCTGTCTGACATGCATTGGAGCTATTGTAGGCATCAAACCACCACTCATGGAGGTTTCCCAATTAATTAAACCACATCATCCTCCAGTTGGAGTTAATCGCTCTGCTAATCCTAGTGACTCCCCCTTATTTCGACCAGAGGATGCCTCTTATCTTCTCTATCCAAGTTTTGCTCCCCCCCAGATATCTGAAATACCAGAAAATACAGAGCCTATTTGTAACATGGGTAAAACAAGTCCTAAATTTACAGAAAATGATAATGTGAGGACGTCTGACACTGTTTCAATTGAATGTGAAGACGCATGTCTTACAGTGAAAGAAGATGACTCAAAATCAAATGTAGAAGGAAGCAAGTATGTCTTTGAATCTGTTAAACCAGTTGAAGTGGTACATGCAATAGAGGCACCAGTGGAAAGTCATTCAAAAGTTTTGAGCACAGAGTTATCAACCCCTGTTTTAGGTGCCAGCTGTGGGACAGAGACACCAGTCTACACTGATCAGATGTTGCAAGCTCACGCTCGGGACACTTCATGGGTCATCAAATTTTGTGTCAAAAATATCACAGGCAAGTGGAATAGCTCCGTTGTTCTGGTGACAGACAGATTGATAAAAAATAAAGTCCTCTTACAGTTTGTTTGAAATTTCACAGGGCAACCAGACCTTATTAAAGAAGAAAATCAATCAAAGCTGGAAGCACTGCAGAAATTTGAACCATTGCCTATACGACTGGAGGCTCTTCAAGTTATGAGCAATCTCATTAAAAACTACTTTCCTATCATACGGTAAGCTATTCATTATTTTCTGTTAGTGAGTTGTACAAGACATTGGCCATTGTGGTCATTACAGAAGAGGCATACAAATATAACTATTATACAGGTAGTTAGACTGCTAATTAATTGAATGACTTAACCCAATAAATAAATTGTACAGTTTGATGACTTGAGTGGTTGAAATGTTTCCAGACAAAGCTGTCGACTGCTTCAAAATCTGGTTGAAGTGTGCCTTGGAGATTCCAATCATATTATAGTGCTCCATGGAACTAAAGTGTTGGATGAACTAACCCAAGCTCTACAGAGAGACATACAAGACCACCAGGCAGCCCCACAGAATGCTATATCATTTCAACAAGTAAGTTCAGGCTCTCAATCAACCTAATCTACCGTATTTCTTGAGATACCAAAAACTTTTTCATGATTGTTTATCATTCAAACTGAAACATTTTTAGGTTCTAGACTTTTGGCTGTTTCTACTGGAAGGACCATTACCCCACTTGCTAGAATTTAATCCAGGCATGAGTGAAGAAGGCAACAACCTGGTTAGGTCTGGAGCTTGTGAATGTATGGCCAATGTTGGAGAAGAAGTCTTTGCTAAGTTACCTGTAAGATTTCTCTTGCCTCTTATAATTTTGTTTGCTATCTTGAATCGTAACAGCATTTCAACTGATAGGGAAGTTGTCTTCATTTTTTATATAAGGTTGCTCATTTTTCTAGTATGCATTTTATCGTAAGCACTCATTTAATATGATATTAGGCATTTATTTTAAACTTGTTTTTACACTTAGCTCTAATTATTGAATTGTTTGAAGAACTTTGTTTTAGATATAAACCTTATTATAATAACACTCATCAGACCATGCTTAGATTTCGATAAACATTCAGTGATTAATCTAATGCACACATAATGTATATTTGTAAGTGATTGTTTATTTACTGTATCATGGTTATATACATAATTGATACATTGGTCCACACCTTATTTAAATTAGAATGAACTATTAATTTCCAGAGACATCGTCAGATACAGTGCGTTACTTTAGTTCTTGGATTGGCTGCAGATGATGATAAGTTGATCAAAGCATCAGCAGTTCGAGCCCTTGGCATATATGTTATGTATTCTTGCCTCAAAGACGTGAGTAAATATGTTTAAAATTCAATTTTAACACACTTTTTAAAAAGAAATTGAAAATGTACAAGTTCTAATGGTAATAAGAGGTAATAACTTTTTTTTGGGTAGAAGAGATAATAACTTGATTGGGTAGAAGAGATAATAACTTGATTGGGTAGAAGAGATAATAACTTGATTGGGTAGAAGAGATAATAACTTGATTGGGTAGAAGAGATAATAACTTGATTGGGTAGAAGAGATAATAACTTGATTGGGTAGAAGAGATAATAACTTGATTGGGTAGAAGAGATAATAACTTGATTGGGTAGAAGAGATAATAACTTGATTGGGTAGAAGAGATAATAACTTGATTGGGTAGAAGAGATAATAACTTGATTGGGTAGAAGAGATAATAACTTGATTGGGTAGAAGAGATAATAACTTGATTGGGTAGAAGAGATAATAACTTGATTGGGTAGAAGAGATAATAACTTGATTGGGTAGAAGAGATAATAACTTGATTGGGTAGAAGAGATAATAACTTGATTGGGTAGAAGAGATAATAACTTGATTGGGTAGAAGAGATAATAACTTGATTGGGTAGAAGAGATTATAACTTGATTGGGTATGTGTGGCTGAAATGGGTGGCCATAGATGGGTTTTAGCCCAATTGACTTTCAGGTCTAAAAGGGTATTTTATTTTTTAAATATGTGTAATCCTGCATTATTTCATCCCTTAGTACTTAAAACATGAATTTATTCTCATTTTGTTTAGGATGTTGCATTTCTAATGGATGCAGGCACAGCAATTCTTTCATGTATGAAATCAACCAGCAACAGTGTTAGATTTAAAGCTGCTTGGGCAATGGCTAATTTATGTGATACTTTAGTTAGCAACAAGTAAGCTATTTCTAAATGCTTTGGATTTATTTTGGGATTCTAAATAAATGTAAAATTCCAAAAATATTTATTTTAACACATTACAAGTAGTAACTATTATAACATATTTTCTTAGATACTTCCTTTTCAAACAAATTTGTTGATGGTTTTTGTTAATTAATATGTATTTAAGAAAGATTAAAAATAGTATTGTTAAACGATATTTTAATTTTAGAGAGAATGGCTTAGAAGAGATCCTTGCAGAATTTAAAGAATCAATGGTGCTTGAATTAGTTGAATGTGCTGCATCTGCCACCAAAGACAGTGATAAAATCAGCTGCAATGCTGCTAGAGCTATTGGCAACCTGTTGCGGTTCCTTCCATCCCACCTATTTCAGAAACCTGAAATGGAAGCTGCTCTCCTTTGTGCTGTCAGAGGACTTGTGAAAAATATGAGCAGTGGAACAATGAAGGTTATATATGTTTAGACATCTTAGATTCTCTAATAGAAAATTTACAGTTGTTGAAGATGATGAACTTAAAATATTCTTGGAAATTTGTGTAAAATCATATATAAATATTACTTTTTATTTTTTATAATATTATTTGCAAGCCGATCACGTAGCATGCGCTGCTGTTTAGTGACGGGTGAAGACTTCCTGAAAGACTCAGTTGTACAAATAGGGTGGGTGGGTGCTCACTGTTGCACATGCCTGGAGAGCAAGGGAGGAGGGTTAGAGAGAAGCCATGCATGCCTGTTGGTGTTCCGCATGGTTGGGCAAAAATAGAAAATTTTAATATATATAGATAGAAGTTAGGTTTTTTTTTTAAATTTATTTTCTACTTTTCAGTAATTCATAAATCGTGAAAGGCGATTATTCCCCCCCCCCCCCCCCCCCCCCCCAGCAGCTGTCTATGACAACAGTTTACAGACGACTACAATGAAAAGATCAAGCAGAACTTGTTACCTCCCCTTAGTTTCAAATAATTTAAAAACTAAATAATCTGCCCCTAATAACCGTCACTAATTCGACCCAGCTCTAAACCACAACCTACCAGACTGGGGGGAGAGGGGGGGGGGGTAATAGCGATATGGTCTGTTGCGCAATTCCTGGAGAGTGAGGGAGGAGGGTTAGTGAGTATGTGTGCATGCATGTTGGTGTCCAGCATGGTTGGGCGACGTAAAGAATTATATATAGAGATTTTTATTATAAATTTTCAACCAAAGATATTTCTCTGTTAATATTAGGAGCAACTGTTTTTAGTAGTTTATTTTATATATAATTTCTACATTCTAATTTAAGACAACTAGTTAATTTCTTTCTAGTATTTGAATAAAATGTCTTACTCCAACAGCATTTAAACTTTAAAAGAAAAATGTTTTTTATTTATTGCTGTGCAATTTTTCTCAATTATATTGTCACCTTACTTTAAAGAAATGTAAAATTCTTCTAGGTTCGCTGGAATAGCTGCTATGCTGCAAGTAATGCTTTCCAAAATGCACAGCTCCCCATAGAGAAACCTTGGGTTTCTGACATCCTCAATACACTTAGTAAAGTGGTTCAGAATAGCTTGAACTTCAAGGTGTGTTCTCTCATATTTAATGCATGCATTCTATTACATGGTTTAACATGTATTCAGAGTTCTTTTCAACTGAGAAATTACTTATTATTGCTTTGTCAATCATATCCACTCTGACATATGAATGACATAAATGTAAAGAAATAGTTAGCTAGTCACAGGCAGTTCAAACTAACTACAGTTTACATTTTAGTTTTACATGTTTTCATTTTGACAACATGCTTTGGTATTCAGCTGGATAACAGATAATCTAAGCTGCAGTGTTTTTGTGGGTTGATATTTGGAGGAGGAAAATTGCTATTATATAGCTATTTTATTGACATGTATTTTTATTTTAAATGGTTGTGATGCCCAATCAAATGGTATCAAGAAACATGACACAAATTTCTATCTGATGATAGGTGCGCATCAATGCTGCTCTTGGTTTATCTGCACCACAAAATAGGCAAGCCTATGGATCCAGGGAAACATTTTGTAACGCATGGATAAGTTTAGTTAATGCTTTAGAGAGTGCTGAAAACATCAATGACTTTGCTGAATACAAATACAAAAACAGTTTAACTGAACATGTAAGTTACTTATCCTTATTAGCAAAAAACATAATTTTATTAAAGTACACCTTTATAAATTGTGATTCTGGTTGTGTATAGCTCCTGTTTAATGTATATCTTAAAAACCCATATTAATTGTGCCTTATGTTTTCTTTTTTCTCTGCCTTGAATCTAGTTATGTGGTGCTGTTTTGAGATTGACCTCAGTTATTCTTCTATCAGATCTCAGTTCACTGGCCCAAAGTGTGCAGCTGAAGGGTCACTCTTTTCGAACATACATGGAGAAATATCTCCTGTTGAACATAAAAAAAGGTGCTGAAAATTTACATATGTTATTGTTTCATAATATAATCTGGTTAAGTTTATTGAAGGACTTGACTTATTTATAATCCTAACTATCACACTTATTTACTAATGCATTTCCTTATTAGCCTGATCAAAACACTTGAAACTAATCTCTTGATTTTAAAGCAGCTGTATCTCACTAACATGACACTCTAGCTGACTGTGTATCAGAGATACAGTTACAATTTCTAACATAAAGTATTAGTTTAATTCATGGTGAGTGCTCAAAAGCCTTTTGATGGAATGCCTGTTTACTCACAAAGTAATAGCTTTAAAAAATGTATACATTAACGTATCCAAAATAAACCCTATTATTTTAAGTTGATGAGATTTTGCTATTGGTAGTAGGCAAAAATGTACGTAAAAGATGGCAAAACAAGCAACTTTGAACTAGTTTCAGAGGAAGGGATTCTTTTCAATTTTTAAAAAAGACACCCTAAATTGCACTGACAATATCAAGAGAACTATCTGTCAGCAGGTTGCAAAAATAATGCCCAGTAGATTGGTATGACATAAGTGAAAAGAATGTTGTGTCTCACATCAAATTCTGTGTTTAGATTGTGTGTACCTATGTGAGCAATTTACTTAACTTTGTTAAATTGAATTCTCATTTTCTTCCTGATTGTCTTTGAATAGTACATATATTCTATAAAAACATTCATACTACAGTAATAAATGTCACCTTAATTGTTAAAAAATGGAAACCTAGACTGCACAATGATGCCACAAGGTTGCAAAGACTTTCTCACAAAGCACAGTACTAGGTGAAAGAAACAGTATCTTTAGTAAATGGCCTCTATAGTCAATTGAAGGTGTACACAACAAGGGATAAGTTCAACACATTAAGGCATACTTGAATAGCAGTATTCAAAAAGTTTTGTTTCCAATTGTATTTCTTAGCAGCTCACAGCAACATTCCAAGTGTTGAGACTGTGAAAGCTCATCTTGAAAGGCTTCACTTCGAAGCAACCTCAGATGAACAAAGGAGATGTTTGCAAGGTCTCCTTCAGGCATGTGTACCAGACTCAGGTAGGCCTACTATTGTTTAACCATATTTTCTCTGGGTCTTCTGCAATAGACTTATAATCAACTCTATTGCCACATATCCAACATCTGTGTCTATAGTGGCATCTTTATTTCTATTAACATTTAAGGATACAACAATAAATTTTATTTAAAAAAAATAAAAATAGCTCAGCTTTTCCAGCTGTTGCTGTTCATTTTACACAGCCTAATGTGTTGCAACATTTTGGCCTTATATATTAGTATTTTAATGGTATTTAATAAAAATAGTAAAAGTACTAAAAGTATTTGTTACAGTTATTAAAACCTTGTGTTATGTAACTAATGTGCCATTACTTAAATTTTAAAACAATATGTACAAACCTTCAAATTTTAATCCCAACTTTTTTGTTTCCTGTATCTGTTAATAATAATTTGTGCATTTTCAGATTCACTTGAAGATAAAAGAGCTCAAAAGTCTTCATTTCAGCAAATTTATGACTAAAAATCACAAAAATATTTGCATTTTCAAAGAAACCAAATTTTTTCTAAGAAGTCAACAAATTAGCTACTTTTAAACTATTTGATATAGATCTATAATTTATTATGATTAGGAAAATATAACAACCCTTTAAAATTGCTGATTAGTTCTGTTTATATTTATGTAAAATGTATTTTATAATTCTGTGTAGTTGACCTATAAACTGTGGGAATAAAGTTTTAAGTATTTGTTATACAGTAAATATTTTACATTAGATTTTTTAAAAACCTTTTTACTTTCTCGTATACGAAGTATAGAGGAAGTATTGTAATTGTGCAAAAAAAAATCGTTTTATGCTTCCCTGAGTCAGAAAAACATAGTTTGCAAATTTGTCTGTGTGTGTATGTCTGTGAACACAATAACTTGAGCAGCGTTACCATTAGGTTGATGAAATTTCATTATTTATAAGTATTATATCAAATTTGTAGTTCTGTATCAATTTTTCAGCGATTTCCGCTAACTGGAAGTGGAACTTATTCTACTTTTGGTTTTTTGAAAGCCTATAACTTGAGTACTGTTTCAGATGGATAAACGAAATTTCACATATAAGTAAAAGATTTCAATTTTGAGTTATTTCCGTTCACTTAAAATAATTTTTTACGCTTTTTCGATTTCTCAAAAAACGCATATGAATTTATTGAAGTATTGAAGAATTTTATGAAGTACTAATATTCTGCACTATTATACACATATTGTTTGCCGTTCACTTGGTGTGCAATTATTTTTTTTCTAAAAGATTCTATTCTATTTTTAAAAGTTTAAGTCCATAAAAATTTATTAAAAAATCATGTCTATATCCCAAGTTATCCCCCGTAGGGATATATATGGAATATTTGCAGAGGCGTAGCGACCCTTCCCGGCGCCTGGGGACATACTTTCAATTTGGCGCCCCCTCAGGAGTAAATTTTCGATTTGCACCCCCCCCCCCCTCGAACTTTTCATTTGCACCCCCCCCCCCTCAAACTTTCAATTTGGCGCCCCCCCTAAGGTCGGCGCCCGGGGACATATGTCCCCCCCCCCCTCGCTACGCCTCTGAATATTTGAGAAAGTTTAGAGGAGCTTATTCACAGCTTTATTTAATATATTAGAATTTATTATTTCAAGATATCTAATTGAAAGGAGACACTAGTTTAACAAAAATTTAAAACAATACAGTGAAAGAGAAAGTGTTGACAAATTCATTAAGCTATAGAAAGAACTGAAGCAACAGTCAAGATATCTGTTTCCATGGAAGAAAATAAAAATGATGGGCCAAGTGTTTCAGATATGGAAGAAACTAAAATGATGGCCAAGCGTTTCAGATATGGAAGAAAATAAAATGATGGCCAAGAATATTTCCGAGAAAGGAACTTAAAGGCGCCGAATTTAATGATGGTCGCCAGATGGTCAGGGGAGATAACTCAAAGTATACATGTTAACGTTCCAATTGCTAGTAAAAGCAAAACAAGTATGACGTCGCACTCGTAGGGGGGGGGGGGTTGATGGTATGACGTCACTTTTTTTTCATTATAAAAAGCAATATTAGAAAACGAGTTTTAGCCGTATTTCGCTTTTAGAAAACGGTTTTAATAAATGGTAATAGGAATGGATGAAAATACTCTGTTTACTAGTACTAGAGTTCTGACAAGATTTAGAAAAATATCGATTTTTTAAGAAAAACTCAACAGCAATTTTGAGGGGGGGGGGGGGGGGGGGGTTGTAGGCTGAGGTGTGACTTTTTTGTGACGGAGGGGAGGAAGTAAAAATCGTTTAAAAAGCGTGACGTCCATTAATGGATGACCCCCCCCCCCCATCCTACACACTTAAAAACGAAATTACCGGTTCTATATTCTGTTCAATTATTTGTAGAATACAGGAAAATAGTTGTAACAAATTTAAGAAAAACATATCTTGCATTGAAAAATGTAATACAATTTTACAATGGATTTTCGGCCCTTAACCAACGCTACAAAGAAGTCTAGTTCAATTCAAGAATGTGGGATAGCTACTGTAGAATCAAAGCTACGGTATTTTGTAAAAGCTATCAAGGCTAAATGCACTAAAATTATATTTTAATTAAGATCGCTGTGGGCCCCCATAAAACGATCTGGGCCTCCAGCGTAGAGGGGCCTAACGGTATAGTAGTTGCGCCCCTGGCGTAAAACGAGAGCCGCCTTTGAGTTTGTTCAGCTCAGATACCGGCTTCTATTGCATAGGTTTATTATTATTACGCAATAGAGCAGATGACTATTAAGGGCATAGTTAGAAACAAAATCCAAAACAACTTCCTAAGAGCTTCTTACATGCTTAGTGACCTGCAGTTTCTTCCATGCATCTCTTCGGGGGAGGGGGGGGGGGGGGCGGCGGATATAAAATATATAGTTTTTAAAAGTCCGTCAGTCCCCTCCGTCGTCCCCCCCCCCCCTCTGTCCCCCAGGAGAAATAAAAGTCTGGAAGAAACACTGGTGACCTGTTTACTTCCTGTCAGTGTTTTCAGGAGCTTTCTTGGTGGGGGGGGGGGGGGGGGGGGAGAGAGAATGGCTGAAGTATATATTTTTATATAATTTGGGGGTGCGAATGGTTTATGTGATCGGTGGAGGGGGCCCGTCTGATAGATGACTGAAAACACTGCTTCCTGTTACAAATGAAAAAGTCTCAGGAAAGCAAAGATAGAAACTCTGTGGAATAAGGCTGGCATTGATATAAAAACCCAATGACAAGAAAATTTGTCTCCCATACAATACCCCACACGACGAAATCTCAAGGCTGACAATTCAAGCATGGGTTACATCAGTGGCGTTGCGAGGTCGGGTGTCACCCGGTGATGCAATTAGTGGTGTCACCCCCCAGAGGCGTAGCGACCCTTCGATTTGCACCCGATTTGCACCCCCCCCCCTCAAACTTTCGATTTCACCCCCCCCCTCAAACTTTTGATTTGCACCTCTTAAAACACTATTTAACACTCGAATTAATCACTTAATTAAGTGGAATTATCATTTTTTCTATATATAGTTTGCTATTTTTTTGCCTTGGTGTAACCCCCCTAAATGGTGTCACCCGGTGCGGTCCGCCCCCCCCCCCCCCCTCGCTACGCCTCTGGGTTACATTCATTTGCAATCGGTTGAACAGAACAGCGCAAGACCGTGCAAATATGTGCTTGACAAATATATAAAAAATAAAACTGACAGAATTTAAAAAAAAAAACCTTGACAAATTAAAATTAATGAAGATAAGTCGTAAGAACGGTCAACGATGAATAACCAAATTAATGAAAGTGAAATGGCGACGTCTATATTGGGTTTGGTCTCTGTGATCAAGTAAAAAGTAAAGAATACTCTTTAGACCTAGCGATCCATTGGGCAGATAGTAGAGTTCATATGTTTCTTGGCCTCAGCAAATGAAGGGAATGTGTGGTCAGCACTTTACCCCAGCCGCCATTATTTTCCGTAACATGAATTAAGTACCCGTCCGAGCTAGTGTAGGTAATGGTGCCTATCTTTTCTGTGTTTGAATCGCACTGTTGGCTTATGAAAGTGCCTATCTCAATGTCAGCACAGTCCAGTCGGCGAGACTGAACAAAAAAATACATTTGATCAGAACAAAAGTTGTCGAAAAAATGTTGTCGGGTTTATACCAATGTTTCTTTCAGACTTTTTTTTCTCCGGGAGGGGAGGGGGGTGTCACTTCAAATTTTCGGGAGGGCGGACTAAATTGTCCGCCCTAACTGGTAAAATCATATATTTCCTATTTAAAATTCTATTTCGATTGGGAGGGGGGGGGGGGAGGGGGCGGTAGACGTTCTTCTGCCCCCCCCCCCCCCCCCCCCCCGAAGAGATGGCTCGAACAAACTCTGGCTTGATAATCTTTTCCCGTTCGTGCCTGTGTACATGGGACTGATGAAGTAGAGTTAATCTTTTCTCAAGGAGCTCGATATATAGGGGTTAGCAGGGGCGTAGCGAGGGGGGGGGGGGGGTGAGGGGTGCGGACCGCACCGGGTGACACCATTTAGGGGGGTGACACAAGGCAAAAAATAGCAAAATATATAGAGAAAAACTTGAGGGGGGTGCAAATCGAAAGTTTGAGGGGGGGGTGCAAATCGAAAACTTGAAAGTTTGTCCTCGGGAATGGTAGCAACGCCTCTGGGGGGGGGGGGGGGTGACACCATTAAGTGCCGCACCGGGTGACACCCGACCTTGCTACGCCACTGGGGGTTAGTGTGGTCAGGGACGTCCCATGACTCTTGTCCGCGATCCGAACTCGTGTCTTCCAAAACAATTTGCTTTGCAAGGCGTTAAAATAGAACGCTCGCAACTCCTGACCAAAAGAAAGAAATATTGGCACATGCTGAAAAGAGACTAGCCTACAGTAAGTAGACTTCTTTCGGGGGGGACTCGCTCCCCCCCCCCCCCCACCCGAAGAAATGCATGAAAGAAACTCTGTGTTAAACACGTATGGTGATTGCTTCTCTTCTTTTTTTTCTGCCTGCCTTTTTTTTTTTTTTTTTGGTTTGCTCATAAATTTAAAGCTTTCCGAAATTTATACCGAAATTGTAAATTGTATTATCAAAACAGTTTAATCAAGGATAGCAGTACATTTTCAAATAAAAGTGGGACAGTCATTTAAATTAGTAAAAACAATAAATGGATAGACGATTCAATAATTAAATATAGCCTAACGAGCCGACCCGCAGCGTATCATACGCCGCTAGGGTATTTAGTTGTTTTATTTTCTACTTTTCAGTAATTCATAATTTGTGAATTCGACAGTACCAATGCTGCCACTGAAGATATTTGCTTTAAAACACTAACCCCCCCCCCCCCTTTCCCCTAACCCCGACCCTACCCCCCCCCCCCCCCCGTGAAAGCAGCCTCCTCTTAGTTATTTCTTAGTTACCTCCTGTAAGTTTAAAATCGAACTAAATTATCTGCCCCGGCTCTACAGCTCTACGATTTGTAAACATTTAGCTTTGTAAACATTTAGCGTGACCACAGCTCACCGGACAATGTGGGGGTGGGATGGGGGTGGTAGTGATAGTAATAGAGAGAAAGAGAGGGGACTGCAAGGAGGCGCTTGCAGCTTGTTTTCTAACGGCTCCCAGAAGAGAATTATATATATATAGATTACTTGACTATAAAGATGAAACTATTCTATTAAAATGACAACTTGAGATACTCAGCGAATGAGGTGAGAAGTGGGTTATCTTGTCCCACTTCTCACCAAGCTAGTTTGTAGCATAAACTTGTTTATAAATCTTCGTTGTAATTAGCAAAAAACATACAAAAATAATTCAAATATATAATAAAATTAACAAAAAAAGGAACTTACTCTAGCAATAGGTTATTAATGATCAAAGACATGTTAGCCTTGTCCAAAGGACTGAGAAGATACAAAATAATATTGTTTTTTTAAGGTATTTCTCTGTACAGCTCAAACTAACAAACTGCTGTTTCTCCTATAGTATCATATTTTTTGCGAATACATTGAATTTTGGTATAAATTTTGTATCGAAATAATGCGTTGTCCCACTTCTCCGTTGTCCCACTTCTCACTACTCTCGCGCATATATATATATATATATATATATATATATATATATATATATATATATATATATATATATACCAGTGGCGTAGCGAGGTCGGGTGTCACCCGGTGCGGCACTTAATGGTGTCACCCCCCAGAGGCGGGGACCAGCTTTCAAATTTTCGATTTGCACCCCCCCCCCCCCTCAAACTTTTGATTTGCACCCCCCCCTCAATTTTTTCTCTATATATTTTGCTATTTTTTGCCTTGGTGTCACCCCCCTACATGGTGTCACCCGGTGCGGTCCGCACCCCGCGCCCCCCCCCCTCGCTACCGCCCCTGATATATACCAATGTGTATCGAGAACAGAGTTTCTTCCAGGCATCTCTTCGGGGGGGCTTAGCCCCCCGAAATTTTTTTACCGCCCCCCCCCCCGAACGAAATTTATATAATTTATATAGAAAATATATACTTTTAACAGTGTCCGTCCCCCGAAGAAAGTTTACCGCCCCCCCCCCCCCCCCCCCCCCCCCGAAAATTTCAAGTGCCCCCCCCCCCCCGGAGAAAAAAGTCTGGAAGAAACACTGATCGAGAAGCTGTCGCCTTTTTGTGCTCTCGCCCCTCCCCTACCACGAAAACTTGCATACGCCACTGATATATATATATATATATATATATATATATATATATATATATATATATATATATATATAGTGTAATGTATGTGTATAAATAGACCTAGATGATCTATATCTTTTTTTTTTCTTTTTTTTTTTTTGACTTATAATTGACGTCAACACTAGCCAACAGAAATGGATGTCACTAATTGTAAGACAATTTTTGGGAGGGTTAGACAGGGAGTTCACACCATTTTGTAACATCCCTTGCTTACGCCAGATCGTTATGACAATCAGTGTTTTAGATCTATAAAATATTTTGTTTGTCTTGATCACACAAATTATTTTTTTGATAAAATACGAAACTGCGATATGAAAAAAAGTATTTCCCACTTCTAATTCGAAAACAAAAAGGGCCTAGATTTAGATCTCTAGAGCTCTAGAATCTAGATCTAGATCTAGAAGATCTAGACTCTATATTCTATTCCTTGTTTGACACATTTGTTCTAGACTATGCTATCTCGATTATGATTATTTTATGTAGATCTAGATCTAACTACTGAAGGATAATCTAATAATATCTCATTATCTAGACCTAGATCTAGACTAAATGGACCCAAGTCAACGCACTCTACTCACTTTACCGTGTTCAGTTTGTTTACCTGTAAAATAAAATCATTTTTAAAATGGCATGGTAATAATAAATTATTAAAATTAAATCTAGATCTATCATTTTAGATTTAGAATTTAGATCTAGGAAGTAGATATGTAAAACTCCATTTTAGCGTATTTTATTCCCCGCTTCACGTTCACCTCCAGTTGAGCGTATTTTAATATTTATTATAATAATAATATTAATATTAGTAAACAACCAAAAACACACAAAAACGTTAGGAAAACATTGGGCTTATTTCTTTATGAAGTTTTGATTTAGTTTTGATAACTGAGGCCAACACCATTTCAAATAGCTATTGCCCAAGCCATGACATATGCTAATAATTATTTTTTGTGAACTCACGGTAAACCATTGACCGTGTAGCCATGCAGGGATTTTTCTCCCTCTGACGATTTAATTGGAACTGTCCTAATGCTTTTTCATGTTGCTTTTTATTTACCTTTTCTAATTAAAACTCACTTTCCTATAAAACATAAATAGTAATAGATCTAGATTCTAGCTCTAATCCTAGTGTTTTCCTAACGTTTTTGTATGTTTCGGTTGTGTTTATAATGAAATACGCTCAACTGGAGGTGAACGCGAAGCGACGAATAAAATACGCTAAAATGGAGTTTTACCGGTAAATCTACGTAAATTCGACCGAGGCTAGTAATGTCATGTGAAAAAAAGGTGACTCATTAAATTTTAATAATTATTTCACATTTTTAGGGAGATTTAGAATCTATGTTTAGAAAGTTATAAAAATGTTTCAAAGTTTCATTCATGTACCTGTTTTTAAGCAATTGTTACAATTTATTAAAACTTTTCAGCAATAATTTCAGTAATAAATATTAAATAAAGACTAGCGATGTTTTCGTCAGATGTAACCAAGCTCATTTACTTTAGAAACCATCTTGTTTAAGTTTTTTTGGTAACATTTTAGCTATAGAGATTCAGAGGGGAAAATTTACAGATGGCCACTGTTTATATAGCAAATCTAGCTCGCAATCACTGCTGTTTAAGTTAATCTCTGGCCTATATTAGCTTTTGGTTTATTATTCAGTTATCTATTTTAATTAACACAAATATATCACAATATACTTGCATTAAAGCCATAACAATGAGGCAACTTTCTTTCACATTTCTAGTCTCATCCAATTTTAGCACTTAAACGATAGATTACCAATAAAATTAATAAATTTTAAAAGATCCTTTTCTAAATTTTTAAATTATATAAATGTCTATATACTTTATCCTTTGACAACTGTGTTCAGAGAAAGCCACATGTTGTATAACATAAAAGCTTTTTGAGTTAGGGGTCGTCCATAAATGATGTTACACTCGTAGGGGGGAGCGGGGTCCGTAATTTTGTGACGGTGTGTGATGAGGGGGAGGGGGGGGTATTCAGATGATGCGACGTCACACTTTTGCATTATAAAAAAGCAATGTTGGAAATCGAATTGTATACGTTATTTTGCATTTTAGAAGCTGTTTTAATAAATTGTAATATGAATTGATTAAAATACTCTATTTTGACAGAGTTCAGAAAAGATTTTTGAAAAAATATAGATGTTTTAAAAAAAATTCAACCGCATATTTGAGTGGGGTTGTAGGATGAGGTGTGACGTCATTTTAAGGGGGGGTCTGGCTTTGTGTGACGGAGGGGAGGGGGGGGAGGTAAAAATCGTCAAAAAAAGCGTGAGGTCATTTATGGATGACCCCTTAGAGAGAAATGCCTAAGAACATTGACCTAATCTATCTATCTATCTATCTATCTATCTATCTATCTATCTATCTATCTATCTATCTATCTATCTATCTATCTATCTATCTATCTATATATATATATATAAAGCAATGTGTGTGTGTGTCTGTCTGTTTGTCTTTTATGCATTACTAAACCTTTCATTGGATCGCCATGAAAGTTTGGGAACTTGAAAATACTCCTGGGGAGTTGGGTGGTGCCCCGGTATGGCACAATTTGTTTTTTCTATATATATATATACAGTATATAAAAATAAAAGTCGATTGCGGTTTCAAACCGTTCATCCGGTCACCATCAAACTTTGGGAAGGGTTCTGCAAAAAAAATCTTTTTTTTAAATTTTGCAAGGGCGGCGCCCCTGGAGTATATGATTTTTCTCTATATACGGTATATAAAAAGTAAAAGTCTGATGCGGTTCGACACTATTCATCTGAGTGCCATGAAACTTAGAGGAGTTGATGAGAATACTCCCAAGAAAGTTTCTGCGAGAAAAAAATAAATAAACATTTCTTATGGGTGGCCCTCCGAAGGGTGCGATTTTTGTCAATCCACGGTTTGGCTTCCAGAGTGGCTAACTTAGCACTTGGCATCCGTTAATGGGGCGTCTTGCATAGCGGGTAAGTGGTACTACTATATTCAGTGTTACAACAGGCACAGTTGCAGGCGCCCTGGTTATTAGGTGAGCCAAAGCGCCCTGGGCTCCCCTGTGAGCACTATAGCACCTACGTTTGTTTTTTAAAAAAAGGTTATACACTAAAGACACAATGGACAGCATTAATCATTTACTCTATTGGATCAGGCACGTCCTGGCGCCCCTGCAAGGTGCGATTAGGTGTCCTCAGCTTTCCCAGTAGTGCAATGGCGCCTACGTTCTTTCTAAACAATGAGATAGACAATGCATAATGTGGGGCATTATATTTGCTCACTAAATTAAATTAGAGTGCGATTTGGCGCTCATGTCTATCCTTTGAGTGGTATGGTGCATGTTTGATAAAAGTGCGATAAAATTAGGATAAGAAGTAGTATTGTAGTTGTTCGCTAATATGAATCAGGTGTGTCCGCTGACGGCCCCAGTAAGGTGCGATTTGGCGTCCAGGGCTATTCTTTGAGCGCTATGGGCCATTCGTTTGTTTGAAACAGTGCGATAGAATGTGGATACGATTTAGTATTATAGTCGTTCACTAAATTGAATCAGGCGCGTCCGCCCACGCCAGAAACTGTGCGCTTTGCCTTCAGACTTTCTTCTGAGACCGCAATAACGCGCAGGGACGGGCATGCTAGTTCTCAATATAGTATTAGAAAACATGGTACAAAAATATGTTTACCTGCAAGTTGGTGTCCAACAAAACTACTATTTTTATATGAGCCATAGTTTACCCTGCAACTCCCTTCCCTTTCCACCATGGCGACTTTACATAAAACGTACACATATTATACACTTTTTTTACTTATCAGAATAATAAAATTTTATATAAAATTTTAAAATTACAAATGTGCATAAGATGTGTTGATCATTGAAAGTGAAAGGCCTACATTATCCGCAAGTATGGGCCAGAGAAATTGATAAAAATTGATTTTTAGTAACATATAATTTTTTTAATTTTATGAATTAATTGTGATTCATCAATAGGTTAAATGAAATATTTGTACCTAAATTAACAGTTAGTAAGATCATAGCAGAAAGTAATGACTGCTGATGTTAAAATTGGAGAAAGGGAAGTAGAATTACCCAAATTTAGTTTATTTAATTTGTTTCTTAAATTAATATATTTCTTTAACTTTTGACAACTGTTTAAAATCTTTTCAAACTTTTGGTCTTGCAGATAAGATAAGATGGAAAATAGTTTATGAAGTTTTAGAACACACCTATTAAAAGTAAGTTCAATTAGATTTTTGCATTTAAAGTTAGGTAAGTTTTGAGAATTTGATGAATTAAATGTAAAATATTTAGCTTCATTTCTGAACTTTTCTAAATTTAATATGACAAGATCTTTTTCAAAACATTACCTGCCAACTCAAATAAGAAAGATTAATTAATCACTTATTTTATAAATACAGATTGATGTCATAAGTCGATATAACTTCATTTATGTGTCTGATGGTTTAAAGATAAATAATGTTTTATATAAGAAAAATGCCAAAATGCAAGTACAGCCTCACTCCATAAAAGAGTTGTAAGTATTTCTAATAAAAAATGCATTTGAGTAATTCTTTAATTATGACTAATTTTTAAATCTTTGCACTTAATCCGGATCGAAGAGTCTACTTTTCAAATATAATTAATTATAGCTTTTTCATCTTCTCTTTTAAAATATATGTAGTAGTTTAGTGAATTTACTTTAAAAATGTTAATGAGATTTAAATAAATGAGTTTTATGTTTTGGAAGCTACTGGTTTGAGCAATTGAAGTGCATGAAATCAATCTGATTTTGAAAAATCCACATTTTATTAAGTATATGATTATGACAAATTTGATTTTAAAACTACAAGGAAAAAAGCCAAATACACTTGTTTCCTATTCCTGATCTGTGGGTAGGCTACAGTGTGTTCAAGTTGGACATAGGCTTAATTCAAAAATACATTTAAAATCAATTCATGGAAATTACGTTTTACGATCACAAAAATCATAATAAGTGCCTTATATATATGTACATAATGTACAATAAGTTTCCACAGTGTTATTGTTCCTAACTATACATTTTGCCATTCTTTGTTTAAATTATAATTCTTCCTACATTTTAACTGTATTAACAAATATGATACAAGTTAAAAACAATAGTTTTTTTTTAGTCTTAATGTACATTTATTTGAAAATCACACTAAATTGTTGTTATTAATGTTTATCATTTAACATGGTATGGAAAATATTTAAATGCTTTTTTCAATTTTTTTTGTCAGGTTGGCATTATTGCTTACTGACATTTTAGATCTCTTGTTAGATATAATAGTAACTTTCTAGTCATAATAATTTAATATGCTAATTAAATGTTTTTGGTCTCAGATTTTTTTTCTTGGTATTGTTAAATCTTGAGAGGGCATTTGAATGCCAATTTTATTTTTATTTGATTATTTTAGCCGTATCGTTCTTCCAATGACAGTAGATGAGGTAATTAAAAAGTTAATTCTGTTTTGTTGCTTTTGAGTTTTCATGTATGTTGAAAGAAGAAAAAAATAACTAACAAACACATTCATTACATAAACACTTTCTTAATGTCTGTATCTCTGAAAGAAATAAAAAAAATCCTATAAATAAAGATGAAGGTGGGTTTTAATACAGAGGTGCAGTGATAACAAGTTTGGAAATCACTGGTTTAGATGAATCATGACCATGTATAACTTCTGGTTGTTGGATGATCAATAATTGTAAACCTAGTGCTTCACACTTTACTTGGTGTTTTCTTTTAGTCTTAAAATGAATCTAATGTTTTTCATCTATTGCCATGTACGCCTATCCCCCCCCCCCCCCCCCCCAATTTTCTTAGTACTCTATCAATGGTTGATATTTTCAATATCAGAAACTTTGGCATTTTTCAGACTCTAATTTCCTTTTATTTAGGCACTGTCATCTTTATTTATGTAATAGCTTTTACTTAATCTAGACATGGATACCATTATCATTTATTGGTGTTCCTAGTTTTCTGTTTTCAGATATGAGGGAAAGGTATTCACTTAAAATTATATTTTATTCTACTTCTGTTGAACATATTGCAATACTCTCTCACTCTTCGTCCAATTTTTTTCATGTTTCCAAAGACATGGCAAGGGTATTTCTGAATAACTTCATTGGCTGAATATTTACTATAATTTAGCATTCGCAAAAACAAACTTTTTCATTTTTCTCTTGCTGCCTTCAAGTGACAATTTTTGGGTGTGAATAGTTCAATTTTATTATTATTTTAATCCTCTGTGAACACATTAAGTCCTTTGTTTAATGAACTAATTAAACATATGGCTAAACGCAGAAACCAATACACATAAATCATATAAAACACAACAAACTGAATATTATCATAATTATAAATTTTAATCAATGAAGTAAAAGTATTGCTATTTCTAATTTTTTCAATGATTTTTTAAAGTTTAATTTTTTTTTTTTTAATTTTAAGAAAGGTTTTTTGTATGATTTGGCTTTTTACTACATAAAAATACTTATACAACTTGGTATTTGTTGTACTTGGTTCAAATATTTTGAAAATAAACTTTTTGTTATATGTCCAGTAGGTGATTTATAAAGTGGAAACATTTAATGGAGTCTACCGAGATCTTGATGTAAAATTAAGTTTACAGCCCTTTTTTGAATAGACTACTGAATTAAGCTTAACAATAATTATGGCTTAGTGAAGAATTATGAGCAGTTAAAAACTTATGGACTTCAGCAACTGAAACTTAATATTTTCAGCTTTAATACCTGTAGTTAAACACTAATATAAGTAGGCAATTCAAAATCTTAAAGAAAAAATAGTCTTTTCTTTTAAAGGGATTTATCAAACAAATTTGGTAGTTAATTTTATTATTTCATTTTTACTTTGGTAAATGATCAAGGCGGAAATCTCATACTTTTGTTTAATAAATTTCACAACCTGTGTCCATTTGTGTCTGCCTTTTACTAAGTGATACTTGATTTTGAAGGGGTCTCTTTAACTATATCAAATGGTAGGGGCCTACTCCATCTTTCTTGTGTCTTCTTTCAGGTCTCTTCTTCTGGATTTTTAAATCTGCATCTTTTTCTTTTATCCCTAGGTTTGTAGGTGAGGCTTGTCTTGATATGCTGTCCCCATGTTTTTGCATTTCCCTTTAAAAGGTTTCATCTCAGCAGTTTGTTTGTTTGCACAAATATTCTTCTGATGTAAAAATTCTGCTTGGAAGACCCTTTATTTAATCTAAGTTGGAGGATACTGTAGCCCCACCTATTTCTTTCTTTTCCTGTTTTTAATTTCATTCCTCTCTTGGGTATCAACAATACTGCTTAGATAGGGAAACTTGTTCTTTTCCTCTAAAATAAGCTATTTCCTTAAGTGTTTTAACAGAGTCACTAGATGCATTTACTTGAATAACTTTACCTCAGATGTTCAGATTCACACATTTTGAGTTATTGTCCACACTTGTTCTCCTGAATTCATTGTTGTGTGTGAAATTAGGGCCAAGTCCAGCTTTATCCACCGTATTGCATTTTGCGTTTCTGTAGATGTTATCACAGTCTAATCAACAAGAGCCACTAGAAAAAGGAAAGGTGAAACTAAACTAGCCAGACTTACTGCCGTCTGTACTAGGATCTTTGATCAGATGATTCTCCTTTAAACAATTAATTCTTGATGGCATCTCTAGTGTTATGTCCATTTACATTATCATAATTAAACAAGTTAACCTACTTTCAAAAGATTGTCTTTTGCCAACAACAAAAATTCATTTTTTAAAGACAGCCAAGATGTATTTAGTTTTCTTGTTCTGACATAGACATGACAACTTCAGTAAGGTATTCTGTAAAAAAGATGATGTCAAGAGGTTTTAAATTTAAAAATTTAAGGACTCACTGTTGTCCAATCTTATTTTGTTATAAGGGTATTAACTGGTAAAAAAAACAACTTATTTTCAAATGTGAAGTATGAGGAATTGAATGATGTGTTAATTCTTGTATTCACATATTTTTTATATTATTAAGTATCAGGTTGGTCAGCTGTGGTCTATCGCAGAAAGCAGTAAAAATGAAACCGGTGGTGGAGATGGTGTAGAGGTGATAATTAATGAACCATTTAATGACATTAATTATGTGCCTAGTCCAAAGATGAAAGCCAATGGAAAGTATTTTCTCTCTGGTCAATTTACGCACAAAATCTACCACTTAGCTCAGTAAGTAAACTTGTAAAGAACTTTTTTTGGTCAGTATTGCCAAAGAAATCTTTAATTTAATTAACACCCTCAACAAATTTCCATCTAACCAATCATTGAGAAAAGGGGGAATTGATTTTAGAGTGATCAATAATAGTACTGGTATAGGCCTACTGGTATTTAAAAATGTTTCAACCAATGAAGTTCTTAGCAGAAAGTGAATTGAGTTAGAAACTTTATAATACATCTAAATATTATTATATCCTAAACTTGTGTACCAGTCACATGTTGCTACGATCTAGTCCTACACACCTGAATGACTAAACATTTTATAAATGTGTATTTTTAGACATCTGACTCTAGTTACTAAGTTATTTAAATGTAAATAAAGCAGGCTATAGATTCCATGAATCTTAGTTGTTGGGTTGTGTGTCTGTCCACACTACCAAATGTCCCAGGGCTTGCTGTACATTAATCACTCTCCGTAATAATGAGGTTTACAAGAAGAACACCCCTCAGTGACTTTCAGCGCTATGATGTGGCACGCTTGGGAACTGCTGGTTACATTACTACATTAATAACTACTAATTAGTAATTACTCCATTTTTAGAAATACTTAAGTTGACATGGTTTCTTTGAAAATGGATACCTAACTGATTATTTTAAAATTATGCTCAGAAAATTACTTTAACCAGTATATTAAGAAGTGTGTACTCCTTTTAATTTTTTTCTTCTTATAAATCTTCAATTACCTGCATCATTAAAATTCATTTTTTAATTTTTTTCTTCTTAGAAATCTTCAATTACCTGCATCATTAAAATTCATTTAAGACTTTTCTGTTACACATCAGTAATCCAACAATTTTTTTTACAATTAAACTATCATTTTTCATTAACAGAAAAGCCCCATCTTTTGTCAAAGTCTTAGCACCAAAGGGTTCCATGAAAATTCATGAACTGTCCTGGAATGCATACCCATACAGTCGTACAATTCTTACGGTACTATTATTTTCATCAGTACTAGAAAATTATTTCTCTACTAACTAATGATTCTTCTTCTTCTTCGTTCTTAATTATTAGTGCTGAAGGGGATCGAGATTTATCTGCCAGTGGGTTTGAACTCGAGACTTTGTTCGAATTTATCAACCATGAGCTAGACGCGGACTCGACCACGCCTCCAACACAATTAAGCGTTACGTGTCAACTGGTTATGCGCCATTGAGGCCATTGACTCCGATTTCAGCCTGCTTTTCTTTTTGGATTTGCTTCCATAGCCTTTGTCCAACCAAGAACAAACTACAAGGCAGCAGTTGTTTAATTTTGGAGTTGTCTCTCCTAGAAGAGTGGATGACCCCAGCTAACGAGCCTCATCTGCCCGAGGGTTCGAACTCGAGACTTTTCGGTTTAGCAACCATGAGCTTTACCGACTCGACCACGCCGACCCCTACTAATGATTCTTAAAACTAGCAATGTTGTAGATGTTATTTTTAGTGTATAAATTTTATAAGTAAAAATATTCTGATTTAATTTTTCATTATTATTTTTTCAGAATCCAGATTATATGAAGGAAGCATTTTACATAATAATTGAGTCGTTCCATGCAGCAGATACAGGAGAACTTGAAAATGTGAGGATATACCACTTTATATTTGATGATTAAGTTTTAGGAACAGTAGCACAAAATTTTGATACATATACTTTAATGTAATCTGAATAAAAACATTTAATATATGTTGGCTGGGAGTGATATTCTATTATTTATTTAAGGTGAAATAGTAACTTGGTTGCTTATTAAAGGGGCTTAGGTGACTTGATGCTAGTCACAAACACCATTTTACTACTACTACCCAAGGGGTTAACCTAGGATATTCGGGGTGAGCAAGCCAGGGGATATCTAGAATCTAATCACGTCACAGATTCAAGCATCTGGCCATGGGTAGAAACATCTGGCCACAGGAACAAGACATCAGCTTGGTCAATAAGCCAGCCTTAGCTCTGCCACAATCCAAGGCCTATAGTTTCTAGTCTCCTAACCATAGCCACCCTTCCTATTATATAGGCTACTCTGCCCGCATCATCTCCCTAGAGCATTACGACCACCACCTGTGTACCATCTGGTTGACTTGGGCTGATCCATGGGTTGGGGCAGTGACCTTACGCTCATAAATTAAGGAGACGGGTGACCAGCGCTTGGTTGCCGCTATCAGGCCGGACAGGCAATTAAAAATAAAATGCAGATACATGCTTGTAGACTGACCTACACAGTCAAGTCAGAGCATGTGATATATGGCCCTGGGAAACCTAGGGTCTGGCCGACCACACCGTTAATTGGATTCAACACCGTGGGCGGTGTACAATTGGAGTCCTGGGGACTTGGCTATTAAACGAGGCCAAAAGCTCATTGTGACACCATGGGCTGACCGCTGGTATGAGACCAGAGCACCATTTTGGGATGGGGGAACATTCTTGAATGCCACGCCCTCCATCCTGGTCGGGCCGTGTGTAATGAGAGATGACACGGACTAGCTCAGGTGATCAGAGAGTGGCTGTAATTTATGGCTGGAATATTCCTGACCTGCTTACCCCAAATATCCTAGATTAACCCTTCGGGTAGTAGTAAAATGGTGTGTGTAGCTAGCACCTAGGCATCTAAGCCCCTTTAATAAACAACCAAGTGACTATTTCATTTTAGGATAAACAATAGAATGCCAGCCAACAAAAATAACTTTGACAAAGTCTTGATGGCAATGGGAACTATCCTCTCATATTTCAATGCCATTATGAATTATGTATAGCTCTGATTGGCACAATCCTATTTCTTTATGCGATTTTTCTTTAATATGTAAAACAATACTCTCTGAATTGTTTAAGCATGGAACAGAATTTCACATCCCAGTCAATTCACTAGTAGGCTACAGATTCACTGAAAAACCCTTTTTCAAAACCTAATAGAAGATTTGCACATCGTAAACAGTACACCATGAGAATATTTCTAATTTTATCATTTATTATTTTTGGCAATAGTAATAGCTGACGCACATACAGTTTTTTATCTTTGGTGGGAATTAATAGTGATATGATCTTTTACTATGTTAAATTTTTTCACACTGTTATCAAAGAATCTAGAAGAATTTATTCCAACCAAAAATAATATTTAATATTAATATATCATGTTTTGCAGATGTATATTTTCAATATCTATTTCAACTTCATGTGTTCATTGACTTAAAGAATCAATAGTTAGGAACTAAGCTAAGCTGATTGTGGTTACTTGTCATTTAATGAACATTTTGTAACTTTTGTACAGTACTGTTTATGATTCTGTATACAATTATACAAGTGTTCTAAGCTATTTAAAAGTGTGTTAGTCTAGTATGTAAAACATTACAAACATTGTTTCTTTTTAAGGTTCATGGTTTAGAAGGTAGAGATTTAGAACAAAGACATGTGGTAATGATTGACATTGCAAATGACCCAGTGGATCATGCGGTAAAATATAAATGTGGTATTATTGGGATAAAAATAGTAAACTATAAATTTTGTGAGAGTAACGTCTTCTCAGTATTATCTTGCACTGAAAGTGAGAATCAAGACTTGACTTCAATCATACCTCTCCACTGGACTTGGTGTAGGGCAGCTCAGCTTATCTGCTCCCAAGTGAACCCAATGGCCTTTGCCTCTTCTTCTACCTTTATTCTCCATGATCTCTTTGGGTGGCCCACTTTCCTTCTTCACTGGGGGATTTCAGTCCATAGAGAGAGCTGGACTGCCAACCCATAAGTCTCAAGTTTGAATCCGGGTTCAAGTCAGTAGACCATCCTTGAGTCCACCCAACTCTGATGGGTACCTAACTCACATTAGGGAAAGGAAAGGTGGCTGGGCAAAGTGCTGACCACACTATCCCTTCATATGCCGAGGTCACAGAAACTCTACTTCACTTGCCCCATAGACCATCAGGTTTGAAAGGGAACTTTACTTACTTACCTCTACTTTACTTCTGCATTTATAAACAAGAGAAAAAAAACAACTTAAAATGCACATAACATTTTTTCCAGGATTATCATCCTGAATGGGATCCATGTTTGGTAGGCTCAATCAAAGCGAATAGACCACCACTTCCACATGACAACACTGGAGAATGGATGGTAAAGTTTTATTTTTATTTTCTGTAAATCTAGCAGCACTAGAAACATACACAGCTTTTACATGTACAAGTACAGAGATGATTCAAAGTTCTATTGAATGATATGTCATCTCCTCACAATTCTGTTACTATATTCTGACTTTACAGCCATGACCTTCTTTCATCAAATCTGTTTTGGATTGTCACCAGACTTGGTCATATAACTTGAATGTTATGGTTGTAACTACTGCACATTCATTGATATAGAAAGTTGTTTCACTATAGTGTGCTTTAATGGGGAAAACTACATTCTTAAGCTTTAACTAGTGAAGTTAACAATATGATCATTGAAGAAAAAGACTGGTCAAAATTAAACTAGCTACAATGTTTATGACTTCAGAAAACAGTTTCCCCTGTCATGTGCTGCTATAAAGTTGTCAAAGTTTGGTTCAAATGGTTTGGACTTCAGAAGAGAATGGAATCTTTTATTCTCTCAGTAAGTTATGGCATTGATTTTGATGTATTTTATTTTATTTTTATTTAAATAGTTTCAAGTGCAGTCCACCTTCTTTCTCCACTCCTACCCCTACCCCCACCCCCCCCCCCCCCCCCCCCCTATTCATGAGGCTACTGTCAAAAAGATAATATATCCTAAGTATAGCAAGTATAGCACCTAGCATTAGTTGTAGTATATCCCAGATGATGAGTACCTGAGACTAATCAATGAATTCATTAAGGCACCATGGTCAATCCAATCTTTATGTATTGGCCACAAAACCTCTAGTTCAACTTTTACCAGAATATTCTCCTGGTCTGTATCTATAATATAAGCGGGCTGGTAGTGTGTCAGTCCTTCCTTCCGTCATCGCTTTAGCTTTTGGAACTATAAAAGTAAACATCGCACCATGCAGTGCTTTTCAGTGCATCGCTTTGTCTTATAAATTTTTAAATATATTGCTTTCATTTTTTACGTTGCCTCTCATAGCAAGAAAGACGTCTGTTTCTAGCTTTCCATCGTCAAGTCGTCTGCTGGCAAGATCATTATCATGGAATGTCATTAATTGATATTAGGAAGCTGGAAAATGAAGTTACAATGGAGTTAGAAAAGGTAATATCTTATTCGATTTATATTTGCATAATAACATGTAGTTGCTGTTAATTTTTTTTTTTTGAATTATATTGTTGTTTCTGTCATATCATTCTAAACAACTCAAAGAGAGATATTACTTAGTAGATCATATGCAGAAGGGAAACTGGAAATTCTTTTATTAAACCATTTTTATTTGTTATTTTTGACATTTTTTAGCAAATAAAAGAAGGACCTGTTCGAGGCAGAGCAATACATGAGCTACAGGGATGATGAGTATGTATATAAAACTGCTAGATAAATATACCATAAATCAATGTGATGTATTTTAAGACAAAGCTATTTTATTTTATGTCTCAACCAAATTTTATATTTCTAACATTTACCAATATTTCTTTACAGGTTTTAAAATATTTATGTTCTTCTTAATATGTCTATACCTGTTGATAACATTTCAGTGGCAAAAATATATTGAAATTGGGTGAAATTGAGTTGGAAATAATTTGATATTAAAAGTAAAATAGTAACTTATCTGTTTTGTGGAGTTAAAATATTGAATTTCTGTCACTATGCAAATATAAATTGTATACACTAACCTTGCTAAAACTTGGTTGCTTGATATTTTAACAGAATCAAGTCATGGAAATCATCCTAACACCGTCATCAAGACTTTGTGAAGAACTACTTCTCCATAATATTTTACTTCTGTTGTTTTTTTTTTAAATTTAATTAATTAGAAGTTTTTAATTGCATAAAATTAAATGTTGAACTTGTTTAAGCCACAAAAATAAATTTTTAAGGCAATCATTTTAACCAATGCTTCAAACTTAAAATGTTTAGACCTTTAAAATTTAGGTTGATTTCTTAGCACTAAATTAGGATTAATTTTCAAAATCAAAATTAAAGTGATTTATATGTTAATAATAATATGTAGCTGCTATATTTAAAAAAATCTAAGCACTTTCATAATAACTCAAATTCTGTTAAGTAAAAAATAATAATTAAAAGCAGTATTATCAATTCATATTTTTAAACTGAACCTACATTAATTAGTGCAATACTGAAATAGACTACTATATTACCACAAGGTTATATTTACTTTATTAAGCTCAATTTAGATAATAATAAATATAGCCTGCATAGCTAAAATAATAGGAAACCATAATTGAACTGACATTCTCAAAAGAAAGTAGCCTTTGGATGTAGTGATTTTTTATTTTATCAAATTTCATACTGTACTTTTCTATTCTTTTTTTTTTTTAATAAATTGCATAAATTCATTTTTTTCTTGACATAAAAGATAAATTTTGTTCATAGTGTATTTATTTTTTTAGAAAAAAGTGCTAAAATTTTGTCCCTTCAATTTGTCATTCTACTTGTGTTTTCTATAAACTGTTAGTATTTAAAATAAACATGGCTTTATAAAAGCATATTTCAAGTCTTCTCTAAATCAGTGGTAAAAAAACAACAGAAATACCTAAAGTAAAGGCATCGAACGACTAGCACAAGACAAACACTTGTACTAATAGTAGGACAAATGCAGAAGCAAATTATCACAGCATGAAAAAAAAACCTGCCTCAGCAATAACAGACCAAACATGAAATATGGCGTTAGGGTTGTGTTTGTTTTAAAGAGCGCCATACATAATGGATACAGTGGACTACTAAAAATTGTTGTCCAAATCGAACCAGGTTAGTCCGCCGGCACCCCGGCTGTCATGTGACTCTGAGCGCTCCGGCCTACCCCCATTTGCACTATGGCTCCTACAATCATTTTATTAAATTAATTAAGTAGTACAAATCACAAGGGTGGTCGATGACTAAATTGAATCATTGTCGCCATAAGCACAAATTTAAATGCAAATATAAACACATTGTGCTCAGTCTAAACCGGGGCTCCAAATCGCAATCGGCCGGGGCGCCGACGGAACCGCCTGATTACACTTAGTATACGACTATAGTACGGCAACTTATTTATAGTCTTTTGCACTCACTTAACTAATGTAGGCGCCAAAGCTAATATGGGAAGGCGCGGGGCGCCAGAGGACGTTTTGATTTGATTCACTTAATGACTATAGTAACCTTTCTTATCCTTAGTCTATCGCACTGTTTAAAACGAAATTATGCGACATAGCGCTCACAGGATAGCCTAGGGCGCTGCTGGACGCGCCTGTTTCAATTTAGTGTTTCAATTTCAAGCTTATCCGCAAACGGAAAGAAGTAAACATAAAGGGCTTCTTAACTGTTATTAATTTTTAAAAATAATAAGCAAACTGTACGTTCAGTGTATAAAATAAATAAAATTTAAAATACCTGCAACATTGCACTTTCCGCTAATAAAGGTTTTTTTAAAAAGGGAAGTAATTTAATTGTGTTTTCCTAATTTGTCAAGGGACGTAATGAGTGCTTAGGGATAATTGTAAATAATGTTAAGATTAAGACATAATTAAAATTTTTGTGAAGGATCATACATTTTCCCTTTAATTTAGTTTGACGGACAAGACGACAATTATTACTTAATATCAGTTTGAAAAATTGTTTTACAACACCTTCAATATTAATTTTTACTTTCTCGTATTTACGAAGTATAGAGAAAGTCTTGTAATCGTGCAAAAAAAATCGAGATTTTTACAAATCTCGACGTTTACACCTCACTGATACGGAAAAACATAATTTTACAATCTTGTCCGTATATCTGTGTATGTGTAAACACGATAACTTGAGTACCGTTACAGCTAGGTTCATGAAATTTCATATATAAGTATTTTATCGAAATCGTAGATCCGTATCAACTTTTGAGCGATTTCCGATAACCGGAAGTGGAACTTTTTCTACTTTGAATTTTTCAAAAACCTATAACTTGAGTACTATTTCAGATTGATAAATGAAATTTCACATGTAAGTAAAAGATCTGACGACAGACTGACGACAGAGGAATGAATTAATTATGAATAAATTAAAATTTGGACCGAATTAGTAGGCATGTCTATCCAACCACACCACACGCGTCATCACGTTCAATAGCTGCGCCATCAGGTTTAATAGCTGCGCCATTACGTTCAATAGACGCGCAATGGTTTTTAGTCATGTAACACTATTGTAAATAAAACATGTAAAGTACTGATATTTCTTTTCATAAAAACGTTTTAATAACAAGTTTTTATGTAATGATACACTAAATAGTAGAAAATAAATTATACACTACTATTTAAATTACTATAAAGAAAAGCGTGGGTCTCTTCTCAAATATTAGTAAAGGAATCCAATAGGTACTAAAGTGACCCACGCTTTTCTTTATAGTAATTTAAATAGTAGTGTATAATTTATTTTCTACTTTTTAGTGCATCATTACATAAAAGCTTGTTATTAAAACGTTTTTTATGATTTTTTTAAATGAATTTTTAGCGCAATTTCCATTCTGGAGAATTGCGATTTTTAACTCGTCATTTCTGGGAATGGATGGATGGATGTGTGTCCGCAGCTTTAAGTCGTCTTTAAGTCGTATCTCCTCCTTAACGAAGCAATATCGAGGGCTAGTTCCAAAAGCAAATATGTTAAGCAAGTTCCGAGGATGATTGTGGGCCAAAAAAATTCCCGGAATTCCTTCCTGGATTTCCCGGAAAAGCCAAAAAAAAACCTCGAAAAAAATGCAGTTTTTGGCTCATATCTCGGCAACCAGACCACTTAGCGACTTGAAACATTTACCAATCGATTCCTGCCATAATTTAGAACAATATTGCCGAAGAAAGTTTTCAAAAATATCCTTTCGTTCGGCCACAAAAATTAATTAAGAATTTTTAAACTGAGCATCGTGTAGGCCTAGGATGATTTAGCGCAAAGCGCTGAGGTTCGAAAGGATTTTACCATAGCGAATGAGCGGAGGTTCGAAAGGATTTTTTCTATTTTGTTTTGAATTATTGAAACTACTTGTGTTGCATTATTTATTTGCTGAATATGATTTATCTCGATTTAAAATTGTTATGGATAACATAAGGAAATTGAGCTTAAATTGTCACTAGACTTTTTATTAACTTGTTTTTTAACTCACTTCCTCTGTCTGTCGTCAGTCTAGATCGAAACGCAGGAGTGAAAATTCGGACACTTCTACTTGACCGATACGATTCACAGTTGGCACTTGGGTCAAGACATGAAGACAATGCATAGTGACATTAAATTTGACTTAATTGGATGCCTAATTAATTTTTTATGAATTAATTAAAATTTGGACCGAATTGGTAGGTATGTCTATCCAACCACACGCGTCATCACGTTCAATAGCTGCGCCATCACGTTCAATGGCTGCGCCATCACGTTCAGTAGGCGCGCAATGGATTTTAGTCATGTAACTCTATTGAAAATAAAACGTGTAAAGTACTGAAAAAAAAAACAAAAAAAAAAACGTTTTAATAACAAGTTTTTATGTAATGATGCACTAAAAAGTAGAAAATAAATTATAGACTACTATTTAAATAACTATAAAGAAAAGCGTGGGTGTCTTCCTTAACATTAGTAAAGGTATCCAATAGATACTAAAGTGACCCACGCTTTTCTTTATAGTAATTTAAATAATAGTCTATAATTTATTTTCTACTTTTTAGTGCATCATTACATAAAAGGGTGGTCAGAAAAAAAACACACACACACACACACATATATATATATATATATATATATATATATATATATATATATATATATATATATATATATATATATATATATATATATATATATATATATATATATATATAACCAGTGGCGTAGCGAGGTCGGTAGTCACCCGGTGCGGCACTTAATGGTGTCACCACCCCCCCACCCCCCAGAGGCGTTGCGACCCTTCCCGGGGACAAACTTTCAAGTTTTCGATTTGCAGCCCCCCCCCCCCCCCCCCGCAAACTTTCGATTCGCACCCCCAAGTTTTTCTCTTTATATTTTGCCTTGGTGTCACCCCCCTAAATGGTGTCACCCGGTGCGGTCCGCACCCCCCTCGCTACGCCCCTGATATAAACCCTACCCCATTACTTATAACAAGACAATTCGATGTAAGTAAAATGCACGGCATGTGCTGTTGTTTACTTTCATGGCTCCAAAATCTATAGCGATGGCGGACGGTCTGACACATTACCACAAATCTTATATTTTATATGTATGTTACGGTCAAAGCCCGAAGTGCGGCCAAAGCGCGGATTGGCCGGCTCTCTTGGCCAAAGCCCGAAGAACTTAGCACTAAGATAGTATTTTGTACATTGGCCGGTCAATGCGCGCACTGGCCGGGATGTCCTGGCCAATGTTCTATCTAGACTAAGTTGTGATCGCATTTTCATTATTCTGGGTGCGTTTTCATTGAGAGTAACGTATTGTTTAGCTCTTGTTTGTATAGCATTCTATATGCAAGGCGACATGGATCAAAAGGGCCGTCAGACCATGAGACAGACTTAGCAGATGGCTGTCAAAAGAAAAAAATGTAAATCCATGTTAGTTTCCAATATGGGCTCTCGATAAAATAGTTACTGAGGAAGATCTTGAGAACATTGAATAAGAAAGGGAGGTTGCCATAAATGCAACGACATCCTTAGCTAACACATCTGCTGCCGTGGCGGAACGTCCAGACCAGCTGCGTGACATTGTAGTGCAGCTCATTCTTGTGGATCCTGTGGCAACGATGTCCATGCTATTTGTGGAATACCCAATGAAGCAGACGAAGAGTACGGAGGGAACATTACCTGCAGATTGTGTCACAACAAACAAGACATCATGGAACACAGGTCAGAAGCTCATACTGGCTTGCAAACTCAAGGTGCTAAGATGCTTAAAACATCAAATACAAAATTTAAAACTGATGAAGTGGGTGACAATGTACGTATCCGTTTTCCAGATGTTGACAGAGGTCACGGTGATCCCCGAAGCGTGATTGCAGTTGTCATGAGCGTCGAGGGCGGTTTCTACAAATTAGGAACGTAACATGGTGTTATAAAACAACTGTATGCTAGAAGTGAGTTTTCAATTCTTCACGAAATACTGCTCTTATTGTCGTCAGTTGGCACTGAGGAAAAATCACTACGAACCATCGCATCTTCACAATCATTGACTGGGGGCCAAGGCTACACTCGCTGCAATTGCACAACTAAGTGCATAACAAATCGCTGCAAGTGTAAAAATAACAAAATGCTATGTAATTCTAAATGTCATAAAAGTTCAACTTGTTGTAACAAATGATGATATCAATTGATTGAGACAATAGTACAATAAAAATTTGAATGTTTCTGTCATTTACTTTAATTAATAATCAATAAAGACTTAATTTCATGCTCCTTACGGCATTAAAAAAAACCCAAAATCTGCTCATGATCTTCTAATTCGGACTTCGGCCGGTCGTCCCTAGCCAGATGATCTTCTAATTAAGACTTTGGCCGGTCCACCATGATTTGTTGTGCACTTAGTTGTGCAATTGCAGCGAGTGTAGCCTTGGCCCCCAGTCAATGATTGTGAAGGTGCGATGGTTCGTAGTGATTTTTCCTCAGTGCCAACTGACGACAGTAAGAGCAGTTTTTCGTGAAGAATTGTAAACTCACTTCTAGCATACAGTTGTTTTAGAACACCATGTTCCGTTCCTAATTTGTAGAAACCGCCCTCGACGCTCATGACAACTGCAATCACGCTTCGGGGATCACCGTGACCTCTGTCAACATCTGGAAAACGGATACGTACATTGTCACCCACTTCATCAGTTTTAAATTTTGTATTTGATGTTTTAAGCATCTTAGCACCTTGAGTTTGCAAGCCAGTATGAGCTGTTGATCTGTGTTCCATGATGTCTTGTTTGTTGTGACACAATCTGCAGGTAATGTTCCCTCCGTACCCTTCGTCTGCTTTATTGGGTATTCCACAAAGAGCATGGACATGGTTGCCACAGGATCCAAAAGAATGAGCTGCACTACAATGTTTTTCACAAACTATATAGAATCTGTTGGCCACATTATTGTCACGCAACTGGTCTGGGCGTTCCGCTACGGCAGTAGATGTGTTAGCTGAGGATGTCGTTGCATTTATGGCAACCTCTATTTCTTGTTCAATGTTCTCAAGATCTTCCTCAGTAACTATTTTATCGAGAGCCCATATATGGAAACTAACAGGGATTTACATTTTTTTCGTTTGACAGCCATCTGCTATGTCTGTCTCATGGTCTGACGGCCCTTTTGATCCATGTCGCCTTGCATATTGAATGCTATACAAACAAGAGCTAAACAATACGTTACTCTCAATGAAAACGCACCCAGAATAATGAAAATGCGATCACAACTTAGTCTAGATAGAACATTGGCCAGGACATCCCGGCCAGTGCGCGCACTGGCCGGCCAATGTACAAAATACGCTGTCAAGTTTAAGTGCTTCGGACTTTGGCCAGTACGTCCCGGCCAGTGCGCGCATTGGCCGGCCAATGTACGAAATACGCTGTCAAGTTTAAGCGCTTCGGACTTTGGCCAGTACGTCCCGGCCAGTGCGCGCATTGGCCGGCCAATGTACGAAATACGATCTTAGTGCTAAGTTCTTTGGGCTTTGGCCAAGAGAGCCGGCCAATGCGCGGATTGGCCGGCCAATCCACGCATTGGCCGCACTTCGGGCTTTGACCGTAACATATATATATATATATATATATATATATATATATATATATATATATATATATATATATATATATATATATGTTACCGAGTCTATTTGCTTGTAGTGCCAAATGTTACCGATTTCACTGCTGACAGAGCCAAATGTTACCGAGTGTATTTACTCGTGCTACCTTTGACCAGCACACAACATCGACCACAATATAGATACTCGGAAATGCAGGTTTACATTGATCTCTTTATTACATGAATCAATAGAAATGCTCCACATAACAATGCACCAATGTTCCACAAAAATACAATGAATCAACTGACCCCCACTGTCCTCACTAGTCCTCACATAACAGAATGCACGTGTCCATAATTCCTATCCTCACATAACACAATACGTCTACCCCGTTCAGTAACCAACTTGATACTGCCCCGGGTTCTCAACTGTCTCCTTCCTATTTTATCTCCTCGTATTCGTAATCGTATTCGTAATCGTATTCGTAATCGTATTCGTAATCGATTCTAATCGTTGCATCAGAATATTAATTGCGCAGCTCTGTCGTACCATCCGATTATTAGACCACCTGCACTGTTGCGTCAGCCCAGTTTGGCCTTGGTCATGTCAAAGTTGACAGACTGTAATACGTTCTTATCGTCCCTGGTAACTCCACTAGTTACATATATATATATATATATATATATATATATATATATATATATATATATATATATATATATATATATATATATATATATATATATATATATATATATATATATATATGAGGGCGCCAAATAAAAAGTTCGCCCGGGGCGCAGGAAGGGGTCGCTACGCCTCTGCGTGAGTTAAACATAGGCTTTATGTGAATGTAGATGTATAATTTGAACTAGACGAATCCATCCCCTCGTTCCTCACAATCAGGGGTCGGCAACCTTTTGAAGCGGAAGAGCCAAAAGTTACAATTTTCAAAATGTCCCTGTTTTTAAAGAGCCACTAACATATTTTTAATTTCAAACATTTTATTTTTTTATTAAGATTATTAGTATTTGTTCAATGAGCTGGAGAGCCGCATCTTGATATCAAAAGAGCCGCATGCGGCTCGCGAGCCGCAGGTTGCCGACCCCTGCTCACAATGGCTTAGATCACACTACGAGTTTCTTGAGGTCTAAATTTTAGAGCGCTCTACGCGAGGGCGTGTACTTCAGTGTATGTATTCATAATGTTAAAATAAGGTAACTCCTACTTAAGCCAAAATACACCAACATACATAAAAATTATGTAGATTCAGATTATACTTGCTTTATTATTTGATATTTTTGATAATAATCATTACTGTTAGATATATTTGAAATACGAAACTTACAGATGCTAGGGCTATGGATGACGTCACTTTGGAGCAATCCCACCCCGTGTGTTGAACCGAGAAGAATTGTTGTCGTAGGCAAGGAAACAAAATGCAGATGCAAAGTCACTCTATAAAGGAATTGTAAGTGGATTTGAATTTTATAGATATGTACCTGGTTAATCGCTTGGTGCTTTTTCTGATTTGACAGATGAAAGTTAGTCTAGAATAGTCTCGACAAGATTAGAGTCTAGTAGCCTAGAGCCCAAGATATCTAGAATCTACTAGCTAGAGTAACTAGAGTCTATCTAGATCTAGACTAGACTAGCTAGACTTTCTAGACTCTAGATCTAAAATCTAGTAGATCTAGTCTAGAATCTAATACTCAGCAGTTAACTCAGTACTTCTAGAGATTCTAGCTAGTTAGAGGACTAGCCACTAGATCTAGGTAGTCCAGCTACTAGATCTAGTGGTCAGACTAGATATCTAGGGTAAAACCTTAGCTGACAAAACTAGTAATGTAGGTTGAAGTATGGATTTTTTAAAATAAAATATTCTGTTATTTTAAATACACCATTAACTTCCTTACCCCTTAAGAGAACATTTGACACCACATTTAAATATCTAGCTTACTCGGTTGACGAGAAAAGAGAGAATTTGAAAATTAATCAAAAATGGAAAATGAATGACAAACAGCGTTCTTGGCCCTCGACCGGCATAACATGACGTCGTCGACTTGTGTACACGAGCTTTTAATTCCCGCCATGGTAATTGCGTCAGCTTAGGTAATTTACTCACCGGAAAATAACAAAAAGTAACTGGTTGATTTGATAATAAAACTAGATCTAGTTATTTTATTATTTATTAAATTCTACTCTACATGTTATTCATACCATGGTTAATTGCTTATACCAGTCTCCGGGATTTGACTACATCCGGCATCGGCCAATGAAATACGCGCTTTCTAAGCGTTTTGGTAAGGCGTGACGTCATCAGCGCGGTGTGTCAAAACAGCGGTTTTGAAGCCTAAATTTAATTTATAGTTCAAATCGCAACGCGTTTTTTCAAAATGAGGGAAAAATGACCCTTTTTAAAAATGGAGATAGTCGTTTTTTTCAATGATGACGCCACAAAATCTCAAAATATTGCCGTCCGAAAAAGCAATCATTGTTAAATATTTGCCTTTTCGTGCATTAATATTTTGTCAAGTCTACCAAAACGCTTATAAAGTGCGTGTTTCATCGGCCGATGCCGAAAGTATGTAAATAATACAAAGAAAACAGACAATAAATTTATTTTGATCATATTTTATTGCGTATTGTAGTAAAGCAAGCAAACAAAGTTGTCAACAGCACACCGCAGAGAGTTGCGCGGCACGTGTTCCAAATTAGGTCAAAGCACGGATCTAGGCTAGCCCGCGCAGCTAAATGCCAAAATATAATTTTTTAACGTAAAGCTACAAAGAAACGTTAACTTTATAGACACGGGTGTTAAATGCTGTCCCTGCAGGGTTTTAAATTTGCATTATCTAGAACGTGGGGATATTGGTATGTAATTAATTTTAAACTGTAACCGATCGATGGCAAAGTGGTCAAGGCGGGAAAATGAGGTCACGTGATGTCTCAAAAGTTTAGATGGACACCCGACATCTAAATCTAGTATTTCGATGAAAAGCGGCTTAGCGGCTGAATTTATTGATTAAACGCTTTGATGGAGGTATAGATAATAGATAATTAATAAAAAGAAAAAAAATATCCTACTTACAAAATACGACATCATATCCATGCAGAAAAAATTATTCCAACGCCATTTATGAATATTAATTAGATCTGCAATTTTATCACCACATGACCCTCGAAGTCTCAGACGTGTAGGTCTAGGGCTCTAGGTGTAACACACATTCGGCCCGGGATGTTAATAGTAATAATATATTTTATTGGTTTGGGGCCTGTGCCTAATTAGTTGGCCCTGACATAAGGATAACCTATTTAAAATATTATTTGTAAATGAAAGTGGGTAAGGGTTAAGAAAATGTGAACACATTTTGTTTTATGTATGGCTATACGTTTAACAAGAAACATGTTTGAAAAGGAGGGCATTTATTTTTAAAATTTGATGAGTGCTGTGTGTTTTTTATTCTCACCTACTTAAAGTGACGTAAGCAAATTTGCATATGGCCTTGACCTTGTACTGCTTTGTAAAGATTCTCAAGCACCAAAAAAGGCCTGATTTATGTTATTAATACGAAAAAAGAAAATACATGGACATATTTATAACCACGATTATCTACGCGGTCAAACGATTTTTGTTACATTTTATTGGGATTGGAATTTAATAATCAATATACACGCAGTGGTCATGGAAAGTTTAAAAGATGTCACTTTTTTGACGAAGTTTACCTCCTCCTCCCCACAGTTTACAATAAAAATTGCGACCCCCCACCCCCCGACTCTGAAATGTGACGATGTTTATGGACGATTCCTATGTCCCACGTAGAAGGGGGGGGGGGGAATTAGTAAAATATATGTATGTTCTATAAAGTATTATAGATCGTTGTCTATTATGTTCGGGTCGGGGAGGGGTGGTAGGCTGTTTAAAAAATAATACTGTTTACAAATATCTCAGACCTGGCCACGCTTGGTGGGGGGGGGGGAGGAGGGGTGTATCCAACCCCCCCCCCCCACAAAGTACAGAATAAAAATTAAATGTTGACCATTGTAAATAATCACTGGATTAACATAATTAATTAATTTGGTCATGATAATATTTAAGTTCAAGAAGTCTTTTCAAGACAAAAAAAAAAAAAACTTTAAAAAAAAACACACCTTATAAACGAACCCACAAGTGCATTAACGAAGTAATTAGCATAATTAACATATTGTAATTAAGCTAATTAATTAATTAGCACTAATGATAATGAAGGGAGATAGTTTTTTTTGTTATGGCACCTCTCCAAATCCTATTATTTTCATAATCACTATGCAAAAAGTATTTATGTTACAAAAACTACACATCTCTGTTCTCTCGGTGCCTAGCGCGACCTATTTAGGCCAAAGTGAGTTTGTTTATGTTGACGTTTTATTTTTAGACTTCACGGTACAACGCAGATCATTGGCCGGAAGAACATATTGTCAGACACTGGTATAAGTAATCATCGCATACCATTTTATGCAATAATGAACACCTGCATAAATCAAATGACCATAATAAATATTTTTATTTCAAATTCTAATTTTAAATAATAAATATGCTATATATTATAGTTTATAAATACAAATACATTTTACACTCAATTCACATTATATTGAGTCAACAGTGTGGCAGCTGAGGTTCATACATGGTATTAGTGTCTTTTTTTTTTTTACATTACATTTTTTTTTCATCTTGAAAACATGACGTATGTGATTTTTTTTTTAAATAAAATCTCCAAACATCGTCACTCGCGTGATTGCTTGCTTGCGTTTACTATCCTATTGATGAAAAATCCCACCACGGTCGCGGGGTCACCGTGACTTCAGCAGGCCTATAGTACACGTCATAGAATGAACACGTGTACACGAGATGGTCGGTGTCTTCACTTCTCCTCCCCCCCCCCCTTCTTCAAGCAAATTGAAAAACAGACCTACTTTCCTACTTCTGATCATTTTTTTAAAAGTTCGGTAATTTTTTTTTTTTTTTTTAAAGTTCTCATATCAGGCATGCTAGATTATTTTTTTAACTAGATCTACATCTAGCTTAAAAAATAAAATAAATAAACGCTTAAAATGCCCGTAAACAGATTATTTAGCGCCAAAAAAAAGGCCGCTGAACGAGCATTTTTTAAAATACGCAGCAATGAAAATTGAAAAAGGCTAACGGCCGATCAATAAGTCTAAAAATCGCCCGTAATTAGGCCTAGCTCTGAAAAAGGCCACTGAACGAGCTTCACTAATTATATAAACGAATAGGCCACGCAGCGTTGACGAGGTTAACCACCGGTCACGAATGCAGCAACTGTCGGCCCACAGTGAAGAAAAAATCAATATACTAATAAAATTACTAATACAATAATAATGTCCATAATTTTACTTTTTCCGCACATGCTACAATTGAATTATAATTAAAATACTAGACTTAACAGTTCATTCCGCAAAAAACTAGATCTAGTTGTTTCTGTCTGGCAACTAGCGTAACAATGATGCAACGTTACTAAAAATAGCAGAGAGAAATTGTCGCATGGTTACTTACGGGGTAATTGGATTTTTGGTAAAAATCATCTTTAATACTGTAAATATACATGGTAAATATCTCAATTATATATTAATCTACTGTTATACGGGCCGTTTTCCCCGTTATACGGTCGTTTTTGGCCGCGGTTCAGTTTATACGGAGAGTGCTCCACTAGAAATCCTCTCATTATTTACAACTACAATTCTAGCGATTTTTTCTGGCATTCTAAGGCATATTATCCATTTTATTAGCATCTTGTGTTAAAATAATGATAAGAATTTGCGAGATTAACAGTTTTTTCATATGTCGTGGATTGGACCCTAAAATAAACGTAAAAACCGTCAGAAAACGACGCGTGACGTTTCAGGGTCAGAGGTCAATCCAGCCATCTAAGCAATGAGGCGGCCTATAGTAATGTGGAGGAGAGTGAATTAATGAATAGGTCCCTATGACGCCCTATGTTTTTGAATATTAGTATTTGTCTCGTTACAAAACCAGAAGTCAGAACCTGACCCTGAAACGTGACGCTCCGTTTTTTTCCTATTTTAATTTTTTTTGGGGGTCCTCTATACAATAGTCAGGCTCATTGATGAGAGGGCGTGATGACCTCTGACCCTGAAACGTCACTCGTCGTTTTTTGCATTTTTATAGGGGTCCTATACACGACAAATGAAAAACTGCTAATATCGCAAATTCTCATTATTTAATGCGATATGCTAAATAAATGGACACCATGCCTGAAAATGGCCGAAAAAAATCGCCAGATGTGTGGTTTTAATTAATACACGCTATTCTTGTCAAGTATTCTTGGGAAAAACTGAACTGCCGCTTCAAACGGTCCGGTACACAGTCGAAACCCCCTGGCAAAAAAGTAGTAATATATAATGGAGATATTTAAAATGAGTAATTACAGTTACCTTTAGCCGGGCTCGTTGCTTAGATGGCAGGATTTACCTCTGACCCTTAAACGTCACGTGTCGTTTTCCGGCAGTTTTTACGTTTATTTTAGGGGTCCTATCCCCTATGAAAAAAACTGTTGATCTCGCAAATTCTTATTATTTTAATGCAAGATGCTTATAAAATGGATAATATGTCTTAAAATGCCTGAAAAAAACGTGAGATTTGTGGTTGTAAATAATGAGAGGATTTCTAGTGGAGCACTCTCCGTAAAAACTGAACCGCCGCCAAAATCAACCTTCCAACAGGGAAAACAGCTAGACTAACACTAGATTAATATATAATTGAGATGTTTACCATGTATATTTACAGTATTGTTGATTCCCTTTTCCAAAAATCCAATTCCCCTTGAGTAACCATGCGACAATTTTCCTCTGCTATTTTTAGTATCATGACGACATTGTTACGCTAGTTACCTCACAGAAACAACTAGTTTTTGTTTTTGCGGAATGAACTGTTAAGTCTAGTATTTTAATTATAATTCAATTGTAATGCTACAGAAAAAGTAAAATTATAGACATTATTATTGTATTAGTATATTGATTTTTTTCTTCACTGTGGGCTGACAGTAGCTGCATTGAATTTAATTCATGACCGGTGGTTAACCTCGTCAACGCTGCGTGGCCTATTCGTCTATACAATTTGTGATGCTTGTTCAGTGGCCTTTTTCTGAGCTAGGCCTAATTACGGGCGATTTTTAGACTTATTTGTTGGCCGTTAGCCTTTGTCATTGCTTCATATTTTAAACAATGCTCGTTCAACGACCTTTTTTTGGCGCTAAATAATCAGTTTAAGGGCTTTTTTAAGCGTTTATTTTTTATTTATTATGGTCATTTGATTTATGCAAGCGTTCATTATTTCATAAAATGGTATGAATAACACGTAGAGTAAATTTTGTAATGTATATTTTCCTTTACCAATTTAATAAATATCTAGATCTAGTTTTATTATCAACGAGTTGTTTTTTGTTATTTTCCGGTGAGTAAATAACCTATATTGACACAATTACCATGGCAGCATTTAAATATTGTGTACACGAGTCCACGACATCCTGTTGTGCCAGCTGGAGGGGCAAGAGCGTAGTTTTGGATTTCATTTTCCATTCTAGGATAATTTTTAAATTTTCTCTTTTCTGGTCAACTGAGTAAGCTAGATATTTAAATATGGTGTCAAATGTTCTCTTAAGGGGTAAGGAACTTAATGGTGTTTTTGAAATAACATAATATTTAATTTTTAAAATCGATAATTAAAACTACTATACAACAAATGAAAAAACGGTTATTTGCTTGTACCAGTCTCCGGGATTCGACTACATCCGGCATCGGCCAATGAAACACGCAGTTTCTAAGCGTTTTGGTAAGGCGTGACGGCATCGGAGCGGTGTGTCAAAACAGCGGTTTTGAAGCCTAAATTTATTTTATAGTTCAAATCGCAAAGTGTCTTTTCAAAATGAGGGAAAATTACCCTTTTAAAAAATGGAGATTAATTATTTGCCTTTTCGTGCACTAATATTTTGTCAAATCTACCAAAAGGCTTATAAAATGCATGTTTCATCGGCCGATGCCGAAAAGTATGTAAATAATACAAAGAAAACAGACAATAAATTTATTTTGATCATATTTTATTGCGTATTGAAGTAAAGCATGCAAAGTTGTAAACAACACCGCGGCTGGTTGCGGGGGCACATGTTCCAAATAAGGTCAAAGCACATATTTAGGCTAGCCAGCGCAGCTAAATGCCAAAATGTATTGGTAAATAAAATATTAGACATTTTGTATCAAAAGACTGCTAAAAGGAAATAAATACTACTTCATTTATTGATATCGATCTACGTAATTACTGAGTAACTGCGTAAATTTTGCACACAATTCCTATATTTTCAATTAACACAACAGTATTAACGAGGTTGATCAAGTCTAAAAATAAAAAAATTGCCAGTAGGCCTAATTAGATCTAGCACAGAAAAAGACTTGGAATAAGCATTGTTTAAAATACAATACTAAGGCCTAATTAAAAAAGGTGGGGTTCAAGAAATGCGACACGGCTTGCTGTTTACATATCTAGACCCTTCTTAATTGTTCTATCGTCCTCACTAACAAAATCTGATCGTGAATCATATGAGTCAGGTGTGTGTCTTGACCTCCACCGAATCCCTGAGACTGACTCACCGAACCACTGGGGTTCGATAGAGCTCGGGTTAAGAATAACTGTGGTAGTGATTTATCAAATTATCGAATTAAATGTTATTCGACTTTATAGTCTGTTAAAATGCGGAAAGTCTCAAAACGGTAGAGCTTGATTTGAACTTGGTTATGATATGCTGAGTTTGAGATGAAACGGTGGAGTAAAGAAATGTGACTCATATGTTTAACATTTCTTTTTTTAAATTGAATTGAACAACTAAGGGAGTGGAACTTTGAGACATCATTGTATTTTGACTGGCTTTTAGTAATGATTAGTGGTGGGGAGGGGGGAAATCGACCACAGAGATATATAAAAAAAAAACTAATGAAAGCTGGAAGCAAACAAAGCAGTTACAGAAAACTGTAGTATTTAAATAATTAAGGATGGTTTGATAGTAAAAGCCAACCGCTTAGCCTTCAGTTAGGCCTAAATGTATCACCAATGAATGACGTCATTATTTTACAGGGTGTCTTTCTCCCCTAACCATCCCCAGTTTTCACCATAAAAAAACCTGACTCTTCTCAATCACATCGCTGAGTTTGTACTCAACCTCTCCCCACCACAAATCACAATTTCTATCTAAAACAATGTGCTCATCATTATATTTGTTCTGTAATAGTGTACGCTGTCTTAACCCTGTAAAAGCGACATCATTTATGGGCAATCTAATATTGAATGGATTACTGCAAAAGGTGTCAAAAGTTTGTTGTTGTCTTGGATGCACACTTAAGTCTGAAAAGGTCTATTAGTTATTCATTTCAACTATATTGGGGAAAAAAAGAAAAAATTACTATAAAGGCATATAATAAACAATTCAAAACAACCATATTAAAACACAAAATCAACACAACAGACATGCTATGTGAACTTACTTACAACTTCCACGATAATATTTACGTCATGTATATTAAAGGTGGGGACATTGGGGTCGTCCATAAATCACGTCACACTCGTAGGGGGAGGGGGGTTCAGGTGGTGTGACACCACACTTTTGCACTATTAAAAATCTATGTCAGAAAACAAATTTTAGCCGTAAAACTGTTTTAATAAATTGTTATAGGAATTGATTACAAATTTATAATACTCTATGTTGACAAAGTTCAGACAAGATTTTGGAAAAATATCGTATATGAAGAAAAATTCAACTGCAGTTTTGAGGGGGGGGGGGGGGGTTGTAGACTGAGGTGTGACATCATTTTAGAGGACAGGGTCTGACTTTTTGTGACTATATGTGATGACAGGGGGGAGGGAGGGGGTAAAAAGCGTGACATCATTTATGGATGACCCCATTAGTGGTTAATTGGGAAAACAAGGTTTTAGGTTTTTGTTGTGGCTGTTAATAATTAAAGCCCTAAATAACTATAAGTCAACCATGTATGTAACAGTGACAACCAGTGAACTTATTAGGGGTTGTGCATATAGTATGTTTATTATTCAATAAAAAGATGTAGAGGTTAGCACAATATTTGTACTTAACAGTTGGCTGACTACATACTTTAAATCAAGATAAGGAAGTGCTAAAAAATTAAATACTTCAGTATGTTATAAAAGCAGGCTTATAACAGTGTACAGTTGTAGTGTAGGCTACCACTTTTTGAAGTTCAAGCATGCTAAAATAGTTGTTAGATATTTCTACACATTTTTGTATTACCAATATAAGACAAAGTATGGGGGGGGGGGGGGGGGGGGGGGTTAGAATAACGCGTTATGAGGTAGGCCTAGAGATGGTACTATTATTCTAAACTAATTTTGTTGTATGCACAATCCTAATCCTTTTTTTATTTGAAGCTTGTTACTAAAAAAATAAATCCATTTTAAAGGAATGTATATTGAACATGATATGAATCAAATGTCTCAAAAAAGAATGAAATAATAGTCCATTTTATTTTGAAATTCCAAGCGAAATTAAATTTCAGGGTTTTAAAAATTTCAAATTTTAGTTTCAGGATTAGTAAAGTTTTGGGGGTTGATTTTCAGGATTCACATTAAAAATGAGTGGCATCCCTGTATATTTCAATGAAAGAATCGACCTCCATTTTATCATACTGGTTTAAAAAAGCCTAATGATAATGACAAAATTTTTTTCTGAATCGTGTAACTACCGAGCATTACTATACTGATTGAATTCTCAGCAATAAAAGTAGATAGTAATGTATATATATATGAAATAAGCTGTAAAATACAATATAATTTTTTATATTGTGTAAGATGTGTTAAAATAGTTTTGCATTAATTTCAATATTAGAAAATACTTGGATTTGTAAAAATCTTTTAAAATGTACAGGTGCTAAAAAGTGGGCTCTTAGTGCCTTTCTTTACCCTATGCAATAAAGCCTAGGTCAGAATTTTGTTGCTGATTGATGGCACCTTTCTGAGGTTATTACATATTCTTACAATAATTATACTGAGCTTTTTATTTTTATAGAAATTATTAGAATTATACTTAATAATATTTTTTAAAATTTTTCAGTCGGATTGTGCTCCCTATGTCAGTAGAAGAGGTATGTAACAAATTTTTTTAGAGTTATTCCAAAAGAATTGTTTACTTTATGTGCATGTTTGTTTAATGCTATTGTATGTATAACAATGGGACTTCATGTATTGACCTTTATCCATACGTCATCATATAAACTCAAAACAATTTGACCTAAAACATAGCAGTGGAAAAAATTCCTCTATATTACTGCTTTAGAAACCACACATTTTCTATATAATAACAGTTTTTATAAAAAGGCAGTATACAATTTTTATTCTTCTGAAACATTTTTTTGTTTGTAATTCACATGTTTTATCAAGAGAAAATTTTACATGTTAGCAAAATATAAATAGTTAAGTTCAAACCACCCAAATCAATTAGACTCATTACTTTTTAAAAATATTTGGGCATATACAGTTGTTACCTGAAAATCTGAAATAGTACTTAATCAATAGAACCTTTTCAACCCTGATTGTGTCTTTTTTGTGAAATAATTTGTAGTAGCTGAAAACTACAGATTTACAATGAATTTAAAAAGTTGAAAGCAATTTAATTTAACAATTGTCATTAATATAAAATGTATGTCTTGTCAGTTTCATGTAGGTCAGTTATGGTCGGTGGCTCAAGCTAGCAAGAATGAGACTGGTGGTGGTGAAGGTGTAGAAGTAAGAGTTAATGAACCTTTTGATGAGTCAACACATGTTCCTATCCCAAAGCTGGAAGCAAATGGCAAAGAATATACCACAGGGCAATTCACACATAAAATTTATCATTTATCACAGTAAGTTTTTTTGTTCCCCGTTACTATTTTATGTGCTTATATAAAATATATTAACTGTTCAGGGAGGTCTAGGAGATTTCCCGAAATTTTAGGTCATTAAAACTGCATGGTCATAGATTATCCTGCTTATTAAGCTTATCTTACTCACTGTATACTGGATCATTTAGGTTGTAACATTTTGTTAGGTTGTAACATTTTGATCAAAAACTTCTTAAAAATTGTACTGTGAAAAACATTAATTGATAAACTGAATCTTTTGGCTTTAATTCTGAATGTAAATATGTATAACCTAAACCGGATTGAGTGACTATATAGTACTCATCTAGTAAGTATAATCTAGGGGTGCCACTTTTCCGGGCTTACCGGATTTGAAAATTGTATTTTTTCACTTTCCAGATTTGCAAAATTGGAGTTTGAAAATTACCGGGTTTGTGGTATAAAAAAAAATAAAGAACGTTTTTAACTTGAGAATTGTTTTAATTAGCAAGACTCCTGAGCATTTTTACAGCTTATGCCCTTAACGCCATTCGCGCATACGTAGATGGTATAATATCCACTGCTGTGAAGGCTAGGCTTGTAATCAACATGACGTGACATCATTTCTACGCCGATTCTTTCGTTTTCTTAGCCGAAGCTGAAAAAACTTAAGGAATCATAATAGAAAATCAGATTGGTATGAAAGTTACAATGCAGGTCTTTATCCTATAGACAGTAATTTTTAGCAGGAAACCATCTTGCGAGGCAAAATGCGTCTTTAATCATGACTAGCCTTAGTCTACGCGATGTCACTCAAACATCTCGGTTATTGCGACCATTTTTTTTTTCACTTTCCATAAAACTGTTTTTTTTTTTAAAATTAGCCAATGATTAGCAAATGATGACAGTTATGACTAGACTAACCTGCCTCTCCATGTAAATACTGTCACTGATATCTAAACTTGTGTGAACTCACCTTGACTGCAAGTACGTAGTTTGTACTGATTGGCTGGGGGGGGGGGGAGATATAAGTTGTGGTACGGTTCATGCTATGCCGTATTAGACAGGCCTGCTGATGTCTGGACTACTGCTGTGACCCCTCCACCGTGTGTGGTGGTGGGGGTAGGGGGAATGATACAGAATGATACACTTTTTAGATTAGAAAACATGTTTTTTTTTTAAATTCAATGTTTACTCGAGAATCAATGACGTCATATTATTGTGTGCACTCCTCTGCTTTGAAATATTTCCCACTATATGCTCCATGTGACGTGGTATTTTGTTTTCTTTTTACTATGAAAGTTTTTATTTTGCTTGTGTTTTCTCTATTGCGTTCTTGACAGATAGATAGATAGATAGATACACAGACAGCGAAACTATTAGTATAGATTGATATAGATAGATAGATACACAGACAGCGAAACTATTAGTATAGATTGATACGACTAATAGTAATAATTTAATTGAAAACAATTAGATCATTAACAACTAAGGTTAGTGTTGGAAACAATGGTTTCCTCATGTTAATCAATTATTTTAATAATATATTCTTGGGGAAGTGGGGTAGATAACCTTAGAAAAGTCATTTTCTGTCAATTTGGCTAGAGAAAATTCAATATAGACATTAGCTCAATTGGCTTAAATAAATGTCATTATACTGTACTTAAAATGAGAAAACATTATTGCATCAGTTTCATAAATTAATCAATAACACATCTGTATAAAGTTTGGAATTTTTCAACAAAAGTCTGGAAAAGGTCTGGGATTTCATTTTTAAAATGTTGTAAGAACCCCGAGTGTACATTTGTACCACCTTTTATAGTTCAGGCCTACTAAACAAATTTATAAACAAGGTATTGTGGTTTATGTGCATTGGGGAGGGGGATGGTCTGTAGAATAGCACATTATGGGGTAGAGATGGGTCTAAAAATATTTTAAACAAATGTATACACAACACTTTAAATATTAATTTTTGTTTGACGATTGTTACAGAGATATTGTGTTTCAGTGTTTGATTTAATAATAAATTTCAAGTTTTGTTTTCAGGGTTGGTAACAATTGGGAATTAATTTTCAGGATTCGCTTAAAAAATGAGTCAGCTTAAAAAAGAGTGGCATCCCTGCTACAGTCTGACATCATCTTGATGTTTATTGTAAAAATATATTTCTGCCAATTAACTCTGTTTGTCGATTTATTTAATAAATTTAAACATCTATCTTCTGTTTCCTTACATTATTAATTGTTTGGTCGAAAATATTTTTAACCTTATGAAATATATTTACTTGCAGACATACTTACCGCCCCCTGCAAAAACTGAATTATTCAGCTTTTTTTTTTAATGAAAAATCGCGTCTCATTCTGATTTTTTGTAGAAGTTTGTTCTAGTTGATCAAAAGATAAAGAAAGTGTCCAATTAAATGGACTCTTTTGTTGGGTATGACTGTTATTACTTTTGGTCACCAGGGATAGGCATGTCTGTACTTGTGACATTTTTTTTGTTGCTTCTCTAATTAAAACATACAACTTGTTGAACAACATAAGATTTAAATTAATTAAAATAATTAAAATGTATCAAACAATATAAAAAAAGTATTATAACACAACAACCAAAAAATTCTTAAATTGTTTGAAATGAAATATTGAACATTAAATGTATATCTTTTACTAAAATTAAATTTGCTCTGTTGAACCAATCAATTTTATCAATTACAATACTATAGCTTTTATAACCTTTTTTAGATAATTTTAAAAAATAATATGAGTTATTAATTGTTTAATTCAATTTCAGAAAAGTACCTGCTTATGTTCGTTTATTAGCACCAAAGGGTTCTTTGGAGATTCATGAACAAGCTTGGAATGCTTATCCATATTGTCGCACTGTTTTAACAGTAAGGATTGTTTTTTGCTCTCGCGAATACGAAGTATAGAGGAAGTATTGTAATAATGCAAAAATCAAATCTTGACATTTTACACTTCCCTGTGTCGGAAAACATAGTTTTGCAATTTTGTCCGTATGCATGTGTATATGTATGTCTGATCACGATAACTTGTGTACTGTTACAGCTAAGTTAATTAAATTTCATATATAAGTATTATATCAAATTTGTAATTCTGTATAACTTGAGTACTGTTTCAGATAGTGAGACAAAATTTCACAGATAAGTAAACAAATTCTCCGCCTCCTGTCAAATTTTCACTAGTTTCCGTCGACAGGAAGTAGTAATTTACGCTATTTCTGATATCCCAAAAAATTAATATGAATTACATATATACCACTACATACCACTTTAGATTGACAGAAATTGTTCAAAAATTTGAAAGGAACCTTTATATACAATCTAATACTTTTATTTGAAATTTTGTCAACCTAGCTGAAATGGTACTACGGTTATCAATTTTTAAGAGTTCTGGAAGTAGAGTATGTATCACTTGAAATCGCTCAATACTTATATTTCCATTTTGGTAACTCTGTTAATGGGAAATAAATAAGTTGATACACTCTAAACAAAATATATGATGAGGAAAATTGAAGAATAACATGCAACAATAAATTTTGTTAAATAACATTTTTATAATTAATTATTATTTCTTCAGTTAAAATTTGATTTTAATAAAATGTTTAATAAAACAGCAGGCATTAAAACAAGTTTGGGTTTTAATTACAGAAATAATTAAAATAAAATATTTTTTTAGTAGAGAGAAATTATAAATTTGAAAGTTAATGCTCAGAAATTCAAGAATTCTATATTTAAGTTACATTTTGCAATCAACTGAGCGATATTAAAAAGAATTTGAATTTGATTACTATGCTTCCATACATGTGCACTCTGAAAATTCAGAACATGTCTAATAATTAAAAACTTAGTCCAGCGCACAAAAAGAGGCATGGTTTTGTGCCCAGTGACTTAGATCCATATACCCATAACATTTATAGTACACATAAGTAGGTACCGTCCTTCATACATGTAAGTGTAAACGCAGTGTTTAGCCAACATTATTTGTCTTTTTTTCTTAAAATTTGTTTAACATCAAATTATAATAAATAATAATAATCTGTGTTAGAAAATCAATTTAAAATAATATATATTAAATCTTCCCGTTAAATTTTTCTGGACCAGTTTGACTATATTTTTTTCAGTTATTTTAAAAACATGTCTAAAACAATATTTTCAGAATCCAGACTACATGAAGGAAAACTTTTACATCATTATTGAATCATTTCATGCTCCAGATAATGGCAACACACCTAATGTAAGATTTTATTTTACCACAGTTTTAAGTCATATTTAAAAATGGTATGGAAATGTTGTTTGTTAATATTTAACTGTCAGCCTCCTTATAGATCTAGTTAATACTGATTTATCTGATGGAAAAAATGTATTCTGATTTTATCGTTTAATTGAAAGAGTAGAATACGATAAATGTTATTATTTAAAGTTTGTTAAGTTTGCTCTACTTAACATTAATTATATTTCATTTTACACCTTCATTTAACTTCGTTGATTTTTTTTGTGGAGAGTGGATGAACTTGTTCTTCATTCTTAAGTTACCTGCTATCAATTATAGACCAATTAATTGCTCTTTAATTACTTAAGAGAAATATGCATACATCATTTTGTATGTGTCAATTTATATTTTTGACCTAATCATGTATAGATCTATTTTTAATAAACTACTGTTATTATTTCTGTTAACACAAAAAATAAATAAATGTAAACAGTATATAATTTGAACTGTAAACTTTACACAAACACACCAATTCTGTTTTTAATTTAATTTCAATCAATTGGTTTCTGCACTTGGGATATGATTGGAAATGAAATGTAAGGTGGCATTTATCTTTTATTTTTATATTTACAGGAGGTGTATGATTACTTTTAAATCTTTATTGGATTCAAATATTTTTTATTTTGAAAAATGTATCTCTGAAAAAATTAAATTTATGCTTCAAGAGTGTTTACACCTTTTCCTGACCTTAACTATCGCTTGTTTATTATTGTATAATTGATAACATTTTAAATTGCCTTAAGCAAGCCTACTTGGTTTACTTAGCTAGATGTTTCAAAATAAAATGTTATATAACATTTAATATTTAGCTATAGCTATAAACTAAGAGGTTTTCCTACATACATCTTGTTAACTATGAATAACCTCAGCATATTTATAGGTTACTGTAAACGAGCTGCTTTGGCAAAGTCCTTTGGAAACAAGGGCAACCTTTCATATGGATTTTTCACATTTTACTCATAATATTCAATGCGGTTAATAATAAAACTTTTCAGTATTTACTAATTACATTTTTAATAGTAATGGTGGATAAGGTTAATTATTTATTCTAAAATGTTCAGCCAAAATTTTGCATTTTCTCATTTATTTAAAAAAATGCTTTAAGTAAAATGCTTACAACTGTTTTCTTTGCAAAATGAGTATGTATTTCAACACAGCTTACATTTTGTAATGAAATTTCACCATTAATTTTGGATTACTTAAATCGGCAAAATCAATTTAAAAATACTACCCACACCCTGAATTATTTTGTGGTTTTGAAGGGCTATGTACATAATTCAAACTTTGTGCTCTCAAAAAGTTGTTTATGAAAGTTTTCAATTACAATTGATGAGTATTCTGTACTTATTTTTTAAAAAAGGATTCTTAGGGTTTTGATAACCAAAAGTTTTCTTGTTTTATGTCCATACATAACAGTTTTGTTACCCCCTAAATTTTTGGTAAAGTAATCTTTATTGGAATTTAGTTGAGAAAAGAGTTATAAGACCATATGTAAAGGAGTCTTTATGTGAGTTTGTTTTAATGGATTAGTTTGGTTTATTCTTCCTTGTGGTAGAGGGGGAAAAATGAATTTTCTTACTATTTTTTACTTTTTTACTAGATCCATGGATTGACAGGGAGGGACTTGCAGGCAAGACAAATTGTAAAACTTGATATTGCCAATGATAAAGTACCTTCAAAGGTAAGGATTTTGATTACTACAAATACTTTGAAGGTGAATTTTTGTTTATGAAGTCAAGTAAAAAATATTAAATCTGCCTCCCTTAAATTAAAAAAAAAATGTTGCAGGATTATAAACCAGAATGGGATCCCTGTCTAGTTGGTTCACCTAAAGCTGGAAGATCACCATTGCCCCATGACAAGAATGGAAACTGGATGGTAATCATAGCCGAGTTTTAAAAATACTTTGTGTATCTATATATTATTATGTTAACAGTAAAACAGCTTAAAATAATAAAGCTATACATTTTTTAAAACATTTCTTTTTAAAATTATCTATATTTCTATATATATAAAACAATGTCTGTCTGTCTTTTATGCATTACTTCACCTTTCATCTGATCACCATGAAACTTGAGGAAGTTGTTGAGAATACTCCTACGGAGGTTTCTGCAGGGAAAAAAAAACTTCAAATTCTCTAGATACTGTATATAAAAGTAAAAGTCTTGCAGTTTGACACTGTTCATCTGATCGCCATAATTTCACAAGGGTGGCATTGAGAGAGGTTGCAATTTTTTTCTCTCTATATGCTATATAAAAAGTAAAAGTCTGATGCTGCTCAACACCGCTCATCTGAGTGGCATGAAACTTTGGGGAATTGATGAGAATACTCCTGAGAATTCTCTGTATTAAAAATTTTAAAACACTTTGCACGGGCGGCATCCCGGCAGAGTGCGATTTGGTGCTTAAGGCTTTTCTGTGAGCACTATCCCCTAAGTTCGTTTTAAACAAAGCGATAGATTAAGGATAAAATGGGTGTTATGGTTGTTTACTAAATTGAATCAGGCACGTTCGCTGGCACCCCAGGTTATCCTGTGAGCGTTCATTTTTAACAGAGCGATAGACTATGGAAAAGATTTGGGTATATAGTTGTTAAGTAAATTGAATCAGGCATGTCCGCCGCCACCCCAGCAGGGTGCGATATGGCGCCCTGGGCTAACTGTTGAGCACTTTGGTGCTTACGTGGCACACGACATTCTATGATTAAACTGAGCCAGGGGAAGAAGCAGCATGAACACAATTGGTATCTATCTCACTCTTTATATTAAAGATATTATTAAAATAAAATAAATATTTGTATTAAAATAAAAATTAAGATATCAGTGATCATGTTTTTAAAAAATTAACTTGGCTCAATTTGTAAATAAATTTCAGGATTTTTTGCAATTTTTACCTCCCTCTCTAATAAAAATATATTTAAAACATTCAAAACCCAATTCATTTTCCCTACAACCTGATGAATTAAATTCTTTATTTTCTCATACAAATAATAAGTTTTAAAAAAACAAATAAAACATGCTTTTGGAAAATGGTAAGTTATAAGTAAGTTTTGCAAAAAAATGTACTAATATAACAGTATATTAAACATTATTTGAAAAATAAAAAAAAAATTGTAATTCCAAAAAAATTTAATTGCAGCATAATTTTTAGGGTAAAAAAGAATATTTTGGTTTAAAATTTTTTTAAATGCATAGGCTTAAATTTTTAGGAGTCGCTTAAAAAATGAGTGGCGCCTTTAGAACACTAAATCTGTTTCCTGCCATATCAATACAAACACCTTTTCTTAGAAAATTTAGCAGCAACTTTAAATAATTTTTTTTAGTGAATGATCATACTCTTACCTTTTTCAGAATAATGTCAGCCCAGTTATGTGCTGCTATAAGCTGGTTAAAGTTTGGTTCAAATGGTTTGGTCTGCAGAAGAGAATGGAATCTTTTATTTTAACTGTAGGTTTTTTTAAAAAGATATATAATTGAATTATAAATATTTCATTATTTCATAAAAAGTTTGTAATTTTTTGTTTGAACTTTAAATGACTACAGATTTATTTCAATGAAATCAAATACCATTAATTTGACAATACCTGTTTGATTGTGGTCAGCTTCTAGTCTTGACATTAGCTTTAAGCTGTGTAACTACTTGGTGTGATTCAGATTTCAAATATTTACACCTAGATTTAAAACATTCATTCTCAGTTTATTAAAAAAAAAGTAAGTAAAGTTTCCCTTTCAAACCTGATGGTCTATGGGGCAAGTGAAGTAGAGTCCACATGTTTCTGTGACCTCGGCATATGAAGGGATAGTGTGGTCAGCACTATGCCCAGCCGCCTTTACATTCCCTAACGTGAGTTAGGTACCCATCAGAGTTGGGTGGACTCAGGGACGGTCTACTGACTTGAACCCAGATTCAAACTTGAGACTTGCGGGTTAGCAGTCCAGCTCTCTACCGCTAGACCACTCCGTCCCTTTCAGTTTATTAGTGTCAACTAAATTGCAGACATTTTTTAATCTTACTTAACAGATGATTATAAGATACTGCCAAAAATGTTAAAATTGGGTAAATTAAAATTAAAGTATGACTATTCATGTTTTGAATAAACATTCAACCTTATACTGGGATTAAAGGTGAAATTCTTTGTTTTATGTTTGTAAATATTACTTCTGCTTGTAAACACTGTGCTTAAGGAAATTTCCTACAAAGTTGAAATGTATGTGATTGGGTAGGAGGGAAGTTGAAAGATCCATCCACGGCTGTAAAGAAAAGAGTTTACTAGCTATATTTTGCAATAATATTTTCGTAAAAAACTGAATTTGTCTTTTTTTTATAGCAAGAGCAACGGTTGTTTCTTAATTTTCATCGCCAAGTGGTTTGCTGGACAGATCAGTATTATGGCATGACAATGGCAGACATTAGGAAATTAGAAGAAGAGGTTAAAGAAGAACTTGAAAGAGTAAGCTTTTACAAATTTGCAGTTTGGATGTTTCAATTACTTAATAAACCACCCAATTTTAGTGTTTTAAGTTGTGCAATTAATCTATTTTTAGTTTTGACGTTTGTGATTTTGTTTATTTACAGCAACGTAAAGAAGGTCCAGTACGTGGTATGACAGCTTCAGAGGAGGATAAATGATGATATTGATTGCTAGAAAACTATATTGCTATAAACTTATAGTCTTGGCTCTTTATGTTCTTGTAATGTTAATCTACAAATTGTAGGCACTTTGCTCCCACTATAAAATTTGTACTAGACTAAACAATGTAATAACTTTGATTGGTTTTAATTTTTTTTTGTCTAGGATAAAGGATTTTATCAATTAAAAAGTGTTTTATATTGATTATTTAATGTGGTATGTTCCAGGAGAGTTGTTTTTTGTCATCATAAATTTGTATTTCTTTGTTTTTTTTTACTGTAAATGAAAAACGTGAACATAGAAGTAATTTTTTAAAACTTAATTTTGTATGTGTAAACTACTGAATATTTGTAGCGTGAAATCTTTCTGCCACTAGTGTATTTGAATTGTGTATGTGTTTGGTTCACAATAGCATAAAAATTTATGTTTGTATATTTATATTATAATTTGAGTTAACAATTCATATTTGAGCAGCGATGTACATTTTTATTATTTTGAACTCAGCTCCATGTTTCTAATCCAGGATTTTGTGGAATTACTTCTACTTTACATTATAGTGTCTTAACCTTTGCTCTACAACCAGAATCATTCTGAATAAATGGTGTCCAATATAAAAAAAATAACAATTCAATTTATTTATATATTTAATACTTGGATTTTCTAAGTAATCTCTTCAGTTCATTGCCCTTGTACAGAAAAGTTAACAGAACAATATTATTTCTATTGAAACAATAAAAATTATTATTTTCCAAATAAAAGAGATAATTAAAAGTAAGTCAATGAAACATTCATATAATCATCACAGTTTATTGTTGTTTAATGCAATATAAAGAATTATTATAAAATTTATCACTGAGAACCTTGGCACAAGGCATAGTGAAATGCTATTTGCGCTACATTTTTATATGAACAGCTGTAGATCATGGTTCAGAAATTTGTTGCATCCTGTTCATTCATTAGTGCTTATGTTTACAGTAAAAAAAAAACTGTTTGATACCAGTACATGTATATTTGATACCTCAAGTCATAATGAAGCCATACAGTTGCGGTTATGTCATTGCTTTTATAAACTGTTGCATTTTAAATAAGCTTTTTGTAGATTGGTGGATTTGTATAGTATGCTTATATTATTTGACTTGTATGGTGATATTCTTTAGAGGTAAACTTTACTGGGGTTAAGGCTGTGAAGAAATAAAGTATAAAAGAGGGTGGTATATAGGGAGCCATATTCTTAAGTTCTGATTCTGAAATAATTTTAATGAATATTTTTGTGTGCAAATTGTTTCTAAAACAGCAATAAGCATGACAAGATGATTTTTAACTGCATTGAAAATGTGCTAAATTAACAGTGTTTTTTTTTTGGCTACATCTTGGTTTATGAAAATTTAGCTTTGATAAAATGTAATTGATGTATTTTGTAAACATCAAGAAATGTTAGATACTTTGTCCATATTGTGTAACTTATACCATGTTTTTAATGTAATATTTCATGCTAGAATTTTATTTTTAACTCTGAACGTTTCTAAGTATAATTCTGCTTTTCTTGTGTAGTCACCAATCATTATATTGATAGTCATACATTTTATGAAGTATACTAAGTGGATATTTATATGAATCAGTTAAGTCATTGTGCATAGATACATTATTGCATTCTAATTGCTAGGCAAAATTTTTTTTTTTTAAATAAACTAATATCCTATGCAATACTGTTTAATATTGATTACTAACATCCTAAAGTATATTACAGTTACAGTAATTTAATGACTGCATACACAAAAGTTTTATTACATGCCAATTTTATTTTCCTTCTTTTTTTTGTAATTAAGTGTTTTTGTTTGCTTGCACATTGTTTGACCTACTCATAGAACATAGAAACAATTTAATGAGGTGAATGTTGTAGTGAAAAAATATTCTTTTTAAAAAAAAAATACTTATGCTATTGTGGCTATGTCTATTTGCTTTTTACTCAAATCTGTCACATTAAGCCATTTATATTATTTATTAAGCTATTAAAACTAGGTGTATTAGGATTTTACATGCAATAAGTGATACATTCCATTACAAAACTCAATAGTTAGAATGGGCATTGAAGTATCTTAACTTTTGTGATTGGTAGACTTAAATTTCTTCAATATGACTGAGAAAAACTTTAGATCAAATTTAATATAATTGGAGTAGGCCTTTTTTTTTTTTGCTCAATGGTGTGATGTGACATTTTGTAGTTCACTATTTGCTAATTATTTTCTATCCATTTCCCACCTCATACCCAGCCTCAATCTTATTCCAATAATTTCTAGTATTTTTTTTCTTTGTGCTCATTCAATTAATAAACCAAATCTTCATCTTAAGCTAAAAAAAAAAAGGTAATAAACTGCTGGTTTTTTTTTTAAAGAATTTTACGTTTACATGTTATAGTGCTCTATTATAAAGCAGAACAATTTTTGTAATTATGTACTTGTCAATTTGATTTTAAAGATTTAAACAAGAAAAAGCTTTTTAATTCAAAAATTTATTAGAGTAGATACAAATTAATTTTACAGTATAAATTACTTGCATTAATTTCCTGAGTTAAAAATAAAATGTTTCTGTTTTTTGTTAACCACCTACCATAGGAGCATTTGTTGATTTTGTTGATTCACTAAGCACAAAACAGTTTTCCCACTACTATATCAGTTGCACTAAACCAGGGGTCTCCAAACTTTTCATTCCGAGGGCCGCATTAACTATCAAATTTCAGTTCGGGGGCCAGTTTCTTCCAGGCATGTCTTTGATTTTTTCTGGGTAAAGTTCCTCAGCCATCACAAACAAAAAAAGACAAAAAGATCTCCTCGGGCCGGATAAGAGAACTTCGCGGGCCTGAGTTTGGAGACCCCTGCACTAAACAAATAATTTTGCCCTGGCTGGGGAATGGGCTGCCAACTAAGATCTCCTGAGTCCTCTCTTCCTTGCCATTTTCTCAATTTGACTCCAGGTGTAGCCCATCTTTGTGGCCAGCCTTGAGTTTAACCTTTTCAGGGCCACAAGGAATGCAGGCATAATGTTAAATATTTGTGCACATATTTTGTAGTAAAATGACACGCAGATTCCAAAAATGTTAACGGTTTTCTGATATCTTAGTTTTTGAGATACAGCATGGGACATATATGTCCCTATGGTCCTCAATGGAAAGTTATCGAAAATAGGTTGTGTTATATCAAAATGTTTATTGCAAAGATGATCAAACGTGTGTTGGTTGTTCTGGTTCATTGGAAACTAAGAATATCAGGTAATGAAAACACATGTATGTCTTTTATGAGTGTATAGTCATCTATGAATGAAGCTTTTGGAAGCAGTTACGTGATGTTATGTAATATACGCGAATATTCCAGATATCAGTTATGTTGTCAATCTTTTCCCTTGCCCATTGTGCATAACTCCTGCGTTTTTCTTCATTTGATTCATCAACTTGTGTTCAGGTTGTGATGTTGGAGTGAACTTCTTGCCTCTACAACCAGATCTTGAAGTGAGATTTCTTTCATGTAATCCCCACATGGGAGCTCTCGCTATCATTTGCATATATTCAAGCTTGGTTTGGCATTGTAGTCAGGCTTGAATTTTTGTTAAGTGTGCGTATAAATGCCTTTTTTAAACTTAAAATCTATATCTTGGCATCACATTATTAACATATGAAACATGGAGATCAGGTTCCGTGAACTAGTAGTCTTCAAATTTAGAAGTACATGGTATCCCATCACAAGTTTCATTCCAAAAAATCTACAGATGTCTTGCGAATGAGTTTGAAAATGAATCACTTACTGTTTACTATTATCAATAACGAGCCGGCCCGCGGCATAACATACGCCGCTATTTAGTTGTTTCTAATTTTCAGTAATTCATAATGTGTGAATTAGACAGTACCAACGCTGCCACTGAAAATATTTCTTTAAAACACTATAAGTAGCTCGTTAAGGACCATAACCCCTACTCCCTCCCCCCCCCCCCTACGTTTAAAATCGTTGGCTCTGCTTGTAAACATTTAGAGTGAACACAGCTCAATAAAACCATGTAGGGGTGGGGAGGTAGGGAGCGCGTTTACAGCTTGTTTTCTAGGCGCGTTTGCAGCTTGTTTTCTAGCGGCTCCCAGGAGAGAATTATATATATAGATAAGAGCTACCAAACACTCAAAATATGCCAAGTAACATTGGGATCTTAATTACAATCAACATCTATTGTAAATTTCCCATAACCATAGTCAATAACGTGTATTTGAAAGTGTTTCCAGAAGCTTCTAGTTGAAAACAATGTTTTGCTCCAGTCTCCTTTTTCAAATCTCACGGGGACGTTTGATTGTTCGTTGGGCAAGTCATGCTCTATTTATGATAATGTAAAGTATCAGCTTCGGGTCTAGGGCATTACCCCTCCACCGTCAAATACCCCCCCCCCCCCCCTTGATGCTGAAGAACCCTGCCCTTAATCCCAATCATATATCTAACCCTAACATAAAATCCTAAACTCAACCCTAAACCAAGATTTAACACTAACATTAGCACTAACCAAACCCTGATCATAACTTATTCATAATTAGACATTGGGTAATAGCTCCGAGGTGGAAATATCGGGTGGGGGGATATGTCCGAGTGGTAATTGTCATTATTAACGCTCCCTCTAAGGGGAAAAATCTAGTGTGCATGGTATATTTTTCGGGCGGGGTGTTCTAAAAGGCATATACAAGATTACATGTACTTTACGAAATGACAGAGTGTCATGTTCAAAAATACTGATCGACTGCGCGACCATGCAGATTAGAGGGAATATTAGTCTATATAGGATGTGAGATTGGCGATGCATGCAATGTATGCAAAATAGAATGACAAGAATGAGGTGTAGACTTTATCACTGGTGACAATCTGTTCTGGGACTTGACAGGTCATTCAATTATATCTTCTCCCCTCTTTTATCGACATTTTTCTACAGAAAATTCACATCTTTTTCATCAAAAAGCAAGTTGTTTTCATCGTCATTATTGTTTATAATCAGTATTTGCTCAGTATTTTGTTCAGTGATAGTAAATAAATGCTCTGCCTCTATATGTATTCAACTGCCAAAACACATGCTTATCGACATTGAAAAAAAGTTAGCTCCCTTCCGGACCGTAGGGACATACATGTCCCAAGCAAAACAAATTACTCTTTAAAAAAAAAAAACAAGTGAAACTATTAGGAAAAACAAATGAAAATATAATACCTCAATAGTAAACCTTTAAAAAACCACCAGTTATTTATCTCTGTTACATTTAGTATTTATTATATAAAAATGTTAACTGTAGCCTTGCGAATGGTCTAAGAGTGGAAAGTTTCCATAATTATGACAACAAAACTATCTCATATATACTGAAAACAGCCTTATTTAGATTAAGTCTATCATGTAATAATTGTTTTAAAGCAAAAATTAACAACTCTGTTATTCCAGTTTCGTTTGGCGATAATCTGAAAATTTGGGACACCGGTGTCCCTTGGTCCTGAAAGGGTTAAGATATCCCCCTTTAATAATTGCTTTATTATATATTTAGTTCCTCAGCAGTGATTTTGGAAGCAGGGTTACTGCTTGACCAACTAGGGGTGCACAAGGCCTTTCTATGAGCACTATTACACCTACACTAGGTAAAAAGTAGTTACTACAATTGAACACATTAAACCGAAGTGGGGTGGCACTCTGCACCCCCCTGTGGTGGTAGCCGGTGGCTCTTAAGGGAGTTTCATGATTCCCTAAGACATAGTTTGGGGCCTAGATGTGCTCTACTAATCACTTTTTGAACATTTGTCTCCAGGGGACAAACTGTTTTCAGCGACTTAAGTGTTTTCTATATTAAAAAATTTTCTAATTAGTACTTCCATAGTACACAATGACTAAATCTGATCGTGGATCATGAGTCTGGTTTGTCTTGACCCCTGAAATTGATGTGCCAAAACCCTGGGGTTCGATCAAATCCAGGTTAAGAAACACTGACCTAAACAAATGAGAATTCACCATGTACTTTGAGGGGGAGTAGAAAGAATACTAGCTATTTTTAGAAGTCTAAGGCTATTATAAAAAGTCCTGACTTGGATATAATCAAGATGATTATTTGGCTTAAGTTTTTTCAAGAAGCTATGGTTTTCAAACCACTATTTATTTAAAATAAAAAATAGACCCTACCAAATTACTACAGCTAAACTGTTTAAGCCAATCTTTAAGAAAACAGATGAGAATATAGATCTCTAATTTCAATTAGTTTAATGTGGAAAAAATATTTTCATTTGTTAGATTGTAAAATTTAGGAAAATAACTTCCTAGATCTGAAAGGGATAAAATGCTACTGAAAGGGACTTTCAGATATTAGGTTATATTAAGCTATTAAAATGTATAATACTGTTGCAAGATAACCTTTTTGTTTGCAATAAATTAGAGTTGCATATACAAAGCCTATTGTGTCTGGTCCAAAAAAAAAGCTTATTTATTTTCATGGTTTGAGAACATCCCTGAACATAGTTTACATTTAAATGACTGGTTTAAGAAAATAAAGTACATGATTGGTAAACAAGTTTCCCCAAGTAAATTAATTGAGGGAAAGTTGTAATTAAAAATTGAAATATTTTTTTTGCTGCTGTTGTGAATCACTAATTTATTACAAGTTATTTTTTTTACTTCTTTTATTTCCATCAAAATGCATAAAAAACAAAAATATATACCTCAAGAAACAAATGACCTTTAATTAAAAAAAAAAAAGCAATTCAAATATCCTTGATAATAATATACAAAAGAAAATATTGTGATTGATCTTATTTTTACACTGTACTAAAAAGGGATGGAAATGCTCATTTCTTAAGGGTCTTTATATAATCTTGTTTTTCATATATTTTGATTGTCTAACCTGTCCAATTGATTTGTCTCCAGAGACTGATCAGCATAAACTTGATAATTTTTAACACAAAAAAAAAAATTAAAAAAAATCAAAGCTCATGCATTTACTTAAGCTCAAATGAAGAGCTGAAACATTCTCATTGGTTTGCTTTGTCTTGATAATGAATGCTTTTAATCAAACTAATAATTTTACAAAAATCCACAAAGGTGAATTTTAACTTTTATTTCAGTTAAAAAAAAATCCAAATTGGAACATCCAAAAGATGTTGAAATATATAATTAAAATAGCAATAAATAAAAAGTGAGGTGATTTCATTTTCACACTCCAAATCACATACAAGAAATAACTGTCAACACTCATGTCTATGGGTAGTGGTTAAAGTTTTGTACAAATCAATCAGTGCAAAGTGATTTTTAAATTCCTCTAATCCCTCCCCATAACAAATGTGTTAATGAATTATGATCATGGAATGTAACTTTTCCACAATCATTGAAAATTGTTAGTAAATTGTGGCAAAATTATTTCAAATTCGGTCTTTAAATTAAAATTCTATATACAATTTAAAAAGTTTTTTATTTCTGATCTAACCAGGTTTTAGGCCTGGGATTACTGGGAATAAAAAGTAAAAATTGTAACAGATAATGAATGTATAGAAAAGGAGAGAGGGTAAACTGTACCAATGGTAATTCAAGCCACATCTAACCTTTTTCAAGGTAAATAACTTTCTAGGTAGCATTTACATTTCATTATATGCTGCAAATATTTTAAGGAATTTAGTATTTTTAAAATTACAAAATGAATACTTCGCTCTCAATTGACTTCGCTCTCGATTGACTAACTTTACAAGGAAGTTAAAATGGAAACAATATATATGATAAGAAAAATGTACTTACATCTTATCACAATGTGACAAATAGGGCCTATCTAGTTTGAGAAAAGCTGACATTCAAATACCTTTGAGCAAAATAAAATTCAAGACACTTAAAAAAAAACTTACTTATTTTAACCTGATCCTTCAATTTTTAAGTTTGTTTTTCTTATTAAAAAATCTATATGCACCACACAAAAATAATTTCATAAAGCAAAAATGTAAATGACAATTTATTTTAAAAGAAAACAGGAAAATAAGAAAAACACTTTTAGGCTCATAAAAAATTAATACATGTGAAAATATAAGGCTATATATTCATTTGTTGAAATGAAAATAGCAAATAAATTTAAATCCAACTTTCTCACATGTGCACAACAACTGTACATATGTACATTTTTAAACATCGTAATAACCTTGAAGGTTAACTTCATAAAATATATGCATAACTAAGTTTTTTAACTGGTCAGTTAAACTCAGGTTGTGATTTTATTGCAACCAAAGGTCTAAATTAGAAATGCAACAACTGAGAAATAGGGTTTTATCTCACACAAAAAATTGAAACAAGTATGTTTAGTGAAACAATATCGACAAAAACAAAGCTACATGCCAAAATTGATTCACATAACCATTACCTAAATAGTATTTAGACATCTAGACAAATATTTCACAACTGTAACAAGAGAAAAAATTATCTATACAACCAATAATATAAGTAACTTGACATAATAAAATACATATTTGAAAGAAAAACTTTAAGGTTAGATAACTTAAAAGAATTAAGTTAGTAAATGATGAAAATTATATTTTAAATCAGGCAGTGAAAACAACTTTAGTCATGAAAATTATGTACATGTAAAGAAAGGCGCTATCTGCTTTTTATATGTACATGATGAAAAAAATGTAATAAAATGAATAACAAATTCAATGGAATCTTTAGATTTAATGGCAGCTAAATGAAAAATTATGAAACTAGCACTTTTGAGAGTAATTCTGGTTGATGTTTATAATCTATAGAGATAATACAATTTTAATTTTTTTTAAATTAACACTTTGAACAGATAACAGCTAACTTTATGTAAAAAGCTACCAAGTTCTATTATTTACTATATTTACAGGAAACACCTATTTACAGTTATACATTGTTGAAATCATGCATTCATTTAAATATGGATCTTTTAAAAAAAAATATGCAGCTATCATTAATAAGTATGTGCTATAATTAAAAAAAAGGCTGTTCAATTCAGTATTCATTCTATGGTTACACTGATTCAATACAGACATGTTCACTCTAGGAGATAGTTATTGCTAGTATTTTTTAGATTGATTAACACTAAAAAGCTATACAAGTAGGTAAGAATCAGCCTGTTTCATTCCTACATCATTCATACTCATAGATCAACAGCAATTTGGCACTTTGTATAGTGTGTGCCAAAAACACCTAACACTTTGATAGGGTGTGCTGTAACCCTCAACATGCATGCTTAAAAAGAAGCTTTAAATTAATTTTTTTGATATAGTTAATATGCACTTTGCAAGAGGTGTGCTGCAACCTCAAGTTAATTTATGAAAAGGTTTAAGTAATTAAAATACAACGCCCTCATTAGTGAATTAAACAACACAACAACCAAAAGCCAATTTTATTTATAGGAGGGGTAAATAAAAACATTTTAAAAAGTGTATTATATATATATATATATATATATATATATATATATATATATATATATACACACACACACATTATATACATGTAGTTCAAATTTCAAAAATATTAACAATCTGCTCAACAAATCTTAACAAGATCAACAAAAAATTGCAAACATTTTGGAAACAAACACTATTTACAAACTAAAATATCTCATTACTATATGGAGTTCAGCAGCTCCAGGAACTGACAGTTTGTGCCTGGTCTGTCTTTACCAGAAACCTTACACTTATTTTTAATAGTGCAAAGAGGAATGAATATGATGATTAGATCCATTAGAACTTTTCAAATTTATATTGTGTTTGAATTATGAGTTTTCACCGATTAAACAATACATTACACAATAATAAACTAAAACAATTTACTTCCTCAAATGTATTCCCACATTACACCACATCTTAATTCTAATTCCTCTCCAATTCATCCACAGTCATTACATGGCTTCCTTGGGTAGGTAGGGGGGGCATACTGGAAAGCTGTGTCTTTAGAATATCTGAGCCAAACCAACGCTGAATGCCACCAACATCACCTTTGCCACTTCCATTTATGTTAGTACTGGATGGCATAGGACCATCTGAAAAAATATTTTTAGATTATTAAGTCAGGTAACCTTGCTTTAAAATCCTACATCTTTGATGTTCAAACAGTTTATGGTATATATATATATATATATACATATATATATATACATACATACATATCTGGAATACAAATCATACCACCAGGAATATTATATTTAATTCAACAATTGTGTAACCCCCAACAATTCATTCCTCTGTTTAACTATGTGTACTCTTAGATTCTATTTTGCATCTCATTAATGTACTTGCTAAAAAAGCTAAAACAAAAACCCAAGGCAGACCACAAAAAACAACTGACCAACACAGGATATAAAAACAGTCTTGACGCCTAAAAATGTTTTTTTTTTCAAGCCTATAATGTTATCTTTTAGATTACATTAAAAATCAACACTGAGCTGTTTAACATTTTTGCCAGAAAATTTCAATTCATAGCAATATCTGATTTCTGTATTAAAAAGTTTAAAAACAATTCAAAATTACATCTCTGAAAAGAAAAAAGCTGGCAAAACTCAATTATTCATAAGACACTTCAACTGAAGTATAATAAGAATTAACCTAACAAATGTGCTTTTATTCCCCCATAAGGATTTTAAAAACTGCGACAAGACTAAATATAACTGTCAAAAATATACACACAATTTTTCATTATTAACCATTTACAACTAAGTTTAACTTACTCATTTTCATTCCATGTGGTGATGCAACTCTTTGAATTGTTGCAGTTAGAGCAGCTGGTGACAGTGGTCCAGCCTGATTGTGAGGACTAATGGGTGCTCCATGCACAACTGAATGCATGGGATTTACAATTCTATGTTGTGGGGTTGTTTTTGTCTGCTGCATTGCCATAAATTGAGATATCTGCTGATTACGTTGCTGAACATTTATTGCATTAGCTGGGGGAAAAAATTACCAAAATTCAGCTTGCATGTTCTTATAAGTATATGTCTCAACATAGCTTACAGCTAAATAAGTTTTACTTTTCAAAAAGCTCCCTTACAAAAAAAAAACAGAAACAAAGCTATTCTCAAAAGAGGTGGAAAAGGAAGAAAATATACATACCTCTAGCAAACTGATGATTCATCATCATTGCATTAGTAGCTGGATGAACTGGTGAAGCAACTACTGGAAAATGACCAGTCATATGTACCCCTACAGGAGGAGGACCCAAATGAGAAATTGGTGTGCCCATTGGTGGTGGAGGAATACCCATACTTTGAGTCTGAAATTTATTTTTACAAATAATTACCAGAATAAGGAATTTACACAATAATAGTTTTGAAGTAAATAGTAGATATGTTTGCTATAGTTTGCCTCTTTTGACTTAGACATTTTACCAGTCAAACAATAATTTCTGCAGTTCAACTTTCACAATTAGAGCAGGATCAAAATAAAATTACCTAATATTGCACACGAGATTGTAAACAACTTAATCAATAAGGCATACCACTTGTCGTCTCTGCAAATGTTGCAATTGTTGCTGCTCTAGCATGCGCATCAATTCCAAAGTTTGTGCAGAATTATTTGAAGCACCTCCAGCCATTTGTTGAATACAACTCCCTCCAACTATAGCCCTTCCAGATACTTGTTTACCAGGCATGTTATTTTGTTGTAAGCTGGAAGGGGGTGCTGTAGAAGTTTGAATGGTTATAGAATTCATTGAAGACTGTAGTATTTTAGACCCACTTCCAGTCACTGGTCTACCAACTGGGTTTGTTACTGAAGGAGGCTGCTGCATAAATATCTGTGGCTGTAGGCCATGCACATTCTGGTGTTGCAAAAGGGATCTTTCTTCAGGAGAAATTTCTTGTGATGCTAAAAACAAAACGTAAGTTAATTATAAAGAAACATGTTATAATCTATTATTCTTGATGCAGATATAGTTTTTAAAATTCTCAAAGATTCTCAGGCATTTTATCATTAACCACAATGAATGTCTGGCAGAATGTTTATTGGAAACATGAATAGTCAAGTCTACTTTCACGTATTAAATTATAAACATTGATTTTTAAAGTTATGCTTGTGTGTAGATAAGCAACCATAATTTGTATTACCAATCTATTAGGGCTAAGTTATACTGGTTGAGGAGGGTTGATTCAGACATAACATGTTAGGCAGAAATGTTAATACAACCATGGGTTGCTAACAGTATAATTCTCTGTACGCGAATGTATTTTAATAATTAATATTAGCATTTAGGCCTTTCAAATTAATAACTGGCAAGGCCTCCTCTGGTTCATGGCTTCTATTTGTTTACTTAATCGCCCACTTTCAAAAGGTGCTTTTTAACACGTTTTTCTTAACTCAGCTTCGCGTTTGTTTGTTTGTGGGTTTGTTGTTAAAATTGACAACGAAAATTAGCCCACTTCTGATTGCTCTAGAGATCTGAAATTTGGAATGCAGGCTATTTTCACCTAACAATTTCAGATGCAATCATAAAAACTAGCAATTAGAGACCTAAATTAGCTTAAATTACGCCCCAAGGACCATAAAATTGAGGACATGATTTCTAAACATACCGACAAGACTGGAGGCCTATTGACACAGTTACTTTGGCCCCAATCGATTTGAGCGCGCTGGCCGTGATCGTATAGTGGTTAGTACTTCGCGTTGTGGCCGCGACAACCCAGGTTCGAATCCTGGTCACGGCATGTAGGCTTAATTAAATTACGCCCTTTCTCTGTTTAAAGCGTATCGGTCGCTCAAGATTTTTAGTCCGTGTATTTTTAAACACTTAGTCAAGTCATACTTAATCAAGTCATTAGATAAAGTAGAAAATAAACTATATAAAAAACTTTTTAAAAACCACGTTTTTCATGTGTAGCAACGGACTAAAAAGGAGAAAATAAAACACTTAAAAAAAACTTTTTAAAAACCCACGTTTTTCTTGTGGACTAAAAAGTAGAAAATAAATTTTTCTTTTGTGCTTCCTCGAGCTGTGCAGGTTCTTGTGATGACTGACAAAAAACGTGGGTCGGGCAGATGGGTCGGGAAATTTGATGGTGAACGTACACACGTTTTTTGTCAGTCATCACAAGAACCTGCACAGCTCGAGGAAGCACAAAAGAAAAATTTATTTTCTACTTTTTAGTCCACAAGAAAAACGTGGGTTTTTAAAAAGTTTTTTTTAAGTATTTTATTTTTAAATTAGGGTTTGTCCATAAATGAGGGGCTGGAGGATTTCAGAAAGTGTGATGCCAAGCTTTTGCAGAAATGTTAGAAACCGAATTTAAGCTGTTTTACGTTGGTATTATAAAAATTTCAATAAAAGGAAACTAGGTCTACTCAATGTTGACAATGCTCAGTAAATATTTTAGAAAAAAAAATGCTGTTCATTTTTAAGATTACAATTTTGAGAAGTGTAGTTGGCTGAGGTGTGACATCATAGTGTTGGGTCCTGGCTTTTAGTGAAGATTAGTAACATTGGGGAGGCAGGGGAGATAAAAATAATTAAAAATCATGACATGTCACATATGGTATGTACGACCTGAGTGCTAGATTTACACATTGCAATGTTTTTTTTAGCAGGAGCACTGTCGTCTTAAATTCACATTTTACATGCAGGATATGAGTTTTATGTTTGTTTTAAAATGTAAGTACTTCGATATTAAATCAACATGTGGACTAGACATAAAAGGATGACACCTTATATCTAAGTGTAAACATTTACAACCACAATCTGAGTGGCTGCACACTAAAATGGCTAGTCCAGACTCTAGATGCTGACCACAATAATATAGTATTGGTATATTATAAAGTAAATGAATTTTCTCTTGCTTAAATGATTTTCATTATCAATTTATTCAAAAGAAAAAAAAAGCCTCATTTTTTTCAACTCTAACATTTGTGTATATGGCAAAATAGCCAGCTAGGGGGAATTAATACTAATAGTTTCGCTGTCTGTCTATGTATCTATCTATCTATCTGTCTGACAAGAACGCTCTAGAGAAAACACAAGGAAATTAAAAACCTGCATAGTAAGTCGAAAAAAAATGAAGTATGACGCGGTCACATTTAGCTTAGAGCAAGCCGGAGAGTGCACGCAGTAATATGACTCATTGATTCTCGAGTAAACATTGAATACAAAGGAAATTTTGTCTAATCTAAGTGGTTTGCGTGAAGAGTTTCTTTTATACAATTCTTTCATACAATTCTTCGGGTAGGGGCGAAGCCCCACCCCCGCGTAAGAACGTCTGAGCCCCCCCCCCCCCCCCAAACTCAAAAGAAATGTCGTAATCGATACTCTATAATAAAATTACCGCCTAATTAATGTGTCTAATCTAAAAAGTGGTTTTCTCGCAATTTCTTTAATGCAATACTTCGGGTAGTGGCTAAGCGCGACACCAGTGTTTCTTTCAGACTTTTTCCTCCCCGGAGAGGGGTGGGGGTACTTGAAATTTTCGGGGGCGGGGGTAGAATTTTCGGGGAGGGGGCGGACACTGGAAAAAGTATATAATTATATTTTGTTGAATGGGGCGGTAGACATGGTTTTTTTTTTGGGGGGGGGGGGGGGGGGGGGGTGTGTAAGGGGGGGGGGGGGGTGGGGTGGTTTTAGTTAAGAGAAAAGAGACAGCACTATCAGCCTTCCTCAACGGGCCATTTTTCTCGTGTTTAGAATAATATTGGTATTAAGAGAATGAGGCTAAAATTAGGTTTGGACATTATTAAATTACTAGCCGTCAGTTCCTGTTACACGGGAATTATTAGCATATACATTTTAAAATCTTCTACTTGTTTGAGAAAAATATTATATAAAATAGTTATTGGTCAAAACGCAATGTGCTTTACTACACGTTGAACAATATTTGTGACAAACCAAAGAAATAACTAAGTAGATAAAAATCAGACACATTTAAAATAACATAGGCTACCAGTACCTATTAGAAAAAACAAATTGTATACATTATTAGTAAATACAACATCATATTAAATGAACACACTGATTAAGAGATTTAAATGATTATGTTGAAAACCCTGCTGTTCAATGGTATTTATGTTGTTTTTAAAAAGTAATTTGTATTACTTTTGGCTGAGAAAATTGTATACATGTTACAGCGTATGTCTTGATAAGTAGATCTACAGATCTAAATCAAATTTTAATGAAATAGTTCATTTCTTCAAATTCTAAAATTGGAAGATGACAGTTTTGTGTGCTTTCTGTAGTTTAAACATGTGAGATGTTTTTTTGTGTGTTTTTGTCACAACATTAAACACTTTTCCGGTTCAATAATTAAAAATATATTTCGACATTTGAATATGCCTTTATTTTCATTTTATTTTTTAAATAAAATTTTGTTTATACATTTGAAGCATCCAACATATTTTCAACAAAGTCTGTATCATTAAGGTCTTCATACATCGCTGAATATACTAATCACATTGCCTCAAAAATGTTGCGGAGAGAGGGAGAGAAGAAGTGCGCACATGGTCTTTTAAATACACAGAATAAGATAAAACAAATTTATAAAATTATTTTTCTGCCTAAAAACTAAGTAATTTTCATTGTTAAATAAAAGGATGAACAAATAAATATTTAGATGTACTGGCCATATAAGTTTAGCAAAGAATAGTAAATTAAAAGATGTAACTGGTGAAGATATTTTAGTGACACCCTAACAAATGTTAGTGAGACTTGAAACATTTCTAGTTGACCATTGAACTGTTATAGATAGTCAGAGATTTTAGTTATTTACAGAAGAAATGTGAGTAGGATAAGGTCAAACTATAAATAAAAACACTGTTTTCTGGGATACAACTGTTAATATCTCAGGACTTGCCTTTTACTATAGGCCTTCCTTGTCCTATTCCTTGTCCAGCTCTAGCTTTGTCAAGCATCAGAGAAAGGTATCCTGGTTTCTCTGCCAAAGCTGACAGTTTAAGCTGAAATAATGTAAGGAAGGGTTAAATTCTTCATCATTGAACACCTTTAACTTTTTTTCTTTAGAATTTGTTACCAATTAATCTTGTATCAACTGGTAATTTTTAGTAACTAAATTTACCCATATATTTATTATTATGCTAATAAATATATGTTAGAAAGTGCAAATACATTACCATAAATCCTCCACCCACCTTCTCTTCAACTGACATTGGCTGAGAGAGAGTGCCAGGTAATATGTTTGTTTGTCCAATTCTCATATTTTCAAGTTGGTTGGACATGGCTACAAGATTAGGGTTAACTGGATCCAAGAAGCTGATATCACTAAGGTCCCCAGCAAGTTTAGCATCAGATTTATGTGAAACCTCTTCAACTGTGTTCATGTCAATAATATCATTTTGGCCTGCTGCATTTAAATCATGCATTGATGGCATATATTCAGTAATGCTTGGTTTATCTGAATAAGAAAATTATACAATATGGATGCAGCTGTGATTTTCATAAATATTTTAAACTACAAAAAGCTTTTTTAAGTAATTAGCTAAATCATGAAGTAGACAAAGTTTTAGAAATTGTTACTTTACCAGTTTCTAAGTCTGGTTTAATTTCTAGCGCATGCTTCTCCTTTTCAATAGCTTTGTCAGAATGCATTTTAAGCAACACTGAAGTTGGTGTAAATGTGTCTACCGTAGCACCCTGAAATTTCATCCACTATTATAAAACAAAAGTATTTATGTTTTGTGTTTATAAAATACAATCATTTAAGGGTGAAATGGTTGATGATTCTTTGATCAAAACAAACTCTTTAAGACTGGAATAATGCTCTCAGCATTGGCCCTCAGGCTTGTAGTACCAAAATTTTGGTACCAATGTTCAAATCCATTTTTCTGATACATATTTGTTTTGCTGAATGAAGTTTTGAATTGTATATCTACGTCATGCTTTTGTAATAGTGGATCACGCTGTTTTTAAGCATATTTTGATTTTGCACTTTAAAAAAAAATAAAACCTAATGTATAATGGCTGTGTCTATACAGTTATGTTTATGCATTAAAAAAAGTTTTTAAAAAAATATTTAATCTAAAATTTTAGTAGAAAAATGAATAAACATTTGTTACCTAAAAATTATAATCTAAAGTGTTTTCACATGGGAAAGTTGGAGTAGCTAGTTCTATTTTCATGTAGAAAATAAATATATTTTCATTATTTATTAGAAAAAACAAACAAGTTAAAAATCAATGTAAATGTGTATAGAATGCACTTTAATGTATAATGTTGAGATTTTAAACTAATGATAAGATTATTTTCTAGCATTGATGCTTAAAATAGTTAATCTAGATGACTATAAGGTACTTGCACCCCCCACCCCACATTACTTCCAGAGTCAACTTCATGTATACAAGGTATACACATGATTTGAATGAAATAGGGATCAGGAATGGTTATTAGTTGCTACAATAGTGCATAAAGTGTATCATAGATAACTGCACAGCTAGCAAAAATGACAAGATGACACACAAAAATTATAGTAGTAGATAAGATAACAGTTCAACCATTTTACCATTAAATATTTTAATCATAAAAAGAACATAGATTTCAATTTTCATTTTTATTGAGTACCACTGTTATACACAAATAATGCTTTAAGGATCAGTATAAATGGTTTGCTTTTTGTCATTTTGAACTAAAAAACTGTTAATTAATATCTTCTACATTTGAAAAAAAAAAAATTTAAAAAAAAAAACCTATGGTAGAATAATTGTTTTAATTAACCATTTATATCCCCGAAATCAGGAAAAGATTTACCACTGCTGCTATTTTCATTGAAAAAAATGTTTTCTTTAGTTTAATTAATCAACACCAAAACATTTTCCCCAGAATGCATCCTTTTAAGATGTTCTATTAAATGCAAATTTTTGATGTACTTTTTAACAGTGAAAAAGTTTTCAAAAATTACTTTAAGAACAAGTTAATACTTTGTTAAACTTGTAACATTTATGTATTTTTAAAATGAAATACCTAAAAACTTGACAACATTTATTGAAATTAAAACATTCAAATAACTGACCTTGGACTGAGGGGTTGGTGGGAGTACTGGATGAGCAGCTGGTTGTGGTTTTACAAAATTAAGTTGATTAGGTGACCTAGCTCTGAAATCATTTAAATGTGTATACATCAAATATAACAAAAAGCATAGTTAAAAATACCCCCCCCCATTGTTGAAGTGCAGCCATTTTTGCTCTCCTAATGGCCATAAAAATGACTTAAAGCTGGAAAAAAAAAACATTGATTCTTAAAAAATTAATACGTCCACACAGATTTTGAATTTTTGACACCCCCCCCCCCCCCCCGACGTGGATGTCTATAAAAATTTAGTAGACCTCTCAAAACTTGCTTCTAATTTACCATTTCAATATCATGAATTGTGTGACCATGAACAGATATACAAATATATTTCAGTAATGTTTATCACCTTTTCCAATACCAACCAAAAACTTAAGCAAAGTATTAAACACTTATTTTTTAATGTTGAAACAAAGTATTATTTTTCTGTACCCATATGATGAATTTTTGCAATATTAACTATCAAAAGACTAAAGGCCTACTCAGGTTCATGACCTCTAATTCTGTTAACCTCGCCACTCACTTATCAAATAAGTAGGTTTACTAATTTTATTAGGTCATCTGGAGGGGAGGCTCAGACTATTGTAAAAGTATAATGAGGTTTTCTAAAAATAATAATCCTAAATAATCTTGATGTAGTTTATGGTATGGATGTCCCCAGTGTAGGTATTAATACAGTTGAGCTGGGTTTATTTTTAAAGCATGAGCACTGCAGTCTTAGTTTTACTTTTTAAATGCAGGATAGGAGTTATTTTCTAAAATTAAGTACTTCAATATTAAATTAAACATTTGGGAACCCTAAAGGTTGCAAACGCAGAATTTGAATATGGCAGGTAACCGATCCAATTGTCAAATGTCTTCTTTTAGGGTTAATTTTAATCAATTTTCAAAGTATCAAATATTGGCATATTATACATCAATTTTGTTGCTTAACAATCGAGGAATTCAAAAATATAAAAAAAATAATAGCACTTAACATTTACATCATGTTCAAAATGTAGATTAACTTTACTCATTCAACTGAAATGTAGTGAGGTCTAAGAATCCACTTAATTTGCAATATCAACAAAATAATTACTGAAATGTCACCAGAGCATAAACTTATTTGTTATTATGTCAAACTTTACAAAATATACCAGTTTATAGCTTATTTCTATAATTATTGTTGTAAAAAAAAACGACAGCCCTCCCTTTAAAGAAAGTTCTTTTAGAAACACTATGGAGATGAAAAATATAACAGTTAAATAAATATCAAACATTATTAGTAAACTATGTCTGTTAGCCAATTTTTATTATGGTTGCAGCTTTTACATGGCTAATTAAAATTGTTTAATAAACATTAAAAGTTACGACTGTGGCCTAATTCAAATAGTGTAGTGTTGGTCACCTGGGTGTTAGGGCCTGATATGATTTAATTAGAATTGGTAATGAACAGAATGTATAATTAGAACTGGCCAGTAAACCAATTTTAATGATAGATGTAGTCGTTTAAATGCTACTTATAATACATCAAATGACAAACATAATTAAAACCTAAGAATCTGGGAGTGGTGACCTTATTTTACTGACACAGTTGTCCTATAGATCTAGATCTAACCTACATAATTTTAAAAATACGCTAGATCAAGAAGCAAAATCACTTTTAAAAATTTAAGTTTGTGATTAGATCTATAATGAAATTAAAATCCACAACTAATAAGTACATTTTGATTTTACGTTAAAAATAATTAAACTAGGTTCTAAAAAAATAATTCTGCGGCGTATCATACCCAATTTCAAAACGTGTCAGCCACATTGCTACTCAGCTTCATACCACAATTATGAATTTTAAACATATATAATAAAGGTAGGTCACCCTTAAAAAAAGTAAAATGGCTCCCATTTCTTCAACAGCCATTACTCGATTGATTAATAGTTTACAGAGTTAAAAAGTTCTACTTTCTCTTGGCTATAGCTTTGAAGAAATATTAATTCATTATTTCTCATGTGTTCCTACAATTGTGGCTATATTTATCTAAGAAACACTAGTAAAGAATCGATTTTTAGAATTAGGTTAGCGACCAGATTTTAGACGGAAATTTTTTAATCAGGAATAATTACATTATTAATTAATTTTGATTTAAAACAAACGGCTTTAAGTCAAAAGTAAACTTCAATTTTAAAACTTAAGTCTAGTTTTATAACGTGTGGGTGCATAGGGCCAAGATCAATTAGCCATGACAGAAAAACGCTATAATAAAAAAATAAAATTATATCAAGGGCGAAATAAAACATCTTTTACAAATTTAAATAGATTTCATTAAACTGATCTCAAAATATACGCCGTGAAGTAGAAACCAACAATTTGTATTCCTGCTGAAATAAAAAATGATAAAAGCTGTATTTTCCCACAACGCCAAGGTATCGTAATTCTATCTGTTTTTTTCATATACAAATTAAAATATCGAAAAAAAAAAAAAAGCAACAATTACAACATTCATTTCTTAATGTAAAAAAATCATTTAAGAGCAGGTAAACCCACCCCCCCCCCCCACCCCCAATACACATTATTAAAGTCAGAAATATTGATTTTTCAAAACCTATTTTTCTGAAACTAATTCAATTCTGAACATTTCTGTATAATTATTTTGCCTAATCATGTATTGCTAGTATTTTAGTATTTTTTAAATTAGAGTAATGACGTAATTCAACTATATTATGCACAATTTGGCAACATAAAAATTAAAAAGAACTTAGATACATGTTCTTAATGCTGAGTAAGAGGGTCCAGATGCCATTTATATAACTGGGAGGTTTTAAAAAATGACATTTTTGTATGGTTTTTGCTTTTCTTGTTTTTTCCCAAATTTAGTATATTTTTCACTATTAGCTTTTTTCTCAAAAATATCAATTATTAACAAAATAGTACCAGTTAAATCACTATAACTTAAAAACTACTTGAGATATTTATCTGAAATTTTGTGCACATATTCATTGAGCACAGCTTTGAAAGTTAACCATAGTCTCTTACTTCTATGTCTTTGAAACTTCACATTTTATAAAATAAAGAGCTAAGTCTACTCCCTACTTTTGACATTTTTTAGGTCTCACATTACATTTTTTTTGCCAAAATCCATTTTTATTATTTTCTAATTGTTTTAGTTCACCCTGATGGTATTTTGTTGTATTACGCTATGTTAAAGATTTATATCATTCTAACAGAACCTGTGTTATTGTGATTGCAATGAGAGCTAATTTTGAGCTATTTTACCCTAAAAATGACACTTAGAAAAAAAAAATTTCGTTTCTTTACAAAAGCATACATTTTTAGTGATTTTTTTGCATTTTTTTTCAGTATATATTAGTTTCAACTTCCTAATCACTCAAAAAAAGTCCTAACACAATATTTCAATCAAAATTATTAAAAAAATTGTTTCTTGGGTTATTTTAATAGTACATAGTAAACCCAAGTAGATCCCTTCCGTCATGATTTGCATACTTCGCATCCTTTGCCGAAGCATAAAATATCAAAACAAATTCACAAAAATACTGCCTTCAAAGCTTGCAAAGATATTGTTCTATCTATCAATATAAACAAAATCACCAAAAATGTAGGGTTAAGATTATCGACGGCGAAGATTGATTATGTATTTTGCTGTACAAATCTATTTCCTGTCCTATATTTGTTTTGTGTTGAAGGTTACATTTCTGTAGATTTACATGACATGTATGAAAACCCCACTTTTGCAACAATTATCTTATACTGGTGGTGGTGGTGGTGTGTGTGTGTGTGGGGGGGGGGGGGGGTGGTGTTCAGTTTTTACTTTCTCGTATATACGAAGTATAGAGAAAGCATTGTAATCGTGCAAAAAAAATTGAGATTTTTACAAATCTAGACGTTTTACACCTCACTGATACGGCAAAACATAATTTTGCAATCTTGTCTGTATGTCTGTGTGTGTCTGTGTGTAAACACGATTACTTGAGTACCGTTACAGCTAGGTTGATGAAATTTCATACACAAGTATTTTATCAAAATCGTAGATCCGTATCAACTTTAGAGCGATTTCCAAAAACCCGAAGTGGTACTTTTTCTACTTTGAATTTTTAAAAAGCCTATAACTTGAGTACTATTTCAGATAGATAAATAAAATTTCACATGTAAGTAAACGATCTAATTCTCTACCTTCTGTCAAATTTTGAGTAATTTCCATTGAACCGAATTAGTAATTTACGCTATTTCCAATTTCTTAAAAAAAATGCACGAAAATTTATAAAGTACTAGTAATATTGCGCACTATTATGCACATCTTTATTTGGCGTTCACTTGGTGTGCAATTCTTTTTCCACGAGATTTTATTCTATTTTAAAAAGTTTAAGTATTTAAAATGGATTAAAAATCATGTCTATATCCCGAGTTCCCAAACCCTGTTTTTTTTAATATAAGAATATTCGAGAAAGTTTAGGGGAGATCACTCCCGGTTTATTTATTTTAAGGACCATCTTGATCATGTAACCACATAGTAAGCCTACATCAGAAATTTGTATAAAAAAACAAGTATATTGAGTAAATTTACACTAAGTAGAATAACTATTACTCATCCCCTAAATGACATAGTCTAGTTGCTGAGTAAATCACATTCTTATGTAAATCAGCAAAACAGTCATAAAGCAGGAGGTGAAGATGCAACTATTCGAATATGGGTAGCAAAATGGATCAGCTGAAAAGATTTCTGATTTTTTAAAAAAGCAGGAAATTTCCAGTACTTAGTCTTTTAATATTTTTAGATTTATTACCTTTTCTGACTAACTAATTTTAGGCATGTAGGCAATATATAGTGTATGTTTTTGTACAATTTGTATATATAACAGATCTAGAAACAAAAAAGAATGATAAAGATATTACAACTTTATGTGTAAAAGACCAATTAGAGGCATAAAACAAAACTATTTCATGCATTAAGTGTAAATTCAAATAGCTAGACACACAAGGTAAGCTTAATATTACTAAAACTGTTAAAAGTTACATTTTAATAAAAAAATTTTACTTTAAGTACCATCCCAAGATTCATATAACTTTTAATAAAGAAAGTTAAAGTAGGGGTTTGTAAGCATTGTTTTGATTTATTTTGGATTTTAAAACAATTCTCAGAAATTTAAAAATCTTAGGGAGAATGGGAAACTGGAAAGTAACAGTGATATGAAATTTTAATATACCTTTCTTGTTGTTTCTTTAAATAACGCTCATTTTGATCCTGCAGCTGTTTTTTAATAAGAGCACTTTGCATGACAGCTTGGGCATGAGCTGACAATTCTTGAGGACTTAATACTCTGGGTAACACAGGAGAATGTAGTCCACTTGGTGACTGGGAAGAAGGATGGTTAACATAATTAAGTACTACAATTTAAAATTTTTTTTTTTTAGAAATGTTTATTAGCAGCGACTGAGAGTGGATGACAAATTCAAGAAATTAAAAAAAAAACTGCTGTTCAAATAGCTTGAAAACTTGTTTGAAATAAATAGGAAAACTTACAGACATTGTATTTCCAGCTACAGTTAATGACCTTGGACTAAGCTGGCCAGGATGAATTGGTGATGGTGCACTAAGATGCAATGGTGGTTGTTGACTGAACACTAAAATAGCAAATTACAATTTTACTTTCTATTCACACACTCTTACATTAACAAATTAACTAGCTCAAAGCATTTATTTGTGCTGTTCACATACATGTTTGCCTTTATAAAAAGGAATTCTTTCTGTTAAAAACATTTATAAAATCATTTGAAGTTAAAACTTATGTTCCTAGTTTATCTAATTGTATAGGTTAATTTAACAAATTTGCATTTCTTAAAATATAATGAGCAATTGCATCTAACTTAGACAATAGCGCTTAGCAAAAAACAATTATTTTTGTCCTTTCTAAAATTAAGTATTAAAATGCAAACTATACAGACAAAAGTAGGAACAGTCATGCCTAAAAAGAGGAATTTGAAGCCAAAAAGCGGAACATACCCCCAGACGCTACTTTACTAAGTCAAAAATAAAAATTTATTAAAAATTAGTCTAATGATTAATGACATTAGTAGGCTTCTAGTTATAGATAACTAGTATCTAGGCTGCATTTAAATACTGCTTAATGTCAGCTTACATTTTTAAAAAAAGTTAACCAGTAACCTTAGAACCCACCTCCCCTCCAATAAAAACCATAACTTTGACATAACATTATTGATTTAATTATTCCTGCCTTGCTAGATAGATCTAGAAATTAGCGTGTTAGTCATGATTTTATTGTATTTTTCTCCCTTTATGTTTATTTAAGGCATAATTTAAATCTACAATTCAATTGCAAATACTAAAAAGAACGTTCAGAAGCTAGATAGTACACATTATCCATTAGTAGATCTAGTATCAGATTATTAGATAATACTTGTAAATAATGTAAGTAAACTAGGAAACAGAAATGTGTGCCAAAGGGAGATAATCGCTTTTCCCTGCTTTTTAAAAAATTCAATTTTTTTACTGTTCTTTATAATAAAAAAAAAACGGATCAAACTTCGACAAACACGGGACAGCGGAACAGGACATGATTTTTTTTTTTGTTAAAAAGTGGAAGTATTCCGCTATTGGCGGGAAGGATGGCATGTCATACAACTAGTGAAAAGTAAGTTTTAAAACTCAAAAAAAAATTCTACCTTTTAAATTGTTTTTTTTATTAAACTTACTAAGAGGAGAAGGAACTCTAGCTGTAGGAGGTACTGCTGATTGTTGTGACTGTATTAGTGCTGCTAAGGTAGGTGCTGGTGATGCAGGTTTCATTACAATGGTTGGATTCTGCTGGATTAAGTTGAAGATTGGATCTGATGAACATGTTGGTCCACCACTCTGTGCCCTAGGCTTTACAGCTGAATTGTTATGTGGTGTTGACATAGCTTGTGGAATGCCAGGTGTGCTGGGTGGTTTATGAAGCATTCCTGCAAATCAGATGAACATTTTCATGAAAAATAGTCTAAATCTATTATACTTTACAGTTTAAAGATACATTTTAAATTATTTTGCTTCTTTTAATGTTGCAAAAGTTACTTAAAATAATAAAACCTTTAAACCAACAAAATTCCCTTTTTTCTCTTTCTATGAATATTTGTTTCTTAATACGGCCACAAGACTGGACTTCCCATTTGTTTCTGAATCATCACTAAAGTTTTAATTAACCTTTTACTGGCCAGGGCATCAAAACTATTTTACTTCCCCTACGGTCAAGCAAAAAGACTTTTAAACCACAGCCTTTTTTTTTTGTTGTAGAAAAATTATCACTTATGTTAAAAAACTATATCTGTAATTCTCTACATGGGGACCTTGCGGGACATACCACGTATGCACGCCGACCTGCCCACTCCCTCGCTTTAGGTGTAGTGTCGAATTCACAAATTATAAACTACTGACCAGTATAAAATAAAAAGCATTATACACAAAATTGGTCATTAATCACAGAGAAATTTTTTTAAATGCTAAAAAAAAAAAATGTCAACGCAGTCATTGGAGCTATTTTTTTTCAATTGTTACATTATGTATCAAGCCTGAATCAACGACAGAGACATTTTAATTATATTTAATTTCACTAATTAGAGTAAAGTGCAGTGCACCATAAAAACACTACCGCCGCCACCATCCTGTTTTTCGCTCAATTTAATAATTGTTTGGATGGTCTAAACTAAACAATCACTATCTGCTATCACTATCACTGTAAGCATGTCCATTTCTAAATACATGCAGGTCAAATTCTTTTGTTTTCTCCTTCTGGAAGATGAGCTACGTCCCCCGTATGAAAAGCACTATGTCCCAGATTTGACGAATAAAACCAACTAATTAAAACTTTTATAACTAGGTTAACTATAAATAACTTTTACATATGTGTAGGACCCTGTAAGTACTATAGTTAAGGCTATTAAAGCAATATTAGAGGAGAAATTGGGAGGCCACATCTGGGTAACAATTTGGGTGTATTACCCTCGCTGCTAAATCAACTATTGAACTAGACTAGCCTAGATTTAATCTTGATACTCTATATTTAAATCTAAAATCTATATAATTTCTAAATTTGTCAGTTGTTATGAACAGCTGGTGATAGAACAAACAAGAAAACGATATAAATAAAACTTATTTTCCACTTTTGCCGGCATCTTCAAATCTCGTTACCAACAACTTCCGCTACTAAAATTAAATATACTATACATAGTTGGGCGACCATGGGATAAAAGTTAAAAACAAAAAAAAATCACTATTACTATATTACCCAAATGTTTAACTTGTTGCATCGCATGCATTTGGAGCTGTTGCTTTTGAAGTTGTTGAAGAGCAACTGAATGAGCTTGTTGCTGAGCAATGATCTGAGAAGTTGATTGCTGTTGTGGTGGCAAGGGTGGGGGTACCTGCTGATGGTGATGGTGAGAAGGAAACTGAGGAGGTTGTTGGACCTGAGCGCTTTGTAGGGATCGCTGCAGTAGCTGCATTTGCTCTTCTTTGTTTCTTAACATTGCCTTTAGAGTGGGAATAGAAAATACTTTTAATTTTAAAATGAAACAAATATTTATAAAGCACATGCATAATACAAGATCAATTTTCTGTAAGAAAATGTTAAATTTAAAAAATGGCAATTAGTATTTAACCATAACATTGGTACTTTAAAATTTATACATTTCAGGTTCACTGTCAAAAAAGTTAGTGACCAAATGGCTCCATACAAAACAACCCAGTTGAAAGGGCTCAAGTAAAACAATTTGGCACCCCACAAAATTAACTCAAGACAAATGGGCTCTTGACATATTGACTCAAAAAAAAAAATTGATTCAGTCTATTGGCTTAAGACAAAAAAAAATGTATAACACCTTTTATTAGAGAAGTAATTTACCCAACTCACAAACCACACACAGTTCCTATCCTCTCTACAACCATAAGTGCTTGTAAATAACCCTACTAGTTACAGAAAAAAAATTAAGTTGTAGAACAGTTAAGTTCAGATGCATAACTCTTGAATTGATAACATGCTCTCAAATTTGAACAGATGCCATTTCCTAGGCTGATCAAGAGGTACACACATTTAATTATGTTAGCAAAATTCTTTTAAGCGCATTGACGAATGGTTCCTACTAGCAGGGGTAGTTTTGAGTAGCCTAATTGTTTCTTAAACTAAAGTCTTATGATCATGGTTTAAATGTCAGGAGCTCATTTGTCAGGAATCCTGATGACTGGAGCTTTTTTGTTAAAAGCCTAATTCAGGGGAGCCCCTTTTGTTTGGAGCTGAATTAACAGGGTCCTTTTGCTCTGCCTCTTGGCTGTGACTATATCGTCAGGCCATTTTGATGGTGCACATTTTCAATAAATCTTTATAAATAATTAAACTTACATGGTTAAATTCACTGTGACTAGGAACCATGCCATAACCAGAAAAGTTCATTGATGGTTCAGGGGCCTAAAACAAATGTACGTTTAGAATGCAGCTTTCAAAAATGAAAAATTTGAATAGATTGAAAGGAAACTATATTGCAAAAATTAGGCTTTTTTAAGGTGATAATACATAATTATAGTGTGATAATGGTTGGAAATGGCATTGAACTGGTTGGAGTTTCAAAGAGGCAATTAAATATTTTTTAAATCGTCTACTCAGCTATCAAAACCTACATGATCATAAAAACATGATGTGTTTAAAGTACACACTATTGTTTCGACTTAAATATCTATATATACAATTCTCTTCATGGAGACCATAGAAAACACCAAGCTGTAAGCGCGCCTAGCAGCCCCCTCTCTAGGCATATCCCTACCACCCCCACCCCTACATGGTCTGGTGAGCTGTGGTTCACGCTAAATGTTTACAATTGTAGAGCCGGGTTTAGTGATGGCTATTAGGGGCAGATAATTTAGTTTAAAACAATTTTAAACTTAGGGGAGGTAACTAAGAGGAGCCTGCTTTCACGAGGGGGGTGTGTGTGTGTGTGTGTGTGTAGGTAGGGTAGGGCGAAAGGAGGGTGGGTTATCGTCCTTAACGATATACGGATAGTGTTTTAAAGCAAATATTTTCAGTGGCAGCATTGGTACTCTCGAATTCACAAATTATGAATTACTGAAATGTAGAAAATCAAACAACTAAATAGCGGCATATGATACGCCGCGGGTCGGCTCGTTTAAGATGATTTAAAATTTCTCAGAAAATGTAATCTACCACTTCTTCCACGTATTCCTATTCCTCCATTCCATCCCATCTTCAAACTTCCACAGTGCCTCTCTCTGTGTCAAGCCGGTCTAATACCTAATGTCTTCCAATTTTGTTTCTTTTTTGTTGCCTAGCCCTATTCATTGTTATGAAATTTTTGCTAGACCTGATGATCTTGTCAAATATCCGCAACATTTTTGTTCATCAATGAAACTATATTCTACAAAGTCTGTATAGCAGCAAGTTAAATATCGCTTAAGCCAAAACGTTAATGGCCAGTGACCGGTAAAAAGCAAAACCTCATAACAGCTTTCATAATATGGCGGATTTTTGCTAATAATATTTCTTAAAAGCTTTAAAAAACTTCAGCTTTCAGTAATTTTGATAATTCAACTTACGGCATTTTGATTAGCTTCTGAAGCTGCATTGATCATGATAAGCAGTTTATTAAAGGCTGTCATATCACTACTTGAACCTTGTTTGATATTCTCCATGTTACTTGTATATTGTGGACTTTCACTTTTCTGTGGAGAACTTTGATGCATATCAGCTTCTAGTTCAGCAACTGTTTTCACTTTTCGATGAACACCTGTTTATAACAAAGGTGAAAATTAAGTAACAAGCTTTTAATCTAATCTTTATTGACTTTCCTGCTGGCTCCTTTGCTCATTTTTGGTCAATCAGTATACTGAAATTTTTATTTGTTTCTTTATTGATAATTCAACAATGTATAAGCGGTAATAATCAAAATGTAAAACTATGTAAAAATATAGATTGAGTAAAGGATCCTGAAAGCAAAGATAATTAAGTCCCTTCATATGCAGAGGTCACAGAAACAAATCAATTCTACTTCACTTGCTTATAGACTGTCAGAATTGTAGGAAACTTTACCATTTATGCATGTTATACTTAACTAAGATTATTCTTATCTTTTACTAAAACTTACTAGCTGGTAAGCTAGCAGGTGAAGCTGTACCACTTGAAGATGCACTGTCTTTGTATCCTCCAAACAGCATAGCTTTAAGCTGAGCTTCAGCATCTTGAGTACTAAAGCTGTTATTACTTGAGATTGCTGTCAAGTCATTAAAAACAAGGGTAAAAGGAATAAATTGCATTTCAATGATGAAAAATTAGACTTTCTTGTAGACAAACTGATTATTTCTCCTTTATTAATTCATATAACTGTTTAAATAGTTCACAATCCAAAATAAAACTTAAGCTATAATAAGGTTTACCAAAGATTTAATTTTATTAAGTAATCAAAGCAGGAGGCATGTCGTGGCCTTGCTGTAGAGAGCTAGACTGCTAAGCTGAGAAGTCTCAAGTACAAACCCGGGTTAAGTCAGTAGAATGTCCCTGATGGGTACCTAACCCACATTAGGGAAACAAAGGCAGCTGGGAATTGTGCTGACCAAGCTATCACTTCATATGCTGAGGTCTTTGAAGCAGATGAACTCTACTTTATCTGACCCATGTGTCTTGGGCAAGAATGAGAAATGATGGATCAAAGCAGAATTGCAAAAGCAGTGTAATGCCTTCCTGCAGTGCCAATAAGCACAACTTTATTCAATGGAAGCCAATTTTTGGTAGGACATTAATTTTTAAGCATTGAGCAAAATTTATATTCTTAAAATATAGCATTTTAATTGTGTACATAAAAGTATCCACATCACTTGGGTTATTTTTGCTTGTAAATATGTCCAATTGTTTAAAAGGGTAAGGGGAAAAGAAAATGTTAACTGAAAGATGTTACAGAAGATTATCTTGCATTCATTTCTTTCTATCAGAACTGATGTTTCTAGTTGGTATTCTACTACCATCTACACAAAAAAAAATGTATAGTAATAGTTCATTATCAGATACAATTGATGGTATCATTTTTATACTCCATATACCCTGGATTTATTTAGTCATTAAAAAACTGCTTTGTATCATGTGCACAAAAACTACTTTCGTATGGCTAACAGGTTCAACACAACAACCCTACCAAACTCTTCCCCCACTCCCCTGTTAATGCACGACTAAACATCCCAGTGAAAAACTAAATCAGGGGGGGGGGGGAGAGGAGAAAGGGGGGGGGGGGGGGGGAAATTACCAAAATAGCTTATATACATTGTTAACTATTGGTAACTATGATAAAGCATATAATTTTTTAAATTTTTAATGAGGTTTTATAAATGTGTTGATCTTTTTTTTATAAACAATTTTTCTTAACATTAAAAAATTAATATTTTATATTAAGCTTTTTAATATAACAATAATGGGAAATAAAAACCTTTGTATTCAAATACAAATTGAATTTTTAAGAAACTGAGAATTAAATGGTTATTTGATAGATGTTATTCTTTTAGTTGCAGCAACAAAAAATGTTGGCTAGCTTTTTTACTAATTTTCAGAAAAACCTGTTAGCATTTTGGAAAGCTGTAAATGTAAACCTAAAATTAGCATTTTTGGGTAAAAAAACTTGGTAAAAATGTATTTTTGTGTATGATAAGTTTTTTTGGTGCATATTTTTTTTTATTAACCAAACCAGACTTAATAAAGTTTACTAAAGAACAGTTCATTAAGATTTTTAAAGAGAGCAATGATGAGTATAGCCTGGATCACCAGATACTAGTGTGAGCAGCTAAATGGCATAGGTTACCAAGTACAACAGAAGAGATTAGAAAAACTTAAATACTATACTTATTGTCTAAATATGGGTAGTAGGTTAAAAAAAACCAAGCCCTCATGTTGGGGAGCATTGGGTAACTGTTTGTGGAAAGACTAATGACTATTTAGTACTTCTGTTCAGGAGATAGCTGTTTTTGATCTTCTATTGCTATTGTTAAAGAAACAATTGTGAAAAAATGAAGAACACAAAAAAGTAACAGAATGACAAAAGTGTTAGGAAAAATGAAAAGGGAGTAACAAAATAAAGCGTTAGGGTAAAGCTAGCACAAGTCTTTTTAAAAGGTTATTACTATGGTAAAGGTTAACCAAAATATAACCAGAAAGTGTTACTGGCCAGTACTAAACATGCAAAACATTGTACAAGAGGTTAGTGCCAGATTCATCTGCACTGTTAGCACCATGGAAAACAAGGTGTCAGTGCACACATACACTCTACCTGAGTTGCTGAAGTAGCTAGATTCGAGAGTTTCCACACTACAATCTAGATGGGGCTTCCACTTACAGGCATTGGAGCCTCCCATGGCAGCGCTGTTAAATAAGGCTGTCACAGATGGAGGGAGAGCTGATGATTTGTCAACAGCAGCATTGTTGTCCCCTGCTGAATTTGGTACTGTCATCAGATGAGATAAAATTAAATGCTCCTTGTCGTGCCCTGCCAGCTGGTCGTGGAAATGATGCATACCGTGATGTGTGTGTCCTAGAAAACCATGCATCGCACCCATTGGACCAATCATAGAAGTAGGTGATGGCACACTAGGACTTGAATGGTTGTCCTCAAGAAGATCTATAACAAATTAAAATGTGTGAAAAAATGATCTATCATATACACTAGTTAGACAGAAAAAAGTTGTTTTTTACTACCTCGTGGAACTAGCATGTCTTCCATTGAAGATGCATCACTACCCATAATATTTGGACCAGTAAAAAAACGTGAAAATCTGCTACCATGAGGAATAGTCTCTTCGCCCTGTATTTTTAAAAAAGTTGATTTTATAAGCAGAACACATCCATACACATATTAAAATGCATTTTATTTTATAAAATTACAACAGCTGAGCTTGTGTAATCTTTAGCTTAACACTGAACAATTATTGTAAAAAAAAAGACAAAAAAACTAAATTTCTTGGACCAAAAATGCATAAACCTAATGAATAAAACTACAATGAAAACTAACCTAGTGAAGTTAGCACTAATCTTAACAGAATTACCTTGTCAAACAAGTGTTTTTAGTAAGGGGTAAACCATTTATGACGTCCAGGGAGGGTGGCCTAAAACTCCAAATTTTTGTGGACGTCATAAATAGATGACCCCCTAACAAAAGCATTTTTGTAAATGTCCTCACTTTTTATAGAATATTGTTTTGAATATGTACGATGTAACTAAGCCAAGTTAGATGTTACAAAAATTTATTATCATAATGAAGAAATCAGCCTGTTAGTGCTATGATGATCTTTTAAAAAGAAATAGACCAATTGAGATTTTTATGTAGATTTTTAGTAAGCTACATAAACAAAATTAAACAGCACCAAATTCTCAGGATGCAATACTTTTTTTTAGACCTCTTGGTAATTCATTAAAATAACTTTTTTTAAATTCTGAAACTGAACCTATTTTTCATGAAATACTAGATCTAGGTTTAATCAAGTTACTGTCCATGTGCAGTTTTTCAATTAACATAATTTAATTTATATTCCATAAAAAGGTAAAGTACCATTTTAAACCGTACAGGGGCAGGTGAGGTAGAGTTCACCTGTTTCAGTGACCTAGTCATATGAATGGATAGTGTGGTCAGCACTATGCAGAGCTGCATTTAATGTCCCTAACTAGAGTCAGGTACCCATCTGAGCTGTGTAGATTTTGTGACACCCTACAGGCTCAAGCCTGGAATCCAACATCTAGATTTTCAGGTCAAACGATCTACTATAGGCATAATAGCTTCCACCCACCATAATATAGGATGGGAAGGGAGAAAGTACTATGGGAGACCCATGAAGAAGAAATACAGAAAAAGAAAATTAATTTACATCTGATATTTTAACAGAAGTCGCTTTTTACATTAAGCATTTAGGTAGATTTGTACAAGTAGGCAGCCCTGCTTAAAATGATCCTAAAACAAACATTTTTTAAAGTAATTCTAACTATAAGATTTGTATCCTTTTCTTAAGTATGGGAAGTTATTACATTTTAAAAATATTCCTATTGATCATAAAAATATAGATGAGGCTAAGTAGTATGTTTTGACAGAAATACAACATTACCAGTGGTAAATCAGCTTGAAGTATTTGTTCAATGTCAAACTTGTGACTATTTGGAGAGGACCGAGACATTTCCTGCTGTATATTTGAATGTATTCCTTCGGCAGATTTCTCGTGGTTGTTTGAGTGATGCACTGAATGAACCTCTTTAGGGGAATTACATTGTGACACTTTCCCTTTTTCAACACATTCTTCAGATGAATCTGTAAAATGAAGTACGCATCAGAATTCAATCAGGGCTACTTACTCTTTATTATTACTATTTAGAAAATATGAAAAGAATGGGGGTGGTGAATACATGAAGAAGGAACAAAGTTTATGTTGAATGTACTCATTCTTTATAAAATAACCAGTTTAAAAAAAATCCTTGCATCTTGCACTAAATACAGTTGTACAAAGATTAAAATTGCTTATATTCGTATTACTTGGAGCAAGGCAAGCAGACAAGAACAAAAATTTACCTTTAATTAATTTATCTTCTGTTTTTCGCTTTACATTATTGATCTTAGAAATGGTCTCAGATTTTTGAGAATTTGCTTCTTCATGGTCCTGTTCACCTTCTCGTTCAAAACCTCTCAGTTCTATTGTATCAGTTTGACTAGTAGGACCACCAGTAAACCATTCTGGCTCTTTTTCTTCATCTTTATAATTTCTTCTACGAGCTATAATAATAGTTACTCATTAGACTGTGACAAAACTGTAGAACTATATACGATTCAATTAGAAGAACAGATTGAAACATTTGGTAACATGAATGGTTCAAATAAAATTAAGACAATTTTTACTATATTGGATGTGTTAAGTTTTAATAATACTCACTTGTACGCTCAAAACCTCGGTCTCTGTCTCTAAAATCTCTGTCTCTCTAAAATTAAACAATGATACTATTATAAATACAGATCTCAACAAAGGCAGTATTATTGCAATGAGCACAGAATATAAATACTAACCCGCTCTCTCTCTGGGAAATCTCTATCGCCTATTCTGCGAAACCGATCTGAACGATCAAATCTCCTTTCTTTTTCTCGGTCCCAATCATTGTCTCGATCTCTTTCTCTTGTGTCTCTGTCCCATTCTCTATCACGATCTCTGTCCCGGTTCCACACAAAGTCTCTATCTCTAGTATCTCTCTCTCTGACTTCCCTGTCATCAAATCTATCTCGAAGACCAGAGAAATCTCTAGTGTTTTCTCTATCTATCTGAATGCGACCACTTCCTATTCTTCTTACTGGTCTGTCCCTATTATAATAAATACAAGTGTAAATTCTATGAAATAAGAGAAATATTATTCTTTATTTTCAACATTTTTAGAGCTTTACCTCAGACTTTATGATGTTAGTGCTTGACAAGCAGCTAAAAACTTAGAAGGTACTACAAAAGGAAAACTTATATAATTAAAAGCAACAGTGAACTAATTCATCAACACTAATTAGTATGTCTTTAGATCACCATTGAGAACTTTAGAAATATTTTTAACTGAAAAACAAAACAAAATGGTTTTTAAAATAATTGGTAACAATAAAACAAAAAATTTACACAGCTTAAAAACTGATCTATTGGTGTAATCCCAGATAAAAATTAAATTTAATTAAAATTCATAACTTGATTGAAAAGGTATTTAAAACTTGAAACGTTTAACATTTGAAACAACTTTGAAAAGTGAATGGTACTATCAGGTAAAAAAAGGATTTTGAAATGTTTATATAGAATAAACAATCTTATCTTGAAGAGCATAAGCATCATTGGTCCAGGTATCTAGCTATAATTTATTTGAAATATATACAATACTGGAATAAATTTAATTCTAATACAATTATCTGTGATGGTCAAGGGAATAAGGAATGCATTCTTAAATGAATACTACAGGGCTTTTTTTTAAAAGAGGGAGGGGGGTGGCAGAGAGAAAAGTTAAGATGGGGGAAAGGCATATCGTATTTCCTATTCCCTTAGTTTTTAAGGTGAAAATATTGAAATATACATATCAATACAATAGGGCCCTGATAAACTGTGGTAGCCAATTATGTTTTTCACCTAACAAGACGTGGTTAAACTAAGTTCTAAGTAGTTCAGAAATCAGTAGGCTCATAAAAAACTGACCCATCAAAAAAAGCCTCGCATGTTCCATTAAAAATTTTAAAAATGATTCTAAATACTTCATTCTGTTGTTTGTCAGAGTATACTAAAGATTGATGTTTTAAATACTTTTAATATTTTTGGTAATTTTAATTTTTTAATAGAGTGATCTCTTCTAACCTTTCTCATAATTTTTTATACACAAGCAGCAAGGGGATGGCACTTAAGATCAATTAGGTTATAGAGGTTATAGAAATGTTTTTTAATTTTAAATAATTGCACACAAACTGAATGCAAAAAAGTAATTTATACAAGAACATTGAGTAATTTTTAAAACAATTTAACATCTAATTAAATCACATTCCATGTCACTGTGCATTATCAAAGAGTCTAGACCTAAGTGAAAAGTTTTGAAACAAATCAGCCAGGTAAAAGTAATTTTTTGAGAAAATAGAAATGCTGCAAGTTTCAGGTCACAGGAAATCACTAAAAATTAGAATCAAGAGAATAAAAGCTTATACTTATGTATAGAGTTAAGTCTCACTTTCGGATACCAAAGGTCACTCAAAATTAGAAAGTAATCCAAGTATAAGATCTTATTCTTGTAAATAAAAATGTGTCTATCTAACTGAAACATACTCATGTTATAGTGTTCCCAGAGAAATAGTTAAGTACCATTAAAGTTGAGAGAAGCCTTCGCCTACAATATACTTAAATTCAAAATCTTGTCCACTTAGTTTAAAAGGTACTCAAGTTATAGGCTTTTAAGAAACCGCAAGTACAGTAAGAACCACCTCCGGTCCAGCTATGGAAGTACATTTATGGTCCAGCTATGGAAGTACAGTAAGTACCACTTCTGGCTATGGAAGTACAGTAAGTACCACTTCTGGCTATGGAAGTAAAGTAAATACCACTTCTGGTCCAGCTATGGATGTACAGTAAGTACCACTTCTGGCTATAGAAGTACAGTAAGAACCACTTCTGGTCCAGCTATGGAAGTACAGGAAGTACCACTCTGGCTATGGAAGTACAGTAAGAACCACTCTGGCTATGGAAGTACAGTAAGAACCACATAAGAACCACTTCTGGCTATGGAAGTACAGTAAGTACCACTTCTGGCTATGGAAGTACAGTAGGTACCATTTCTGGCTATGGAAGTACAGTAAGTACCACTTCTGGCTATGGAAGTACAGTAAGTACCACTTCTGGCTATGGAAGTACAGTAAGTACCACTTCTGGCTATGGAAGTACAGTAAGAACCACTTCTGGCTATGGAAGTACAGTAAGAACCACATAAGAACCACTTCTGGCTATGGAAGTACAGTAAGTACCACTTCTGGCTATGGAAGTACAGTAGGTACCATTTCTGGCTATGGAAGTACAGTAAGTACCACTTCTGGCTATGGAAGTACAGTAAGTATCACTTCTGGCTATGGAAGTACAGTAAGTACCACTTCTGGCTATGGAAGTACAGTAAGTACCACTTCTGGCTATGGAAGTACAGTAGGTACCATTTCTGGCTATGGAAGTACAGTAAGTACCACTTCTGGCTATGGAAGTACAGTAAGTACCACTTCTGGCTATGGAAGTACAGTAAGTACCTCTTCTGGCTATGGAAGTACAGTAAGTACCACTTCTGGCTATGGAAGTACAGTAAGTAACACTCTGGCTATGGAAGTACAGAAAGTACCACTTCTGGCTATGGAAGTACAGTAAGTACCACTTCTGGCTATGGAAGTACAGTAAGTACCACTTCTGGCTATGGAAGTACAGTAAGTACCATTTCTGGCTATGGAAGTACAGTAAGTACCACTTCTGGCTATATAAGTACAGTAAGTACCACTTCTGGCTATGGAAGTACAGTAAGTACCACTTCTGACTATGGAAGTACAGTAAGTACCACTTCTGGCTATGGAAGTACAGAAAGTACCACTTCTGGCTATGGAAGTACAGTAAGTACCACTTCTGGCTATGGAAGTACAGTAGGTACTACTTCTGGCTATGGAAGTACAGTAGGTACTACTTCTGGCTATGGAAGTACAGAAAGTACCACTTCTGGCTATGGAAGTACAGAAAGTACCACTTCTGGCTATGGAAGTACAGTAAGTACCACTTCTGGCTATGGAAGTACACTAAGTATCATTTCTGGCTATGGAAGTACAGTAAGTACCATTTCTGGCTATGGAAGTACAGTAAGTACCATTTCTGGCTATGGAAGTACAGTAAGTACCACTTCTGGCTATGGAAGTACAGTAAGTACCACTTCTGGCTATGGAAGTACAGTAAGTACCACTTCTGGCTATGGAAGTACAGTAGGTACCACTTCTGGCTATGGAAGTACAGTAGGTACTACTTCTGGCTATGGAAGTACCACTTCCTGGAGCCAGAAATCAATGAAAAGTTGATAAAAAAATACAAATTAGATATAATACTTCGATGTGAAATTTTGTCACTACACTGAATCTGCACGCAAAAAAACTCTAGTTAAAAAAAAGCAAATATTTCTGAAATGACCATGAAACATAGTTAAAAACTGGAATTCATGGTATAGTCATTTTTGGATGCCATCATTACCACTATGATGGTGAAAAAAAGAGGTCAAGTGACGGGCTAAATATAGATTGTATTGTACAAGTGCCACAAATTGTAGTTACCTAAAGGGACTTTATACTACCTTTCTCGGTCTCTTTCACGTTCTCTTTCACGTTCTATTTTGGTGTCATCTCTGTCTCTTTCTGGCATACTGATTTGACGCGTATATGACACTTGTGTTTGTACATGACAACCAGTGCCAAAGCTTCGTCGCTGAGGACTAAGGACAATGCCATCTCTTTCTTCTTTTAGTCTTTCTATTGGATCATTCACTACAATAGAGTAGTTAAAAATAGTTATGGTGCAACAAATTACGTAGTTTTTAATAATGTATTTGATTTCATTTTTATTTACGTACACGAAGGTCTTCTTTTAATATCCCTTTCCAAGTCAATGCCTCTTCTACGATCTTTACTGTCAACCAAAGTAAGTGGAGAAGCTTCACGAGACTGCCCAAACTTGGCTTTATACCATTTATCTGGATCCCATTTTCCATCCTCACTAAACAATTTTTAAAAATACACAATAGTAATAAGGATTAAAAATTTATTCTAAAGAAATACTGGATTTATTTTATGAAGAGGTTTTCATAAAAAAAAAAAACAGCTCAAATTATTAATATACTTACGAATCATAAGCTTTCTCTAGGCACTTAGGTCGATGAAGAGATGCAGGACTTTTTGATAAAATGTAAAGCTCCTCCTAAAATCAGATTTTAGTCATTAAAATTACTAAAAAAAAATAATTATGGTTTGACATAAATTGTTACTTTAAAATGCCTATATTTTTACTTTACATTATTAAGTTATTAACATACATAAAGAGACTATTATGTGATTGATCTGAAGCAAAGTTTATTAAAACGAAAAAACTTGCTCTCGGTTGTTACTAGAATCATAATACTTGCAGAAAAACTAAGTATAAATAAATACTGTTGTATTGTTCTGTTGGCACTTGATTAATTCTAAAATTGTGTACAATACATGTTAATCTTAAAAATACATGTTAATCTTAACAATACCTGTTAATTTTATTAAAGTATTAAAATTATATAATAGGATTTAAGATTTAATTAGGAAGCTAGTGTTAAAATAAATTTTCATTGATAAATTATTTAAAGCAGGGGATAGATATTGTGTGATTACTGATGGCAAAAGTGAAAGTTAACATTCTGTAATCAACAGCAGATGGTTAATATAGTTCAGTTGATATGGAAAATCAGCGTTTCAACTAGACTAGAGATCTTTGAAAATTAAGTAAACTACTGTAAATCAGTTATTTTACTGGTAGACTCACTGATAAAACTAACATGCAATATGCAATGGTTAATAGAAACTTATACTGCACTTTGGCATAAACTGTTAAAAACTATTAATTTCAGTTAACAAGGCTAGATGTGCCTTCAACTCATTGCACCCAATATGGAAGTGCACAGCCCTGTCACTTCAGAGCAAGGTAATCTTCAATACAAATGTCAAGGCAGTATTGCTCTATGGATCAGATGGTTACAAAGGCAAATACAGGTAGGCTACAGTCGTTTACAAATAAATGCTTACGACAGATCCTCAAATAAGATGGCCAGACAAAATATCAAATAAAGACCTGGGTCAAAATGCAAAACAGCCAAGAGATAAGGATATCAAGGCTCATAAATGGGGATGGATTGGACATAACCTAAGAAGGGAAGATGATAATATTGCAAAAAAGTGCTATGGACTGGAATCATCAAGGAAAAAGTAAAGTGGGTCGGCCAAAGAGATCATGGAGAAGAATGGTAGAGGAAGAGGCAAAGGCCACTTGGCTCATGTAGGCACAGATAAAGGGAGCAGTCCAAAACATGCGGAGAGGTGTAACTGCAGCCCTTTACTCCCCAGGGGCCACAAAGGAAAAATGATGAACGAACTGTTTTTTACAGTGTGACTTGAATTCAAATTTATATGTCCTTGTTTAATGCAAACAGAAGCACTTGTCTCTATTTTCATGTCACCAAGTTTGGGTTGAAATAAATTGCACTTAACACTTTTTTATTAAATAAATCAGGCTTCAAGATGATGTGCCATTCTCAATTTTTGGAAATTAGTATATAGTTTACAAAAAACCTTTAACATTCCATATTGCAGATGTAGTATAATAGTTCATCTGTTTCTTTAACCTCTGAATGTTTGTTTTGTCAAAAAAATCTACTAATAAAATGAGTGAATTACAAAATTGCACAGATTACTAGATCTAGCAAGAGGAAGGCAAGTCTGTCAGAAACCTAAGTTTCAAGCAGCTATTTAATGGCTTAATTAGAGAAATGCTTGATTTTTTATCTTGTTCATTTCTCAAAAACTATTTCATAATCTAACCTATTCTGCAAAGTGGTTCCCAGAAAAATATAAGCATGGAAAAGGCGCAACTGAAAATTGCTCAAGTACAAACTAGTTATATTAGTACACTCATTGTCATATTTCATCTTCCATACTATTCAAATTGGATGATTCCAAATCACAAAAGAAAAAAGGCTTTCTTCTGTAACTGCCATGGCAGGAAACAGATCCAATTTCCAACACTCTTGCTAGGTCACACTTTGTCACAATTTTCAAAGTAACAAATATTGAAATGTATATAAATTTAGTTTCTTAACTATGAAGAAATTAACTAAAAATTAAAAGCACCACACAATTACATAACATTTATTTGAAAAATAAATTCACATCTAATGCAGTGTGTTCCAAAAAATCCACATTATAAACAATATTTATCATATAGAAGTGTCACTAAAGCATATTGTGTAGACTTGTTTTATTGTTAAACGTTACAAAATTTACACCATTTTAAAAAAAAATGGCCCATGAAGCTTCCAAAATCATAGCTCAATATCAACAAAATCACAGATTTTTTGGTTAAGACAATTACGAATGGCGAAGATAGAGAATGTCAATTGCTGTAAAAAAAAATATGTTTCTTAAATGCTTAAAACTTTAACAAACCTTGGAGTATTGATGTTCAGGTAATTCACCTGGTAACGCAACATTATCTTCATGCTCTTGATCAACATCTGTCTTTTCAGACATCTCCACAAGAATAGATCTGTTGATACAGAATTGAAGACCTTGGCCTGTCTTATAAAAGTCATGAACAAAACTGATTATTAAAAGTCTAAACTAAATATAGTTAGGATATTTGTAAAACAAGATATGAAACTCAAAATGGCAAAGTCGTACAATGTGTGAAGTATGCAAAACCTGTTAATGATTAATCATGTGACATCTGTCTCAGTTACCCAGATCCAACTTGCTGGGTTCTTATCTGGTAAAGTGTGAAGATGCTATAGAAATTTTACCGGCTAAAATAACTTATCTGTTGCTTGATATATTAATGATCGATCGACTTGTGCTTTTTATAATTCTGAAGATTTTTAGTTTACTTTTTTATAGTTTGCAGCCGCCGATATTGGAAACGTTTTAAATCCAAAAATCGTGTGATAATTTTACATTGCATTAAAAATAATTGCCAATCACTAGATGTGCTGATGGTATGTAACATGACTAACAAAATCAAAGTTTGCCCAACTAAGGAAAACTGCCAAAAATTTTTAAAATTCTAGGGCCCTAATTAAACTTTAAAAAATAATTCATCTTCCATCATCTGATTAACTTAGCCTACAGATCAGATCCCAGGACTTTTGAGGTGACAGTTATGCACTTTCCCTCTGCCAAAGATGCAACATGCCATTTTTGCTGCCAGAGTTTCTCCGCCCCCACAGAACTAATATGTAATTTATATAGAAAAATAATTTTTTTTACCCATGTCCACCCCCCCCCCCCCCCAAGAAAAGTCTGAAAGAAACACTGCTGCTTAATATTTTAAACATAAAGATACTCTCTTAACTAAATTCAATGTAATTATTCTAGGCCTATCTATTCATAACATTTTACAAATGGTTTCAGACATGTTCCCAGCTGTCAAGGAATAAGCCCACAATTTTTTATAAATTTTTTTTTGCACTGAATGCTTGTAACTTATACTGAAGTAAACAATTTGTACTAATAGTTTATACTAACTGTAGGTCAAATCCTAACCCAACTGTGGTGTAACACCCTCTCCCCCCTAAAATCTGAACTTCAGTCATATCAAGTATGTAGTATGTAGACTAACACTACTAACAGCTATTTTAGCTCTATAAGTCTTAATTAACACTTTACTACCATTTAACTAAAATTTAAAGTCACCTTTTTTCAAATTACTAGTTTCTGCCAATTTTACTTAGCTAAAATAATAGATTATCCAACAAAATCTAGATCTAGATTAGGTATTCTCACGATATAGCGTCGATTATTCTGGGATGGTACAGCAGTAAAAAACAGTAAAACCATGGCGTAGTCTGTCATGTCGTTCCGGAAATATTTATTTTATTGTTAATAGGCTTACTAGTAACTATTTTAATGTGCATAGATTGATTTTAGTTGCATTTTAAATACTGTTTGGCGGGCCTAATTATTTTGTATTTCTAATTATATTAAGTGTAGGCCTATGTGCTAATTAATTATTGCTGCTACTTAATGTTCTAGTTCTTACTACTTTAAACTTAAGTCTTATTTTATTAGGCCTAGTTCTAGAATCTACCCTAGAAGATTATCTAGATCTAATTTTAACAAAACACCTACTGGCCTACTAGCTTTTAACCAGATCTAGTTCTACACACTCTTAATTAGGCATTTCGACTTCCGCTATTTTGATTCGGTACAACCACAACCGGACTTTTGTCGATGCAGTCTTTATAAAAACTCGCCATTTTCCGAGGAATGCCGAACTTCACTGTTGCAATAGAGTTTTTAGACATATTCGATACAGATATTCTAGTGTAGTTGTATTATATGTTTTAATAAGAAAATTAACGCCATTATGACAATCTTGGAACCGAAATCGATTGCACGATTCCAATGAGTTTATCTCGCGAACATGTCCCGTATGGTGCTGTCACATTTTAAATAAGTTTACGTATTAAACACATTCTAAGTGTCTTGCCATTAGCTTTAAGTCTCCATTAAATAAACAAATATAATAATGGTTTTATGGCATCCACAACATCTGCTTACGAGTTATTATCCATGTCAAATCATTGAGCTAGCGCTTTAGCCTTGACAACGCCATGGCGTTGGTTTAACACGGCGATACTAGGTTTTTAGATTTAACTAGATTACTAGATCTAGATTAGATCAAAATCTAGATTCTAGTACTTTTGTTGTATCTAGATCTAATCAAACACTAGAGATTCTATAGATCTAGCTAGATCTAGATCTATAGGGCCTAGTCTATCAATTATTATCTATAGACCTAGATTAGATCTAGATCTAGTACTACTACAAGGTAAAACTCCATTTTAGCATATTTTATTCCCCGCTTCACGTTCACCTCCAGTTGAGCGTATTTTATTATAAACAACCAAAACCACACAAAAACGTTAGGAAAACATTGGGCTTATTTATTTCTTTATGAAGTTTTGATTTAGTTTTGACAATGTGAACTCACTGTGAACCCTTGACCGTGTAGGGATTTTTCTCCCGCTGACAATCACACGCTATTTAATTGGAACTGTCCTAATGCTTTTTTATGGGTTTTTTTTTATTTACTAATATTTACCTTTTCTAATTACTAATTAAAACTCATATTCATATAAGCCTAAAACAAATAAGGCCGATTCTAGCCGGAATAAGATACGCATGCGCAATGGAGAGAAACTACGACTTGCCTTAGCGGCGATGTTTTCGATGGTACTGCGCATGCGTGTGTTTACAACCGCAGAACCCTAACACCAACCCTAATCCTATCCTTAACCCTATCCCTAATCCTACCCCTAACCCTCATTCTAGCCCTAACCCTAGCCATAGGTCACTGCGCATGCGCAGAGCTATCTTTTGCCGACTAAGTGGAGACGTTGGGGAGAAAAATCTTCTTCCGAGTAGACACTTCGAACAAATAGGCCTAAATCTAGACATCTAGATTCTAGCTTTATACTAAAATACGCTCAACTGGAGTTGAACATGAAGCAGGGAATAAAATACGCTAAAATGGAGTTTTACCCTACTACCAAAGTACTACACTACTAGATCTAGTACACTTGACTTGACTACAGTAGTTACTCAGTAGTAACGTTGAGGATCCCTGGAGTAGAGATCTATCATTCTAGGTCCGAGAAACTCAGAAAATCTAGAGTAACGAATAGATCAAGAGAATCTAGATTTAGACGTCTATATTTCTAGATCTAGATCTAGATCCAATTTAAAATAAGTTTAAATTTAAGTAATTTTGTCTTCTATGTTTACCTGTTTTCACAGCGAAAAAAAAATAGTCTCGGGTTGGAACAATATCTTTCTAAATCTAGAAATCCCTAGATATCTAGACTAGATAGATCTAGTTCTAGATCTAAACTGATGAAAATAAATGTAAAAAAAAAACAAAACCAGATTAATTATATTTACAAAGTAACTGATCTAGCTATGTACAAAAGGAGACGATGTTTTGCAGTATACACAATTAACAGTACGCGAAGAATAAGATTATAGACAGAATTTGGACAACTGCTGAAAATCCATGAGAACATTCATAAGGCGCATGCGCAAATTTGGGGTCACGGTGATCTTTCTCGTGCAAACATGCATCAAGCAAAATCTATTATATGGTCGATTATAATCTATATTTATATAATCGAAATAATATATTTAAATTAGACATTGAATTTTGTTTGCAATTTGAAAAGAAATATCAGTGAAAAGTTATATTTCAACAGAAATTTTAAATTCTTCCGGGTCAAATTTCCATGTTTGGTCACGTGGGTTTTTTCCTCTTTCAAAGTAGGCTTAGGGCTAGGCCTGATTATTTATAAAACAAAATAAAAAACATTTAGATCTATTATATTAATACGTCTTTAAATGCTCGAAAATTATCTTTAATTAAATTTTAATGACTATCCTCTAGTAAGATTGAAAGCAGATATTCTTGCATTATTATCCAAGAAGGATGAATATGGAAAATAGTAACTAAATACTGTAACGTTTTACAAAAGTACGGGGTAGGGGGGTCATCCATAAATGACGTCACGCTTTTTTGACGATTTTTACCTCCCCCCCTCCCCTCAGTCACACGTCGTCACAAAAAGCCAGACCCCTCCCCCTAAAATGACGTCACACATCAGCCTACAACCCCCCTCAAAATTGCAGTTGAATTTTTTTTAAACATCGATATTTTTCCAAAATCTTGTCTGAAATCTGTCAAAATAGAGTATTTTAATAAAGTCCGATTACAATTTATTAAAACAGTTTTCTAAAACGCGAAATAACGTCAAATATTTGTTTTCTAACATTTCTTTTTTATAATGCAAAAGTGTGACGTCGCACCATCTGAACCCCCCTTCCCCCTCATCACACATCGTCACAAAATTACCGACCCCCCTCCCCCCTACGAGTGTGACGTCATTTATGGACGGCCCCTAGTAGGCTAACACGGTAATATAGTATAAATAGGGCAGTGGCGTAGCCATGAATTGGTCATGGGAGGGTTATGTTTCTCCATATAAAATGAAATTTATATAATTTATACAGAAAATATATACTTTTAACAGTGTCCGCCCCCGCAACCTACCACTACAAGACCAAAGACAACACTTTTCGATATCTCATCTCGATACTCCAGCACAATGATACCACCTTACCAGCCTTCTCCAACACTAAGAATTAAGATCGAAACAGAAGAAGAATTACCAACGAACAGTAGCGTAGCGGGGGGGGGGGGGGGGACGGACATATGTCCCCGGGCGCCGACCTTAGGGGGCGCCAAAATGGGTTGGAAAAATAAATTGAAAGTTGAAGGAATGCAAATTGAAAGTTTGAGGGGGGGGGGGGTGCAAATCGAAAGTTTGGGGGGGGGGGGGGGGGTGCAAATCGAAAATTCTGTCCCCGGGCGCCGGGAAGGGTCGCTACGCCTCTGCCAGCGAAGATCAACCACTTCCCACTAGAACTAGAACACAAGGACGATAAGCGATCGTGTAGTCTTTTCTGATGTTATGTACTTTATAAGAACTTCAAGACAAAATTACACATGGATAAAAGAACAAGAAAAACAAAAAATAAATGAAAATTATTTCCTTCTAATGTAAAAGTGTGTGCAATACTATGTATTTCGTGTATTTTAATGTATTAACATGCAACTTATCCCAGTGGCGTACAACTAACCCCCCCCCCCCATTGACCCCTCTGTAAAAAATTTTACTGTCATAATACCACTGTTACTTATTTAAATCTATTTCTGAATCAGTATAAATGTATAATCTATATATATATATATATATATATATATATATATATATATATATATATATATATATATATATATATATATATAATTCTCTTCTGGGAGACGCTAGGAAACAAGCTGTAAACGCGCTCCCTACCACCCCTACATCATCATGGTCTGGTGAGCTGTGGTTCACGCTAAATGTTTACAAGCAAAGCCGGGTTTAGTGACGGCTATTAGGGGCAGATAATTTAGTTTGAAACGATTTTAAACGTGGAGGGGGTGGGGGTAACTAAGTGGAGTTTACTTTAACGAGGGGGGGGAGGAGGGGGGGTTATCGTCCTTAACGAGCTACTAATAATGTTTTAAAGAAATATTTTCAGTGGCAGCGTTGGTACTGTCGAATTCACAAATTATGAATTACTGAAAAGTAAAAAAAAACAACAACTAAATAGCGGCGTATGATATGCCGCGGGTCGGCTCGTTGTATATATATCTTAACAGTCATCCTAAAACTGACGCTATGTTTCCTCTCCCCTCCCCCCACCTCACCACCTTAAACGGGACAGGCTGTAATTGTGTAGAGCGACATTAATGACACACCTACTCTGGGTAGGATAATTGACCTAAAGTGACCGGGCAGTGGTAAATGAAGTTGACCCCCTCCCACACACACACCCCGAACGGCTTTGTTAAGTACATTTGGAAAACGCGTAATGAGGTACCAAAGTACCATGCTGCCAGAATCATAGCTTTTGAAACAGGTAAAACTGTAAATAGTTTTTGCAATTACCAGTAAAGATGTATGTGATCAATACAGTGATCTAACCCATAGTCCCATACCTTATCATTATGTTAAAAAATGATCTTCAAAGAACAAAAAAAAACAACAAGTTAATAAAAAGTCTAGAGACAATTTAAGCGCAATTTCCTTATGCTATCCATAACAATTTTTTATTTTTTGTGACCGAACGAAAGGATATTTTTTTTGCGCTAAAAAAAAAAAAGACAACTATATTAACCTATATCAACGGAAATAGTTTTATTTTAACGAGTAGGCCTACACGATGCTCAGTTTAAACAAGTTAATAAAAAGTCTAGTGACAATTTAAGCGCAATTTCCTTATGTTATCCATAACAATTTTAAATCGAGATAAATCATAGCTCCTCCTCCTTCGCCTGCGTCTCGCGCAGTTCGCTGCTAAGCCAGCCAGGTCACATGATTTACCCTCCTGTCCTTCGCCTTCCACTGCCTTCTTTGCTATATAGTACTGTAATGTATTATGTATAATGTAATTTTAAATAATGCGGACGTGTAAGGGGTGTTTAGTTGTCGCACTTTTAAAAAAAAATTGTGACCGAACGAAAGGATATTTTTGAAAACTTTCTTCGGCAATATTGGTTTAAATTATGGCAGGAATCGATTGGTAAATGTTTCAAGTCGCTAAGTGGTCTGGTTGCCGAGATATGGAGCAAAAACTGCATTTATTCGAGGTTTTTTTGCTTTTCCGGGAAATCCAGGAAGGAATTCCGGGAATTTTTTGGCCTATGTTCATCCTCCGAACTTGCTTAACAAATTTGATTTGGAACTAGTCCTCGATATTGCTTCGTTGAGGAGGAGATACGACTTAAAGCTGGGGACACACATCCATCCAGAAATGACGAGTTAATAATCGCAATTGTCCAGTATGGAAATTGCGCTAAACAGTAGCTAGAATATAATTTAAAAAATAAATATTCTGAACTGCAAGACCATTATTTTATATATGTAGGCTATTCTAATATATAAAAGCCCAAGTGCGCACATCCAGCCGAACCTCGATCTTTGTTTATAATTTATTAATTAAAATAAGATTTTAAAAAAGATAATTAAAACAGGTTTTTTAACTATATAATTTGAGAAAAAAAATTAATAACTCATGAATATAATAAATAATTTTAATTATTTCTCATTCTAAACCTATCGAATATATTTTTTTAAATGCAAGGTAATCTTTTATAGGACCTACATGATTAACTTTTCTTCTAATAATAAAAACAAGTTAATAAAAAGTCTAGTGACAATTTAAACGCAATTTCCATAATTAATTTTTTAGAATTCACATACCTACGTAAAAATCCTTTCGAACCTCCACTCATTCGCTATGGTAAAATCCTTTCGAACCTCAGCTTTGCGCTAAAAACCTACACGATGCTCAGTTTAAATGTTCTTAATTAATTTTTTGTGACCGAACGAAAGGATATTTTTGAAAACTTTCTTCGGCAATATTGGTTTAAATTATGGCAGGAATCGATTGGTAAATGTTTCAAGTCGCTAAGTGGTCTGGTTGCCGAGATATGGAGCAAAAACTGCATGTATTCGAGGTTTTTTGGCTTTTCCGGGAAATCCAGGAAGGAATTCCGGGAATTTTTTGGCCTATGTTCATCCTCCGAACTTGCTTAACATATTTGCTTTTGGAACTAGTCCTCGATATTGCTTCGTTGAGGAGGAGATACCACTTAAAGCTGGGGACACACATCCATCCATCCATCCATCCATCCAGAAATGACGAGTTAATAATCGCAATTGTCCGTATGGAAATTGCGCAAAAAACTCTTAATAAAAAATATTAATCCTACAAATATTAGAGTAGTCTCCCTAGACAGTTTCTATTCGAATGTATTTTGTGTTGATTTTCGTCATGAAATACAGTTGACTTTTTAAATTGATTATATAAGAAAACAATCTATCTCTGTGTATATTTATTTTTAACACGTTTTTATTAACTCAGCTTCGCGTTTGTGTGTTTGTTGTTAAAATTGACATCGAAAATTAGCCCACTTCTGATTGCTCTAGAGACCTGAAATTTGGCATGCATGCTACTTTCGCCTAACAATTTCAGATGCAATCATAAAAACTAGCAATTAGTGACCGTAATTAGCTTAATTTAATTACGCCCCAAGGACCATAAAATTGAGGACAAGATTTCTAAAGATACCGACAAGACTAGAGGCCTATTGATACAGTTACTTCGGCCCCAATCGATGTGAACGCGCTGTGGCCGCGACAACCCAGGTTCGAATCCTGGTCGCTCAAGATTTTTTTTTAGTCCGTGTATTTATAAACACTTTTTTAAAAACCACGTGTTTCATGTGTAGCAACGGACTAAAAAGGAGAAAATAAAATACTTAAAAAAAACTTTTTAAAAAACCACGTTTTTCTTGTGGACTAAAAAGTAGAAAATAACTATTTACATACATTTGATGACAAAAAACGTGGGTACGTTCACCATCAAATTTCCCGACCCATCTGCCCGACCCACGTTTTTTGTCATCAAATGTATGTAAATAGTTATTTTCTACTTTTTAGTCCACAAGAAAAACGTGGTTTTTTAAAAAGTTTTTTTTAAGTATTTTATTAAAAATATTATTACAATACTTAGAATAGGTGTTTCAGGTTAAATAGCAATTATTAAATTATTTCTCATTCTAAATCTTTGCCTATCGGGTTTTTAAATTTAATATTATGAACACATTGGCTTTACGAAAATGATTATATAAACTTAAATACATAATAAAATTTACTTTTATTAATAAATCTACACTATTTTATGCACACATACAAAAAAGAATATTTTAGCGGCAGGTACAAAGTAAAAAAAAACAAAACAAAAGGAAACTCCTTTTATACTGAATAGTTCTCCCTTCTCCCTAACAACAAAAATGTAAAAATGCATAGCCCTAGAGCACACTAGCACACACACACACACACACACACACACACACATATATATATATATATATATATATATATATATATATATATATATATATATATATATATATATATATATATATACACACACATACGAACTATTGTGTGTGTGTAAGTAGGATGTGAGGTAAGCAGACAGGCGGGGTGGAAAGAAAGCAGTTTGGCAGGAATAACGGCAGGTAGGAAAGTAGGTTGGCAGCGCAGGCAGGTTAGTAGATAGGTAGGTAAGTAGGCAGGGAGCTAGGTATGTAGGTAGGTGGGCCTAGGTAGGAAGGCGCCTCACTCGGTATAGTGAGCGATTATAGTAGCCCATCATATTCATAGCGTTTCGCAATTATTAAAATGAACAAAGGTACCATAGTACTCACGGGAAAGCCCGGGGAGCTAAACTGAACCCTGCCGGGGCGCCACCATATCGAATTATTTTTTTCGCAGAAACCACCACAGGGTATTAGCAATAGCTAGCATATATATATATATATATATATATATATATATATATATATATATATATATATATAGGCCTATTGTGAAAAACCTGTTTGTAAAGGACCATGACTTGTGTGTTTAGTAGGCAGCATATAGGCCTACCCGGCATTGCCCGGGTTTAGGAAATATATTACTTTTTTAATTAACTATAACCACAAATAACCAAATCCAAACACAAAAAACAAACGCACGCATAACACAATCACAAATACAAACGCAAACATAAACAATAACGCAGAACATAACTTAAATGCAAATATAAACACATATTGCTCACAATTGAACCCGGGGCGCCAAAATCAAACTCTACCGGGGCGCCGGCTGAACCGCCCGATTCAACTTAGTAAACGAGTAGAATACCCCAACTTATCCATAGTCTATTGCACTAAATATCAATCTGTTGAAATTGATTTAGTGAAGGACTATGGTAACCCTTCTAATTAATCCAAAGTCTATCGCACTGTTTAAAACAAGCGTAGGCGCCATAGCTCTCACGGGAAGGCCAGGGGCGCCTAATCACACCCTGCCGGGGCGCCGGCGGACGCGCCTGATTTAATTCAGTGAACGACTATAATACCCCAAGCTTGTCCGCAAACGGAAAGATAGATAGAAGTAAACATAGAGCAAATTTAGGAGCAGCTTCTAAACTATTATTGATTATAAATAATAATTAATAAACAATACGTTCAGTGTATAAAATAAATAAAAGGCAATATTTAAAATATCTGAGTTTTACTTACTATATTGCACTTAAACAATCCATGTTAATTAAGTAATTAATTTTTTCCAAAACCAAAACAAAGTAATAAAAAGTTGTTTTTTTCCGATGTAATTTTTAAAAAAGGGAAGAAATTTTTTTTTTTAAATTTATAAATGAAAGTAATTGGTGCTAAGGGGCGAAGGGAAATAATTTTTAGGCACATTTAGAATTTTTGTGAAGGGTGATACATTTTTTTTCATTCCAAATGACGTTAACTATAATGCTAAGTTTGAAAAATGAAACATGTTTTTACAAAACTATCCATTTTAATGTATTTAATAATTAATTTAGATAATAAACACTTAAAGAATATTACAATGTGGCGATCAAATAGAGTTTTCGCTATATGCAAAATGAATCACCCCTCTCCCGCTGAAGAACATCTACCGCCATCCACTCCACCACCCACGCCTTCACCCCGATCAATATACAATTTATATAGAAAAAATATACTTTTACCAGTGTCAGCTCCCCTTCCCCTCGGAGAAAAAAAAGTCGGAAATAAACACTATCTGTATGATTGAGGTTTAAAAATAGTGTCTACCTTTAGTCGGTATGATCTAGAAATGCAACCAGTGTTTCTTTCAGAATTTTTCCCTCCGGAGACGGAGGTGTATATATGTATATATATATATATATATATATATATATATATATATATATATATATATATATATATATATATATATATATATATATATATATATATATATATATATATATATATATATATATATATGGGACATCCATAAATGACGTCACGCTTTTTGGACGATTTTTACCTCCCCCCTCCCCTCAGTCACACGTCGTCACAAAAATCCAGACCCCCCCCCCCCCCTAAAACGATGTCACACCTCTGCCTACAACCCCCCTCAAAATTGCTGTACATTACCTGTAATATGCTAGTATAGATTATTAAAAAATGCCGTTGTTTTGTAAACATCATGTTGGTTCATGAAAAACAATTTTATTCAGGCATTTAAAAGAGGTTATAGTGGTATTGGAGGTAGGACAAAATGATTACTTTTATGCCAATAGTGGACAGGCCATTCATTTGTCTGGAGCCAAAATGTCGGGAACCCAATTGTCGGGAGCCAATAAGTCGGGGCCCTTTTGACTGGGCTATTTTGACTGGGTCGTTTGTATTATAGATTCCATATAGTTTTGTAAGTATGTCTATACTGGGTCGTTTTGTCGGGGGTCGATTTGACGGGGTCATATTATTAATATTAACGGGGCAGTTTTGACGGGGTCGATTTGTCCCGGGCCTTTTTGACAGGGCACCGTATAGTATAAGTGTAGTGTGTGGGTGTTTGTGTTTTAAATTTTTTTTACTGCTAGGCTCATGCTAACAATAACTGCAACGTTTCCGGTTGCTGAGACAGAAAGTAGGATTACCATATTGGCAACATGTCGATTTTACAAAAAATTGCAGATATTGAGGCCGAGGTATTTTGCATAAATTATAATTTGGAACACATAATCTCATATCAATTCTAGTTGTTTTTGGTAACCTATAGCTTTAGCCCTTTAGGTACGAAAAATCGGCCGAGGCTAGTAGTAAAATAAGTGTAAGTGTGAAAATTTTCGAAGTGACTACTCGGAAAAAACTTTGTCCCCAACATCTCCACTTTGTCCTCAAAAGATAGTTCTGCGCATGCGCAGTGACCTATGGCTAGGGATAGGGCTATATCACAATATAGGCCTACTTCTATTAGTTAGGCCTAAAGCCTTAAGATGAGGCAACTTTGTCGCACATAACTAGATCTAGCCTCTGCCGATTTAACGTACCTAAAACGATAGATTACCTTTTTTTTTTACATTACATTTTTTTTTTCATATTGAAAACATGATTTTTTTTTAAAAATTAAAATCTCCAAACATCGTCACTCGCGTGATAGCTTGCTTACGTGTACTATCCCGCGGGTGGATAATCCCACCACGGTCGAGGGGTCAATATGAGGTCAGCAGGCCTATAGTACACGTCATAGAATGAACACGCGTACACGAGATCATCGGTGTCTTCACTTCTCTTCCCCCCCCCCCCCCCACTTCTTCGAGCAAATTGAAAAACAGGCTACTTCGCTACTTATGGTCATTTTTTTTTAAGTTCACATATCACGCATGCTAGACAGCCAGCTGTATAATTTTTTTTTACTAAAGAGCTGTTTGATTTAGCTAGATCTAGGACTATCTATTTCTAATAATAAGACAATGTGCAAGTAAAATCATGGCATCTAGGACTTTCTAGGGTAAAGATTTATCGTAACGAGGAGCGAACCGCGGTAATGTGGCCTAAACTAATTAATACATTTTTAAATTATAACAGAGTAGAGCCGAATGGATACAAAGCTAAGACTGATTTTAAAACTTAGCTTAATTTTTTTTTTTTTTGTCTACACAAGAGGCACACGTTATTTTTATACTCTTAAAAGATAAAACAAATGTTGTTTAATGTAGTAAGAGTAAGGTAACGTAATTTAAATATTCAATTTCAACTTGAAGTCGATCTATCTTGATAAAATCTGTCACGAAAAAAAACAACAATAAAAGCTCTCCATCCTGTACTTATACCAATTGAAATTTTAACAGACGAAAAAAATGATGCTCGCGCAAAAATTTATTTTTTAAAACTAGATCTAGATCTACGTCTTGCTTAAAAAAAATAAACGCTTAAAAAGCCGGTAAACTGATTATTTAGCGCAAAAAAAGGCCCTTGAACGAGCATTGTTTAAAATACGCAGCAATGACAAAGGCTAACGGCCGATCAATAAATCTAAAAATCGCCCGTAATTAGGCCTAGCTCCGAAAAAGGCCACTGAACGAGCATCACAACTAAAATACCCAATGTTGTCGTAATTGCTATGACATCGTGCTACGAATGGAAAACGTAACTTTTTGACCTCTTTTGATGGCGAAAAAGAGTTTCGCATTTTAAGAAGTTAATAGGTCATTTTGTTTTTGTTTGTTTTCTCAGCCCATAATTAAGCTAGACCATTACATTTGGTCTCAAATTAACCAGTAAGTGATATGGTTTGTAATGAAGTATGATAAAAACTATTAACTAGGCCTAACTAAAACTATTCCTACTTGCTACTCTATAAAAAAAACTGACCAATCAGAGTGAGGCATTTTCCTGTGATTATTTTATTCACCTATTTTTTCAACATGTAATATGTATGTACTAAATGTAGAACTACTGTTTTTATATCTCTTAACCTTAACCCTAGGAAGAGGCTATTCGGACCCAACATTAAGTGTGTTACATACTCATATAACCTGTGAGTTAAAATTATAGGGCCTACCTTTTTTGTTTATTTGATTTTTCTTGTGGATTTGCTAGCATTTTATTATGTTTTATTGTAATTAGTTATGCGGATTTGCTAGCGTTAGTTCTTGTGTTGCTATTTTTAATTACCTTATATTTAGTAAGTCTATAGGCCTATATATAATTATTAAATATTTATAAATATTGTAAGACGTCGTGGTCGAGTGGAGAACGTCATGCCTTCCAAATCACTATCAGTTACTGGTTCGGAACCTTTCTAAGCTTTTTGTTAGCAGTAAAGTGTATTTAACTAAGTTTAATGTTCTATCTCGATAGTTGAGTTGTTTGCATAAATGTCATTTTTTTTAATTTATTGTTTTGCCTGCTCATGGTTTCTCATCAGCACAAGAAAACTAACGACTCGGTCTAGCTAGGGTTACTGTGAGTTCCCATTGGTTTAGATGTGAATAGTGTAGTGTAGGCGTATAGCATACATCATAGCTGATAGCAAGACCATTGCTATCTGAGCTTGTCGAAGAAAAATGTATTTGGGGTCATTGTGAGTTCATATGTTATTTCTTGCTTCTATTAAAGCGTACTACATGTAAGATATTAATATTCAAGAAAACGGGCCCTGGAGCTGTAGACTGTAGCCTACAATGAGCTATTTTATACAATTATTATTTTTTTAGTATTTGAACTGAAAGGTCTATAAAATCAAATTACATTTAACTGAAGAAAAAAAAAGTACATTTTTACGTGTGCGCTCTCCATTCGCTCGGTCAGAGAAGTTCATACCACAGGCCATATTTTATAGAATTACAAGAATAAAATCACAACAGAAAAAGATATATTCTGCATCTGAAAAGAATTATTGTTTAACTAAATCTTCACAATTTTATTGGCGGTAGAGGCTATAAGGACCCAGGTCCCAATAGCAGCTGTGTGATTGGGACCCGTGTCCAAATAGATGCATCCTTAACCCTAAACCTAACCCGACAAATCCATTTCAGCATATTTTATTCCCTGCTACATGACACGTTCACCTCCAGTTGAGTGTTTTTTATTATAACACTACCGAAACACACAAAATGCTAGGAAAACATTGGGCTTATTTCTTTATGAATTTTTGTTTTTAGTTTTTGATAATTCACTGTTGCCAAAACTTAAGAAAAATCCAAATTTGGAATATTGAATATTTAAAAATCTAGATTTAGATAGATTCAAGATTTAGCTTTTTTTTTTTAGCTCCTGAAAAATGTTCTTATCAGTTAAAATTTATGTCAATGGGTTAACTGTTAAGTATAAATCTCAATATCGCTAACCCTAATGCCTTACCCTAAATTAAAATAGAAAAAAAGCAAAATAGAAAAGGAATGGAACCCACGCCGCAAAATCAAACTACCTGATACGCAACCAATTCGACCACCTGAACAGTTATAAAAACGTAGAAAAGCCAAGTCTCATACACAAGATAAAAATAAATATGCATGCATACTCAGGGCATTAAATTTAAAAATAAATTTGATTGGTCTGTTAAAAATAGCGAACTGAGAATAGCCTTCTGAGAGTATTAGCGAACTGAGGATAGCCTTCTGTGAGCTATTTGTAGTTAACTATTAATAGACACTCATATATAATCTATTGTTTTGGGTTGAAGGACCTAGTATGTCACTAGTCACTAAGAAGAAGAAGCTGATTGGGGTGCTGGAAGTACATGTTGGTAATGGTTAAATGGTAAAATCCTAAAATGCGAAATTCAAGTTCGAAATGCCTGCAGAATATATATTGAGTGATGTGAGAGGCACAATTTGTGAGAACATATGTTGGTAATCTCACGATATAGTGTTGGAAATTATCTGGTAAAGTTTGTTGAGTTTTGTCAACATTCATCGCTGTAAACCATAGTTCATTTGACTGTTGAAATATAATACAAGTCAAGAACATAACATTTTAACTTAATTTTAAGTTTAATTGACAGAAACTTGGCAACAATTTAGCCCAAGTAGATCTACACCTAAATATTAATAATTAAGTTGATTTAGGCCTAGTAGTTAATGTTTATTTAAGAAACATAGAAAAAGCTTGCAGAAGATTGGCGACAACTAGATTCTAGTACTTGTAAAATAAGATGACAGATTTACTAAAGCAGTAAGGACTGAAACAATATTTAGTTCCTGCAATACACTTGAAATAATTAGAAATACAAAATAATAAGCAAACAGTATGCCCTATTTCAAATGCTACTAAAACCAATGTATGCAACTTTTTAAACATGTAAAAAAATAATACAGCTCCAAATAACCAATGGTTTACAGTACTTCTGGTGGTTTCCAGAATATGGCGTGACAGACTTATCACAGACTATGCCTTTTTTTTACACTGTACCATTCCAGAATAATAACTGTGAGATTTGCAGTTTATTTAGGCTTTATGTTGGTCCTGGTTTTTTTAGTGAGATGTGTGAGAAAAAACATTTGGGAGTTAGTAAATTGCAAAACGCAAAATGACCTATTTTCTTTTCATGGTCTGGTCACATCCCTGACTACCAGGCATGTAAGATTAGCTATAAGAAAGTAATTTTTTACATAATGAATGTAATGAAAAATTGCTAATATTTCAAGCAATCGTGGTGATCAGGACTATGGAAAGAAGTTTATCTATTTAGCAACCAAAACAAATTTCAAGCTCAATATTTTGGGAGGCTTTAAATAAGGTGGTAAAGTCAACACAAAATCGGAACATCTGATTCATTTAACATTAAATAGCAGTACTAAATTTAAAGTGTTTTTAGTATAAATTAAAGTTCATTGTAAATCATCAGTGGGTAGGAATTTGGACGCTGTATCATTTCTGCAGACATTAACACACACCCCCACCCAGGATTAATTTAAGTATGTATCTGATTTTTTGTGTACAGAAATTGAGTGAAATTGAGTTTTCTTAAAACTACTCCACTAAAAGATATCTACATTCTCCATATTCTTTACTCAGCTAATTAAGCAACATATTACATAATCAGAAATGTATGTAATTTTTTTATCCACTTTTAGATGGCCAGGACTCAAAAAAATAAAGCAACAAGTGGACATTTAGGACTGCTTAAAGCTAAATTAGCTAAGCTACGTCGTGAACTTATCGAACCAAAAGGTGGAGGTGGTGGTGCTGGAGAGGGTTTTGATGTAGCAAAAACAGGAGATGCTCGAATTGGGTTTGTTGGTTAGTTTCTTAATTAGCTCCGTTTTGTTGCACTAAAAATATAATGTAATATTAAAAAGAAACATGTAACAACAAATAATTTTAGAGTGAAATTTCACTTGTTGGCTGCAACTGGCAATAAATGAAACTCTGTCACAGTAAAAAGTACAAGCTTGTTTAGTTTTTAAAGAGAAAGATACAAATCAGGATTTGTCATTTTTATTCAATTTTAAAGTTTTGATTTGTGAACTACTTTCCTAATGACAAAATATATCAACCACAAAGTGCATTTTAAATCATTTTAAAAACATTATACTTCATATATTTTCCAACTGATAACATGTTAGTATCTAGGTTTTAGATTTTTTTTTAGTTTTAGAATAATGCTTCTTTTCTTCACAATGATTTTAATCAAACATGATACATTTGAAGAGATTTTTGTACTTTTTTCCTTGTAAATCTTGAACTTTGACTAGCATTTTTATTGGTTATGAAAACCAGGCAGATTTTTGGAAATCATTCAGAGTGGTTCTTTTGCATATTTTTTTCAAGACTTTGATGAGATAATTCTGTATTCAACAATACTGTCATAATAATAATTGTGCCAAACTCCAACCAATACTTCATTTAGAGAAAGATAAGTTTAATAAAATAGAAAAATATGTTTGCTGTTTTAATAAATTGTGATTTTATAAATAAAAAAGCACATTTCTTGTCTCCAAGGATTTCCATCTGTTGGTAAGTCAACTTTACTCAGTAATTTGGCAGGAGTTTATTCAGAAGTTGCTGCTTATGAGTTTACAACGCTCACTACTGTTCCTGGAGTCATCCGATATAAAGGTGCAAAAATACAAGTAGGTTGTTAAAAATATAATAACAAAAATGGCTGATGATGCTTGACTGTGTTGTATATATACTAACTGCATAAAAGTACCTACTTAGGAACAGAACAGAGCCAAATACAAACACAAACATTACAAAAAACATAAACTCAAAACAATTACAATGCAAACGCAAAATAAACACACAAACAAAAGCACCGTGTAAACAAACTCAAAAGAAAACAAACACAAAAGAAAACACAAAAACCAATGTAAACACTAACGCAAACACAACATCCACAAGCAACACACAAAAAGAAATGCAAACACAAGCGCTTTATCAAACAAACGACCATGTATTCCAACAATATTGCTCTCACGGATTTCCGCGCAATTCGCATTCACATTTTTTAAAATTAAATAGCAATACTTGAATTTAATTTCTTTTTAAATTACCTCCCCTTGCAAACTTATAAAACATTTTAATTAATTAGGTTTTTGTGTTCGCATTTTGTTTTAGTTTGTGTTCGTATTTTGTTTGAGTTTGTGTTTTCATCTGTGTTTGTTTGCGTTTTTTTTTTTTGCGTTTGCGGTATTGTTTGAGTTTGCATTTGTTTGGTTTGTGTTGCGTTTGTGTTTGCATATGCATTGTGTTTGCATTTTTGTTTGAGTTTTCGCTTGTGTTTACTTTTGTGTTTGTGGGTTGCATTGTGTTTGTGTTTGATTTTTCTGTTCCCAAGTTGGTACATTTAAAAAAGATTCACCGTGGCGAAGCATGGGTATGCAGCTAATATATATTTGTATGTGTGTGCATATCTTTATGTTGTATATAAATATACGATGCCCCAATAGATAATAGTAATCTGGTAATTTATTTGTGATTAACTACAGAACTCTTCCTCATCGGTTGTCATTCAATGATTTTAAAAAAAAATGGTTATGGATCATTTATTTTTGGCTAAACAGTAATTAAATTTTTTTTAAGCTACTGGATTTACCAGGTATTATTGAGGGTGCAAAAGATGGAAAGGGTAGAGGCAAGCAAGTTATTGCAGGTAAAAGTTTTCTTTTAAAAAATAATTCACACATCAATAAGGATCTGTGACTAATGGCTGAAACAATTGGAGGATAACAAGCACTGTAAAAATTATTTTTTATCTAACTTCAAATTTACATTTATATTTTCATTTTTTTTTTAACTATTAGTTGCAAGAACCTGCAGTCTTATCTTTATTGTTCTTGATGTACTGAAACCACTACAACATAAGAGGATTATTGAAAGAGAACTGGAGGGGTTTGGCATTCGACTTAATAAAGAACCTCCTAATATACAGTTTAAAAAAAAAGACAAAGGAGGGTTGAACCTTACTAGTCTTGTAAGTTAATTGATAAAATGTATGGAATAGATCTAAGTGCATATTTCTGGTCTTGATTAGAAAGAAAATTTTTTGCTTTCTATTTGTCTACTTATCCTCTTTCCAAACTCATTACTCATTTATTAAATTCATATTTTAACCATGAAATTTTTTTTGATGCAGTTTTATGCTGCAGCATACTATTTTTTCTAAAACATGACTCATTGTCCTTCATTAAACTACGAAATAGGTCCAGCAAAGTGAACTTGATCATGATCTAGTGAAAACAATTCTTAATGAATACAAGATCCACAATGCTGATATTACATTAAGATATGATGCCACAACTGAAGACCTCATTGATGTCATTGAAGGAAACAGGGTTTACATTCCTTGTATTTATTTGCTTAACAAAATAGATCAGATTTCAGTTGAGGTAAAAAGAATTTTGAACAAAATATTTTTCTCATGTGTTAACTAAAAAATTAAATTATTTCAGTTGCTTTAAGTATTTTTTTTTGTTTTTGTTGAATGTAACTCAGTTATATATTGTAGATCAGTTTTTCTTTTGAATCAATCATTCTCTGTTTTGTTGTATTGACTTAACAAAGTAGATGAGATTCTAGCTGAGTTTTTTGTTTGTTACCTAAATTGATATTTAGCCTTCACTTTACCCATCCATAACTTTTGCACTTCTCAAATTATGCTATGATCTGTCAACTTCATTTATTTATATATATATATATATATATATATATATATATATATATATATATATATATATATATATATATATAGGCCCTATATATATATTTAAAGAAAAAAAATATTTCTTTGAGAAACACCAATGACTGTTATTCTGATATCCAGATTGTTCTTCTTAATTATTGTTATGTAGAAGAGCCTTTCTGCTTTCATTATGTTCAGTGTTAAAGTTGAAACAGTACTAAAGTGTGTTCTGTCTATTGGATAAATAAAATAATACTTTTTGTTTGCTTTGATAAACCAGCTTTATAAATCAGTACATATAAGAAAACTGAATTTTTTTAGGAGCTGGACATAATTTATAAAATTCCCCACACTGTTCCAATCTCAGCTCATCACAAATGGAACTTTGATGACTTGTTAGAGAAAATGTGGGATTACCTGAAACTAGTTCGAATGCAAGTATTTTATTTTGTAGCATTTAAAAGAAAATAGAAAATCATTTGTATTTTGTTTAGATCTCAAATACTTGGGCTTATTTATTATATATTTTATTACAGTTACACTAAACCTAAAGGACAGCTTCCTGACTATTCATCTCCTGTTGTACTCAAGGAGGGCAAGAGTTCTGTGGAGGATTTTTGTAACAAACTTCACAGAAGTATTATAAAGGAGTTTAAAATGTTAGCACACAGTTTTAAAAGATTAGCCTTGTACAGTTATTCTTTTGCTATTAGATTTAGTGGTGCTAAGTTGTAAAGATTTTAGAAGAAATAAATGGTTTATAAAAATCTAATTTCTTGCCCATTTTCTATTTTAGTGCTTTGGTATGGGGTTCCTCAGTAAAGCATTGCCCACAAAGAGTTGGCAAAGAACATATATTGTGTGATGAGGATGTAGTTCAAATAATAAAAAAGTAAGTAAAAGATAAAAAGCAATTACTTTTGTGTTTGTGGTTACAAATTGTAGATCAAACGAGGGAATCAAAATAACTCAGTTGTTTTGGCTGAACTAATAATTCTTGCATAAATTGACTACCAAACTTCCATTTGTAGTTTACTTTCTTTCAGTCTTAATTTGTGTTATTTTGCAATTGTCATTAAATCATTAAAAATGATTATTTGTAACATTTGCTAAAGAGAATTGAGCTAGATTTTTATTGAGCTCATATTTCAACTAAATGGATAGACAAGCTAATCTCATTAAGTTTTCAGTAGTAGTGAAGATTAGGACAGAAAAGTTACAATGTCTGGAAAATTTCTAATATTTAAAGAAATTTCAAAGAAATGTATGGTTAAGGTTAGAAATGTACATTGTAAAATTTTGCTATTTTTACGTCTTAGGCACAGAATTGACAGGGTACAGCGAACTTAACTAGCTAAGAGGTGTATCTTACTTTAAAATTTAGGACGTGGTTACAAGACTGCATGATACAAAATAATGCACACATTTATTGTAATGTAGTACCTTTCGATCCTTGTGGTCCATGTGTTTCAGTGACTTGGTACATGAATGACACAGGGATGTCCCACAGACTTGAGACTTTAGGATTAAGAGTCAGAATATATTATTGCCTTTGGCTTATGAACAGCCAAATTATTTTTAAGGGGTAAAGAAGAGTAGTTATTTTGATGTGTGTTATAGTTTTCTTTTGGTAAAACAATATTGAAATGGAAGTACTGCATAATCAAATGTCTGTAAAATATGACAAATTTGTTTTGAGTCCCTGAACTACACGAATGGGGAGTGCAAGGGGGAAGAATTAAGTCAGATCTAAAATGAATGAAAATGGTTAGAAGAGGAAGGGAGTTTGGACAACTCTCATTAAGATAGAAATAATTTTGTCTTACATTTCTATTAACATCATTTTTGTTTTTTATTTGGGTGTGGGGGAAACTTATTTAATTTTAGTTTGCGATAAGGTGTGTTTGATACAGAAAGGAGGGTGTTGCATCATTTATGGATGCTCTCTTTGTTATTACTATCTTAAAATTAAATAAATCTTTACAGTGCAAAATAAAAGCTCAATTCAAATTGAAATAATATTTAAACATTCTTTCAATACTATAGATGTATTCTGGTATCAAGTCAGTAATAAACTTGTCTTGTGGATACTTCCACAGCTACTGATACACATTTATTTTGAAAATCTATATACTATATTAACATGTACTGAACAAAAGTTTTTAAATGGCTTTGATGAATTTTTTTTCCCCCAGAGTTTAAAATTTTGGCTTATGGCCCCCATCTGGTGGAATTGGCTGCTTTTCTACCACTGAAGTTGAAGCAGAATGGCCTTTAACAGTTTGATAAGAAGTAGAGCACTGAATTGAAGAGGTTTATTCTTCTATGTCAGTGTTTGTAAAGATTTATGTTTGAATGTTGAACAAATGGAACAGAAATGTATGAGCAAATGAAAGATTTTAAATTGTGCATTATTAATTAAATCATAAAAAAAAATTGGCAGTGAATCATTTGAATGTAAAGTATTTTTAAAAAAATTGGTAATTAATAAACAATTTGCGTGTTTACTAAATTTACCCTTTTTGTTAAATAGCTTTTTTTAAAGTTTAAAAAATGATTGTCAAATGTACTATGTTATCAGTTAGGCTAAATTGTGTTTTGAGTTGATTTAACTTCCGTGAGTGTTGAGTTAATTTTGCTGCTGTGTGTTTATGACCTGAATTTTAAAAATTTGGGTTTCATAGTTCAATTAATTTTACTTTAATTATAAATATACACACAAAAATACTATTTATAAGTGATATAAATATTTTATTGTTAAAAGTATACCACACCTAAACATAATAAATCTATGCTAAGATCATGCTTGATTCATGCGTAAAATATTTTAAATCTAAAAACATAATTTATTCATAACGGTTTTACAATACTAACAATGAACTTGAATTATAAGTAGCAAGAGATCTTGCATAACTTTCTGAGTAAATAAAGTGAGTGGGCAAATACTTAAATCTTGAGCACATGTGCTGCTCTCTACCTTTTCTACATGCACACTGTGTAGCCTACTTGCCTCTACACACACACACACACACAGCAAAACTCTTCAAGAAAAACACATTCTGCTTTATAAACACTAGTTGGAAGTTATTTTAAAATATTTAGTACTCATTTGCAACATTTCAATTTGCTTTATTTTCCAACATTAAATAGTAACAATTAATCTCAGTATTTCCCTCTCATTTATCAAGAAAAAAATTCTATAACATTTGTGCTGGAATTCTCATCACTTTGAAAATCATTTATTGCAGTGTGTAATTACATTTTATTGCACAAAATGGATGAACTTGTAAAAGTATGTACAAGGCAACAAGAAACAATAACTTTGTGGACTGTGGTGTTAGGAGAATTTCCTCATGCATGTATACATGAGTGCACATACTAGATGTATCTTTGATCTTTGAACACTGGCTGTCACAAAGAAAGATGTAGAGTATTGGGTTATCAGTTACTGTTCTTTTTTCTCCTCTGTGCTTGAGGCAGGAGTTTCTGGAACTGGGCTTGGCTCTTCATAAGGAATTTCAGGCTCAAAGCCACAGAGGTGTGCACTTAGATTCCACAATTTCTTTGCTGTGTCCTTGTCTTTGATTCTCTCTTGAGTTTTCATAACTTTGCAGTTGGCGAATGTTTTGCCTGAGAAATTAATAAACAGAAAATGTAAGAAATAAAAACTGGCTTATGCATAATAGTTTGTATTGAAGCATATAACCATTGTTATTGAACAGAGTGATTGTGTAAAACTTTAAGATAATGTATAACATTTAAATTGTGTTCCATGAGAAATTGGTGTGGGCACAGATCTATGCTATAATACAAGGGTGACTGATTTTATTCCCATACCTGAGAAATCCCTGAGACTGTCTCCAACAGCTAGGTAGACAACAGTTTGGCAACCATCTTCAGGTGACTTAAACATAAATCTGGAGATAACTCTGAGCAGGTTGCCATACATGCCGGGGTAATTCCTCAACAACTCAGTAGCACAAGCACCTGATAGAAAGCAGTGAACATCACATTCTAGTACATATCAATCTCCTGATATAAAATATAAAACATCACATTCTAGTAGACATGTGCCTGATATAAAAAAAAAATACTTTTTTAATTTCGCAAGGGCGGCGCCACGGGAGGCTGCGATTTTTTTTTCTATATACGGTTTATAAAATTTCGGTTTCACACCGTTCACCCGTGTACCATGAAACTTTGGGGAGATGATTAGACCACTCAATGGTAGGGTTCTGCAAAAAAATATTGTTTAATATTGCAAGCAGTGTTTCTTCCAGACTTTTTTCTCCGGGGGGGGGGCACTTGAAATTTTCGTGTGTGGGGGGGGGGGGGGGGCGGACACTGTTAAAAGTATATATTTTCTATATAAATTATATAAATTTCATTTCGTTCGGGGGGGGGGGGGGGGGCGGTAAAAATTTTTCAGGGAGAAGAGATGCCTGGAAGAAACTCTGATTGCAAGGGCGGCGCCGCCGGGGGGGGGGGGGAGCGATTTTTTTTTCTCTATACACGGTATATAAAAAATAAAACTCGGATGCGGTTCATCTGAGTGCCATGACACTTTAGGGAGTAGATGAGAATACTCCCGAGATTATTTATGCGAAAAAGAAAACTAAAGTTTCTTATGGGTGGCGCCATATAGGGTACAACTTGCGTCAATACACGTTTGGCGCCCAGAGTTTTAGAGCGACTATGTTGGCACTTGAAATCCGTTAAACGAGCGTCCTGCATAGCGAGTAAGGGGTACTACTATATTCAGCGGTAAAACTACAACAGGCTTCTAAAAATAACTTTGTAACGCGAGGAAATCCTTCTGTACAGTTTCGTCACCTTGCGAAAGATGAAAAAATAACTTTTTGAATATGAGGGGCCTACTGTAGAGTTTTGTCACTTTGCGAATGATGCAATAAGCATCTATTATTAGACAATCCAGTCAGAAATTGAGATCGAGCATCTAATAATAGATCATTAGTAACGCTAGCATATTGCATCAGTCACACTGATGTTTAAAACACGTCAAATAATTTTTTTACGCGCTGAGGAAAAAATCCTGTTCATTTGTGTCACTTTAGCAAATGACGCAATCTGCATCATTGTTAACAGGATGCTATTTGGCATGATGGCGCCTGTTAGTTTTAAGGAGCCAGGGGCCGTACGTGGCGCCTTTGCGTTAGTGTAATCGGGGGGGGGGGGGGGCCTCTACGTCCCTGACACATGGGCAGTCTACCTCATTATTTCGGTGAGTGATTAATGTACGCTCAAGGTTTTCATGCGGTGGTATAGGTAAACCCGTGTCCCGATATTTATGATTCAAGCGCAGGCATTGTTTACATATCTTCTTCTTCTTCTTCGTTCTTAATTTTTAGTGTTGGGAGGGATCGAGCCTTATCTGCCAGAGGGTTTGAA